AAGGAACATTGATTATTGAGCCAGCTAGGAACAAGCAGTATATAAGACCATAAGAACAAGAACAATATATGAAATACATATTCTGAGGAACAATAAAAAAATTGTTAAGAAATTAGGAACAAAAATAAAGGATACATTTTTAAGACTAGGAACAAAAATGGGAACATTTAGCAAGTTACAAGTTAGGAACAAAAATGAAAGAACTAGGATTGTAATAACATGAAATAATGATCAACCCATGAAGGTAAGCCTGCATGTTTATTAAGTAAGAAACAAAAAATGCTAAGAGACATATGCGCATTGTGCAATAAAGGTCATTCACACTGTACCTGAGTGTACATGAACAATAGTCAATGATAAGAACATAATTCAAGTTAAGAACAGAAAGAAATTACCAGAAAAGTTATTTGAATGTAAATTAGGAACAATATTGCAATTTTGATTAAGGAGTAAGGCCGGAACATTATTATGTATATGCAAGTTAGATAGGAACAACATTATAATTTAAGTCTTCCCCAGGCCTGTATCCAGGGAGGGTGCAAGGAGTCAGGTGCACCCCCCTTTCTCTTGAAAAATTGTTATCATTCTGCATGTGTACATAGGGTCTGAAACAATTGTTTAATAAAGCTGTTCCCTCAGACCAACCAAATAAACCCTTTTTTAAAAAATATTTGTCCTAAGGTAATTTTGCAGAAACTTAAATTGCCTCAATTACAATATTTTGTCCAGACAATTTAAAATCAGTGAATGGTAAAAATTATCAACATTTAGTGTCATCCAACATTGTAAAATTTGATATTTATATATATATATCTATATATGTATATTATGAAAATTTTCTGTGTACCATACAAAACATCATTTTCAGGAAAATCGAATTTTTACTGTAACATTAAGTTCAAGTTAAAATTACTTATGTTGTTGAGAAAATAAAAAATATTCTACATAACATATAATGCAAGCTAAAATTACTAGTTTTCATACCAAAACTACAAAAATTAAGGGGGACTCTGCCCCCCTTGAACCCCCCTGCGCATGTGGCTCACTACATTTCACTTGGTGATATTAAAACACCTTAGAATTTGTTGTTCCTTTTAAGCTGATATCCTGTGTCTGCCCCTGTAGGCTGTATACCATGTCAAAACACAAATTTAGAGTCTATATAATTTTATTTATAGTACATCTGCTTTCTCAGTAAGGTAAACACTGGCATCTCATATCACTGTACTTGGTATTATTATCTTTTTTAAGTGATGCTATAACTCTATTTGCTTGTGTAATTTAGGATTCTTCCTATTTATTCAATAATTGAAAATAAAAAGATTTGCTTTCCATTGTTTAACATTTTGATAAAAAACTTCTGGTCATTTATAAAATGTTGCCCAACTCTAACCACAAATAATTCATTTTTCTTAGTGTAGATATATATTGAACTAATTGAGGAATCTAGTATTGTATTATAGAAGATAAAAACTGATCATACCTTGAGAACTGTAATGAATAGATAAGAAACATGGTACAGAAATACTGTACTTAGAAAAGATAGGGTAAACAAACTAAAAAACAGTAAGAGGTAAGAATCAAGACAAGTTATCTGGAGAACTCTCCCCCTCAGATGGCAGAAGTATTCTCATTGGAGTTCTTTGATGAACTTCTTTGTTGAGACTGCTGGTATATTTGGCTCAACCAGCAAGTTCTCCTAACTCACGTTGCAGGAAAAATTGTTGGCTTGTATGCAGGATTGATTCTATGCCAGGCTTGAATCTTTGACATGCAATCTATGAGTGGCTTGTATTTGTCTTCAATAGACAAAATTTGTGTTTAGCTTTGATATATTTATACAAGACAACATTACTGTTTGTCTGTCTAACCATACAAAGCAGGTAGTTTCAATTAGGATACCACACCTATTACAGGTGTGGGATGAATTCCAAGATGAATTTACCATTATAAAAAGTAATAGTTTCTAAACATAATAAATAACCTAACATAAAACATAACATAACAAAAAACTAAATAACCTTCAGATTGTATGCATAAGTTTATGCATATTTATCTACTTATATATCTTAACCATTTTGTGTAATTCAAATATGTGTCATTTGACAAGTGTGTACTGTGTAAGAGAAAGATTGAAAATAAACATCTAAAGAAACTTGCTCATTATATTCACAAGTCTACCCAGACAAAACTTATAAGAAGGAACCCTGAAACTGATACTACTCAATAAAACTTGCTTGGAATGAAAATGGGCGGCTATATTAACCACCTTACCTCTACTACCAACTATGGCTATATACAAATGAGCTGCTATGCTCACAGTATGACCATGAATTAAAAAAAAAATTCTCAAGTGAATAATATAATTTAAGAATACATAAAATCATATCATATGTTTATAGTCTAGTCTAATAGGTGTAAGCAATTTCTCAGAAGCCATTTTACCAAGGGCGACTTCTCAAGAGACAATTCCTCAAGTGGCAATTACCCAAATGTGCAATTTCCCAAGTGGCAACTTCCCAAAGGCTAGGTTGGGCCTTCTGAGGCTCTGCAGGCTACAATGGGGCAATGCACTGCTAATAGTATGGGCTAGGGGCCAAGTGCTCTGGCTAGGATCCATTTAGGAAGTTGCTGCTTAGGAAATTGCACATTTGTGAAGTTGCAACTTAGGAACATACCCTTGGGAAGTTGATGCTTGGGAAAAGACCTTTGGGAAAGTAGATAACATCATCTAACATGTGTGTTCCAGTACTGTAGGTAAAAACCCCAAAATGGCTTTCTTTATTTCAGGACATAATAATGCATTTCTCTCTCAGATTGAAATGGATAAAGTAGTATTTTCTGTTTCACTGTTGGCTTGTTTGACATTTATGATCATAACTCATTAATCCCCTGATTAATATCCATCAAACTTTGATATGGAATAAATCATCCTCTCCAGTCTAACTGAAGAATATAATTCATAAGTAAACCAAATCTACTGTAACAATGGGTGATTTTGTTGATCTTTTACGATTAGCGATTCAAGGATCTTTTTAGATCGCTCAGATTATAGCTGGCTAGGGGCATAACCCCCCCCCCCCTTTATACCGTTCGGTTGGACTTTTGAATCCTATTTTGAATTCTAACGGATTTATTTGAGTTTGCATGTGAATTCTATAAATAACCCAAGCCAAGCTGAAAGTTCCGTTATTCCAAAAGCACGGGGGCTGGGGGGGCTAGCCGGCCAGCGCCCGGGGAACTAGGGTTAAATGAGAGCCCAGGGTGGAGCGAAATGAAGGGAAAAGAATCAGTTGATCGTCAGCTCCCTTAAACTGAGGTTCCCTTGAAGATTCCCCATCACTCTGAAACTGCTTCAATTCATAATATCCTATTAGTATAGTATCAATCGTTTTATTTTTGTATCTTTGTAAATAATAAATTGTAAGAAAAACCGACTCGAGGAATATTATATTTACAAGTGTTTGCATCTATTTATTTTCTTTCATATACAATACTACTAGTACAGTGGTTTAGAATGGGATAGTCAAAAATAGAGTTAAAATATTTTTGTTTCACAACTCCAGATTTGGATCAATGTACCCAACGAGAGAACTTTTCCATTCAGAGGAGCTTCTGCTCCTATTGTTCTCACCAAAAATCCTGGACACCAAGTTTCCCATTCCCAGGAGGTTTCAAATGTTCAGAAATCTCATGCTTCCAAGCTTTCTTGTTCTAAGGAGTTATCCTGTTCCCGGGAGTTATTCTGTTCCCTGAAGATGTCCTATTCCCATGAGTTGTCCTGTCTCCCGAAGTTGTCCTGTTCCCAGGGAGAAGGGCTCCTTTGTCCTGAAGAGATGAGTGATCCCAAGAATAAAGGTGACTCTAAGACTAAAGGTGATCCTGAGTGAATGGCTCCCAGGAGTTGGCCTGTTCCACAGAGATGTCCTGTTCCACAGAGTTGTCCTGTTCCACTGAGTTGTCCTGTTTCCAGGGAGGTAATGAATTGATAATGAGAGATTCCGGAGTGAGTTGGTTAGGGAGGATGGTCTGATGAGATCTCCTAGTCTGATGCGATCTCCTGATCTGATGAGATCTCCTTGTCTGATGAGATCTCCTGTTCTAATGAGATCTCCTTGTCTGATGAGATCGCATGGTCTGATGAGATCTCCTGGTCTGATGAGATCTCCTTGTTTGATGAGATCTCCTGGTCTGATGAGATCTCCCGGTCTGATAAGATCTCCTTGTTTTAAATGTCCTAATTGGACAAATAGTAATCCCAGTGTCCTAGCAGGTCAAAGCAGGTTTAATATGTCCTGATTGGACAAATAATAATCCCAGTGTCTTGGATGGTCAAAGCAGGTTTAATATATCCTTACTGGACAAATAATAATCCCGGTGTCCTGGCTGGTCAAAGCAGGTTTAATTTGTCCTGATTGACAAATAATAATCCCAGTGTCTTGGCTGGTCACAGCAGGTTTAATATGTTCTGATTGGACAAATAATAATTCCAGGGTTGAAGCAGGGTTCCAGTGTAGGAGGGTTGACACTTCTTAGATGCACTTGAATGAGTCCTGAGATGATGTGATGCAGTTGACAACTATATAGTACCTGATTTTGATTATATACATAGTCTAATTATCAAAATTATAATAGTAAATTTTATTATCTTTTTCTTCCGTTTTGGGCCAGTGTTTCGCGAGTTATTCCTTGATTTGCAGTTTATCTTAGTTCGGTTTTGTTTACAAACATCGATCGTACTGCACTATATAGTTGTGTTGTGTTGTGTTGACTGAATAATTGAAGGAACTAGTTGTACTCCAGAGTGTCATTGGTATGCAATTAATACTAATTTCTTCTTTTTATATGTTAATAGTTAAAAATTATTGTATTTTTCTAACTTTGATGTATTTCTAGTGTATAAACTCCAGAAGATGAATAAACTATTCCTTCTACTGTTCTGTACCTTTCGCTCTAAGAGAAACAATTACAGTCCTTCATGTTGATTTAAAAGTCACTCATTGGCTCGAAACAATTTTAATCGAATTATTTTATTAAATGTCTTTTGGATATGTCTTTACATTTGGGTATCTACCAATTCCAATAGAAGCAAAAGCAACTTTTTCAATGTGTGCTAAAGGCATCTCAAACATTATTACAATGATAAAAGCCACAAAAGTTGAAAAGCAGAGCATGGCTATGTTCCAGTACAGAGCAAGACTGTGGGAAGAGTATACAGTAAATGTTATAATACTGGCAAAATAAGCAATGACATCTATGTGTACAAGATATATGCAGTAACTAAGTCTTGCCAGAGGTATCCAAGCTGGCCATGATAGTATAGAGTTGATTGGGCCTCCTTGACCCTTCACACAGGCTAAGATGACCCATCCAATGCAGACACTCCATGCAAGTCGATGTAAACCGTTGTATGCAACTCTTGCCGCAAGGGATCCTGCATTTTGAGTTAACATAAAATCATCTACATATGGATAAAGACCATAAATGACAACTGCCCCAATGGCTCCAGCAGTTGCCCAGATCCAGGTAATAAAGATAGGGTTGATCTTTAGCTTTGGTTCATCTCTCAGATAATGAAGTAAATACCCAAACATAAGACCACAAATATATGGTTGGAACCTACACCATGGAACAATGTAGAAATCCATAAAATATTCTATGCCACCTGAAGTAGCTGACAAGAAGCCCACAGATATAGGAAATCCTCTCTTCCAGACAATAACCATTGGGATTATGGTTCCAGCTAATAGTCCAGCAGAGCTGATAATCAATCCAGCAATAGGCATTTTCCACATGGCATAAATAAATATTGGGGATATTATGAAAAACTGCATGTCATTGGCCATATACCAAGTTTGACCAAGACACCAGGGCTGACTCATGTCAAACTGGGGATAAATGTTGTTTATGTAGAGTGCATTCACCCACCATGATTGCTGGCAAGACTCTGCAGATGTAAGGACCAATACGGATTGTGGTCCTGTTGCAAAGTATTTGAAGACTGTAGCAAGAAGTCCAATGACAATAAGATATACTCCTGTTAGTCTGATGTATCTATGAGCATAGTACATAATCCAGAACTGAACATTTCCACCTTTTGTTTTATCCAACTCTTTAAGGGTCAGGTAGGCCAAAAGTGTTGCTCCTATAAAAAAGAAAGTGTCAACACTAGGAAATGCATTTAAAACAGCTTGGAATGCTACACTTCCATAAATTGGGCCATCTAACTCCATCATACTTAGTAAGTTTGCTACAGGAACTGTTCCTTGAAGATTTGAATATGAATGTCCAAGAAGAACCCAGGTCATAGAAATAAATCTGATTCCATTGATACAGGTCAAAGAATCAGAACGAACATTATTGGTTGAAAAGAGTTTGACAATATTACTGTATGCTGAGAATCCTTGGAACACCTGAATGCATCTCTCAGAATAGATATCTGCTTGAAAGAACTTGATGGTTAAATCAATGAAAGTTCCGATGATGATAACAATTGAAAACAATCCAATAATGGTAAACATGAAGTAATCTCCAGTTGTTGGCTTTGTTGCATCTTTTGGTGAATTGGAATGACAGTTAAGAACATAGGGACTCCCAGTGATTTGTGTTTCATTCATGAAGACAGCCAAACTAGCCTTAAGATCTGCTTCACTGCATGAATCTGGAATGCATCTTCCAAGAGTCATATATTGTAATAAAGAAGGTTCTTCTTCTCTCAATTTTCTCTTCAGATGTTGATATTTGGCTGTGTACTGCTCAAATTCTCTAGCTCCACCCCCCATCCAGTCTAAAAATAACAATATTTTAAAGTCAAATCTATGTATGATTAAATATTAGATATTTACTTGGATCTTGAAATGAAAATGTGCAGTGTTTTCCAATAAAGTTTGGTGCTTCCACCTGAAAACAAAATACCAGTGAAAGTTGGACTTTAATTATTTTGGGACTTTTTGCAAATTCCTAAGAAGGATTTATAGAAGGAATTTATTCAAATGGTAAGAGGGATAAAGTTTGTGTACTGCTTAAAAGGTTAGATCTTTCTTGGCAGGGTAGGTAGGCTGGGCTTGTCTGCAACAGTTGATTATTTACTTTAAATCAGCTTCTGAGTAGTAATGTCTAGATTGAGTTACAATTGGAAGCAAATTAACTTACAACTATACAAAATTCTGTACAAATTTACTTGCAAATTCTGTTCAGCAGTTTCGTTTATAAGTGAATATTAAATATGAATTTAACATTAGACTTGCAATTTTTGAGAAGAATTGGTGCCATTTTTTAATGCATTATTTGCATATTTTCTTGTGCACTCTGATTTGCTCTGAATGATTTTTCTTTTCTGTTTGAAATCCTCAATATATATGACAGTAAAATGTAAACAAACATTATTTCCTTTATCTTTAAAATCTAACATTGGATTCTTGTTCAATATTCATGTTCAAATTTATTTTTAATAGCATTTTTAGGTCTATCTATTTAGGGAATTTATTACTTCATTATTACATATTGTTCAAGAATACATGGAGGAAATTCGTTTAAGGAAAGTGTCTTAATATTCTTTAATTATTAAAATCAAATGGTTACATTATTGAAACATTGTTATTTTTACCTCTAGACAGGAATCAAAAGACCCAAGCTGCTTGAGGTTACCCTAAAAATCAAAGTTAATCTCTTTAAAAATGTCCATTTAATTGTTAACAAAATAACTCTAAAACTTTACAACTGTAAAAGAATTCTTCGGTTTGGGTTTTAGGCATTCGCTAAGACATTTACCCTGGAGTAACATTTTAAGTGACGTTTTCTCAAATGTACTCAAACCTGAAGAGTCTTTTCTGATGATCATTTGTTTAATTAATGTTTATGTATATACATGCATGACTAAAGTAAACTTGAACCTGTAGTAGACTAGGCTGAAACAGTTCAGCAGAAGCATCAAATTTTTTATGTACTGATGTTTCTGTATTTAATATAAACCTGTAGAAGACTAGGCTGTAACAGTTTAGCAGAAGCATCAAACATTTTGTAAGCCCAGGAAGCTCCGATAGGAAATCCATTAAGTTCAGACATGTACAATAAGCTGTCTGCTCGACATTGGACACTGATGTTCCCTTCTATTGGGGTCAGAAAGTTTTGAAGTATAGGGATCCAATCAGTCTGAAATTTAATCTCAATTTGTAACTGATTTAACACTATTCCTATATAATATTCTTATACTGGATAAAGGCACTTAATTTGTAAAATTTATTATATCTTCTCACAATGTAAAAATGAGAGCTACAATTATAAATGTGATTAGATTTTTTATGATAGTATTCACAGAATTGCCACAATTTAAAGAACACAATATCGTTTTTGTGATACTACATAATTTCATAGAACACAAATCAATTTTTGGAAAACATCTTAATTCTGTCTATTTAGCATGAAAATGCGTTTGTTCTAATCTATGAAGGAAACAGCTTATTAGGTCAACTTAATTTGTTACAAACATGTTCAATGTTCAGGGTTATTTATGAGTGTAATTTTACCTCTGCTTCTGCATTTTGAAATTCAGATGGAAATAAGAATTGCTTGTTGAACCTCCAATGTTGTATTACTGATTTGAAAGGAGAATCGTCTGTACTACATACACCATAAAAACAATAATGATAATAATGTGTTTCAACATAAAAGCTTTATAAATGAAATAAATTATTTTTATAAATAGGTCCAGGACTAAATAGTCTAAGCTGGTGTTTCCAATGCAAGTGGATTTTACTTGCGTGCAATTCCATAATAATTGCGGTATAAATTATCCCTAGTACAAAACCAAGCTTAGAACTTTCCCGTGGTTCTTTTCCCTAATCAAAATTTGAGGAAAATCTGTCAAGGGGTTCATGAGTTATAATTGGACATACAACAAGCAAACAGAGATTACTACTTTGTAAATTTATAGTTACCTAGAGCTAGCATGGACTGTTGCCAGAATACCAACAACCCAATTCCATTTTTGAACCATCTAAAACAGACATTTTTATTTTATATCACAGTTTTATAGCTAGGTTTCTTTTACCATAAAAAGTGAGTTTTGTGTGGTTATTGTTGTGAGCCCTTTTATATCAGTCTAAGGGCTGATTATACAAACTTGTTTACAATTAAAGATATGTTAATTCTCTCAATCTTTCATTTTTTTACAATCATTATTGAGTTTTCTGATGATAATTATTCTTAATGTTGAAAACAGCTTACTTTCAGATTTTGCTTCTAAATACACAATTTAATAAGTATAAAAGATATAAATACCGTAAATATCAAAACAGCTGACATTTTGGGAAAAAAATTTTGTGGCTACTCTCATGATCCTAACGAAGGTTTAAGAATAGTTGAAAATTAAAAAATTTAGCTTGGAAAAAATTGCCGCCATTTATTAGTTTTGAAAATTCACCAATTTAAACAGAATAATCCGCAAAATTTAAAAATCTAAAACAATATTAACAGCTAAAATTGATACGAGAAAAGAGGCGTTCAAAAATCCTAGTAAGATCCTCTTTCTTCCGCAGTAAAATAAACATTGACAATTCAGTCAGAGATATCTTTGTTTTTTGATTTATCTGTTATCTTTAGGAGACTTGATGATGCAAATTTTATGTTTACATAACAATATAAACTATAAATTATAAATTATTTAAATAACAATTTTTAGCAATACCTTTCTCATTTCTAGAAAATGAGTTTAGTTATTCGATAGTGAATGCAGAATCTTTTCAACATTTTCACAAAGTGGGATATGTGTTGCTTTTTTATACCAGAACAAAAAATGGAAAAATTACACAGATAGTAACAATACTAAAAATAATAATGTATTGCGAGATTTCGTTTGATATGCTTAAAGCCATTGTTAAAACATTTTCATTTTTGGAGATCATTTAGGTCATTCAAGGTCCTAAGAGGTCATTAGAAGGTTAAACACTGTATTTGTTGCTACTACTGTATTCCCTGCAGGGTTCCTAGCTTTCGTTTGATATGCATTAAGCCATAGCTGAAATAGTTTCTATTTGTGGAGGTCATTAGAGGTCATTAGAGGTCATTAGAGGTCATTAAAATTCAATTTGATTTTATTTTAGGAATTTCGATCACTAATTAGGTGTGCAGCTAAAAAATTGGAAGATTTGAACCAAAAATAAAGGCAGGGCCCCCCCCCCCCTACATCAAATGTGCCATCTCCACCATCCTCTTTATATAAAAATATTTTTTACAATTGTGTCAAGGTTTAAAAGGTCTGCGACCGTTATAGATTTAGCCCAGGTACATACTTAAAATAAAACCAAGAACACAATAAAATAAATGGACAATTGCGTTGAAATATCAAAAGCAAACAAAGCAGAAAGAGTACGAGCAGGGATTCTCAGAATACAAGCGAATACTAAATAGATTTTAAAGTTTAATAAATTAATTGTAATGCAATGAAATAAACAGTTTCAACTTTTAATATACATTCAGGACATACAATGTTTTTAGGCTTATTAAAAAAGGTTTAGAGAACATTTCAAATGCCAGTTTTTTTAAAGATGTTTTTAGATATAACTGTTTTTATAGTTCAATGGAACTAACAGGTAAATGATTGGAGGGAAGCTGTTTTAAGTAAGTTGTTTCACAAGATTCGATAGCAAAATTATTTGTTTGAGTTTGCAAGTTTGAATATATTATTATCTGTAGATGTAACTAAATGGATGTAAAATTGAAAGCTACCCTTCTCTGTGAAGATCTCTGTACTTCATGTTTTTGAGAAAAAGTTCAGGATGATTTTAAAATTCAGCAGCAATGCAAATGCTAAATGCTGATCAAACATATAGGAATTATCAGATCAGAGTTAAAATTTTTAAACCTTGAAAAACAACAATATCTTACCCATTATTGATTATATAAAGGTTTCAGTGGTATCATCCGGCATTACCATCTTTCAATGGAAGGTCGCTTGTAATCACGCTTTCAGTCCCTTCAAATAGATAATTTTGATCACTGTTCACTTCAGGCAATGTTATCAATGTTGTTGAGATTTAAGAGTATAAATGTACTCTCTCGGTTTTTCATGAAGATTGTGATTCATTGTTTGAAGAAGAAACATCTTATCGTTTAAAACTGCTCTAGCTATAAAATCTCTAATTGATGGAATTAAGAACTTTTTATTAACCTAAAAACAGGATTAAGGAACTGCATAATTAATGACGTTGATTTGACCCTAAACAACTACGGTGTGGGGGGAGATAGATACTTTCACAAGGGCTTTCCCCCAAGCGACAACTTCCCAAGGGTATTTTCCCAAGTGGCAACTTCCCAACTGTAAAATTTCCCAAGCGGCAACTTTCCAAGTCTGTCCTAGCATGTTCTAACTGGACCGCTTGGCTCATAGACAGTCCTAGCCGCAGCGGTCGGCCCCTTATTGCAGCCTGTGGTGCCTCAGAAGGCGTAACCTAACCTCCTAACCTTTGGGAACTTGGGAAATTGCAACTTGGGAAATTGTCACTTGGGAAGTCGCCCATGGGGGTGGGGAGAGGGTAGAGGGTTGACAGTTAAAATGATAAATTTAACCTCTTACCCCCCCCCTTTTTTTAGGGTTAAACAAATCTAGAAAACCGTGAAAAACTTGCATTTTCATAGGAAAAACTTTCTACACATAAAAACTTTAAAAAAATGAGAACGGGGAAGAATCAGATGGAAATATAAAAAATAAATGAGGTTTTTAAATTTTGTTCATCTATTTAATTAGATTGACTCACAGATATAAAGATATTTACTTTACAATTTTTTAGGTAAGTGAATGTTGTACCTTGTAGATGGCCCTCTATCTAACGGCAAAAATCTCATGTATAGCCTTGTACAGTGGGTTAAAAAAAAATGCTTTTTCTTTATAATTTTGATACATCTTGGATACTAGGATTTATACTGGAGAAGAGGTCGACTTAAAATATATCTATCGGATGTATGAAAGCTTAAAATATATCTATCGGATGTATGAAAGCTTAAAATATTTCTATCGGATGTATGAAAGCTTAAAATATATCTATCGGATGTATGGAAGCTTAAAAGAGGAAATAGTATTAATTATATGAATTTGGTGCAGGGGATATATACGGTCATCGTCGTATACATTAATAGAATAAAGACGACTTTCGATTTCAATTTTGATTTCTACCAATCTTTCCAACAGCAGAGACACATTTAAACAACGAGAAGTTGTCATTCAAAAGCTTCTCTTAGTTCCTTAGGGATCAAAGCTTTTAAATAAAAAGTCGTCTTTATTGTATTGATATAATCGTCGATCAGTGTGTTTAAAAAATATGTTATTTCCTAATAAAACTAAATAAAAATATTATCAGTTAATGTACAGTACGCTTTGCTCTTATAAAGGTTACAGATAATTTTTATCTTATCGCAAAGTTGACCTTAGCCCAGCAGTTTAAATTCTAAAGTTTTCTTATAGCGTCATTTCTTCTAAAATATATGCAATGATTTATTTAAGTAAGGATAAATACTTACTTACTAGCTTTCTAATTAACTGATTCACAATCTAATTAGCTGACTAGCATATGAACTATAAACTAACTAACTAACTAACTAACTGCCTAGCTAATCAGATAACTAATTTACTAAATAACTAACTAACTAACTAACTAACTAATTATTAAATAACTAACTAACTAACAAACTAGTTTATGATAACTAAATACTATCTAAGTACCTAAGCATAGATTTAGCGTATAATAATATATCTTACTTACGGTGTAACGGACTAACGTTTGAAAACAGAAATATTTTCAAATGATTGAAAACTCAACTTTAAACAAAAACTTTCTGATTGCTATTAATTACTTGTTATGGATAATTATGTTTTAATACTGGGTGACCCACAAAGAATGAGACTGTAAAGACGACATTAGACTCTAAAATATTACCGTACTGCAGAGTTAAAGCAAGACGTCTTGAAGATATATTGATTTAGCAACAGACAAGTATGAATTCCACACTGTCGTCTTTCAAGTTTCATCCTCTAAGGTTAACCATATACAGGGTGTCCCAAAAACATGGGAATTCAGTGACGAACTGGATATCTTCTTTGTTATGATTTAGCATTGTCATAACTAATTTCAAAAGCCATAATATTATTATGTCTGCTAGAGTTTATTTTATGAAAAGGGTAAAAGACTGTAAAGATGTGTCTTTAATGTCTCCGCAAGATGAACAGTAAAGACGGACAAGTTTACTCTGTTTGTATACTGCAATTTTCTTGTTTTACTAAGTACAACCGTATACAGTCAAACCATAAACAAAACAAAATGTGAACATAGCAGACGAAACTCTTACAGATTACAGCTTTCTCAGTAGGTATCACTATACTAAATCAAAGAATTATTTAAAAAGACGATATCGAATTCGTCACTGAATTCCCATGTTTATTGGGACACCCTGCATTAATTAAAATCACAGATAGGAGACTAGATCTCGTCTTTTCAAGATTTGGATTAGACTCGTTCATAATTACCCTGAGGCAGAAGGTGAAGCCCAAAGGAATTTCGCACAGTCGGCGTAGAACAGACTGGAGGAAAAATTATAGAAGTTTCATTTATAAAAACTGGAGGAAAATTATAGCAGTTTCATTTATAAAAATTGGAGGAAATTATAGAAGTTTCATTTATAAAAACTGGAGAAAATTATAGAAGCTTCATTTATAAAAACTGGAGAAAATTATAGAAGCTTCATTTATAAAAACAGGAGAAAATTATAGAAGCTTCATTTATAAAAATTGGTGGAAATTATAGAAGTTTCATTTATAAAAATTGGAGGAAATTATAGAAGCTTCATTTATAAAAACTGGAGAAAATTTTAGAAGCTTCATTTATAAAAACTGGAGAAAATTATAGAAGCTTTATTTATAAAAATTGGAGGAAATTTTAGAAGTTTCATTTATAAAAGTTGAAGGAAATTATAGAAGCTTCATTTATAAAAATTGGAAGAAATTATAGAAGTTTCATTTATAAAAATTGGAGAAAATTATAGAAGCTTCATTTATAAAAATTGGAGGAAATTATATAAGCTTCATTATAAAAACTGGAGGAAATTATAGAAGCTTTATTTATAAAATTGGAGGAAATTATAGAAGCTTCGATCATTTATAAAAATTGGAGGAAATTATAGAAGTTTCAATTTCATTCATAAAAATTGGAGGAAATTATAGAAGCTATATTCATAAAAATTGAAGGAAATTATATAAGCTTCATTTATAAAAACTGGAGGAAATTATAGAAGCTTCATATATAAAAATTGGAGGATATTATAGAAGCTTAGATCATTTATAGAAATTGGAGGAAATTATAGAAGCTTCATTTATAAAAACTGGAGGAAATTATAGAAGCTTCATTTATAAAAATTGGAGGAAATTATATAAGCTTCCATTTATAAAAATTGGAGGAAATTATATAAGCTTCCATTTATAAAAGCTGGAGGAAATTATAGAAGCTTCATTTATAAAAACTGGAGGAAATTATAGAAGCTTCATTTATAAAAACTGGAGATCCGGCCTCCCCCCTCCATATCTTGGACCCTAGCCTAAGGTGGTCATTGGTCAGAGGTTATAAAATACACATTACACTAGTTTAGTTTGTACAGTTACACTGTATATATCATGCGGATCAGCTGAGTTCTTACGAATACATCATTTATATATTTAACTCCGAGATCAGAAAGCGGAATACGTTGTATTATCGTGAAAACTGGAAAAGATTGTATATTCATTTTCTGGTTATAACAATGGAAGGTTTGAAAAGCCCGGACGTTGAAGTCTCTGCCCGTCCTAAGCGAGTGAGGGTGAGGAGAGAGCGGCACAATGTCCCTGAGATGTTAATCCACGAGAATCCATCTCCTCTGACTGGTCTGTTCCTGCTGGTTGTTCTGTACTGGTTCTCTTCATGGTTCTTACCCCTGCTGAACGTGCTGACCTTCCCCTACACCTGCATCTACCACCTGGCCGCCTCCACCACACCCCTCGTCACATCTCTGCTCTCATACATAGCGCCGGTGTTTGTGTACGGTGCCGGGATCTATACCCTGTATCAGTACATCACTAAAACACAAACAAGAGACCAATAATAGTTTTAGTGATCTATCTCTTTAATTCTTGAATTATCGAGTTTTCTCTCATGACAGTCAATATACGAAAGATATATGAAAAAGTACCAAGATATATTCTATATTCAATCCTGTATAATGAAGTTTTATTTTATATTCTGTTTATCATACTCAAAAATGTTTTTTAATAAATAACAAGTAGACATGTTTAGATGTCGTCTTTTAACTGACTTGTTTGGGAGAGAGAAAAGTTTCAGAGTTACCCACAAAGGATAAGACTTTAAGAGACGACTGTACGGAATTTATTCGTCTTTTATTTAGACTTTTGACTTGTTTCTTTCTTATTGACTATTTAACTATTTAAAACTATTTAAAACGTTTGAATTAGAAACATGAAAGGTAGAAGTTCAATATAACCATGAGATCGTTACGCTTAAAGAGTTCAGAGTCGTTTTTAAATGTAATTTTTGTGGTAACCCTGTATATATGGTTACATGGTTATTTTCATTGAAATTCAACTTTTATGAAAAATATAATGTTTATTACATTTCCCTCGTCAATGGTTTCAAAAATATAGAATACATTCAATCTAGTGTTGGTGGGGGCCATTTTTTACGCACCCCCACTTCAAGAAATATTCCTTTACGCCCTGGGAGACCTGGGATTAATGGATTAATTAATTCAATTGTTTTTGGTTATGTCGTCTTCTACATAAACCCAATTGTCGTCTTCTTTATTGCCTTATTTTTGTGCTTATTTATGAGAAAGCAGCTTAATAGTATTCACACGAGAACAAATATTATGAATAATGTTGATGATAAAAACAGTTTACAGATTCCAGCTTTAGTCTGGAACATCTGTATAAAGCACGAGGCCGATCGATTTTTACAGCTTAATATAGAACTGTGTCTGTAAACAGAATTTCAAGTAAATTTCTTCAGCAATCCGTCGGTATGGCTTGTCCGATTCACATAAATCATATTTCTTTTTTATTCTCTTTAAAAATGTGGTGAATTCTGTCAATTTCCAGTCTTGTCTCTTTCATAATTCCAAAGGAAACTTTGAAAAAGTGGAAGTAATAAATTTTCTATGTAAAAAAGAGAGATTTTTTATGATACTTCCTAGACCAGAAAGAATTTTAAAGAAAACCTTTGTGAATCAGACATACCTGCACTTAACTTAATAATTTCAGAGGTGTCACAATTGAAAATCTTAATGTATGTATTACAATTGTACATTCTAAATTCTTGGAAGTCATTGCCGGTGTGGCATATTCACACTCTTTCTCAGCTGAGAACTTTTCTATTGTGGATATCGAGATCAATGCTTGTTCTCGATCTTTTGTTAATCTGCAGATTATTCTAATCTTTATACGATATCCCGCAGTGTAATTGTATACATATTTATGCTCAAATAGACAAAGAAATCTAGCGATCGGGATTCGGGATTCGGGATCGGAATTATCCAACACAAGTTCTGCAGCTGAGCCTGGTAAATCTAACGGTAAAGAATGTACTGCTAAAAGCTAAAAAACAGTATTTGAAGAATAAAAAAACATGAAGGAATATAATTTTTTTATCAAGCATGTGAGGATATGGCCTACATCCCCACCCCCTTCCAATAGAAGTCTGAGAAGGGTCTTGTCCGGTGTCTCCCGCCTGGTATTTGCCCTAGCCTGAAAAAAATGATTTGCCCAAGCGTACAATGCATGGACACTGGGGACAAGGAGGGGGAGAAGTTTAGTAAGTTTAGATACTATTATCAATCTGATTCTGAATCAGTTGAAGTTTGGAGTTCATAGCGCCGGGACGCGAGTGAACAAGTTCTATTTTAAGAGTTAAAACAAAGACTTTTGATTCATGTGTAAATTAAATTAAATTAATATAAACTGATACAGGATGTTTCAGCAATTATTTAAATTATTAAACATGTTCGGATCATTTAAGGAAATTCTGTTTGCTATTAAAAGTTAGTTTAAGACTTATTCTACAGCTTAACACATAATAAAAGATTGCTATACAGCTGAGCTATATAATTTATTTCAATGTTAGGAGATTTTCTGGAATGAGTAATATTTTATTCGTAAAGTAAATTTTCAATGAGCTTCGTTGCTACACGTGTTTTATAATATAATAAATATATATATAATCCTTCTTCCATCAGGATTAAAATTTATTTTTAGCCCCCCTGGCATGCCCCCCCACGACCCCACCCCCGGCCCCCTCAACCGCTTCTGCAGAAAATATATGAGGTTATAATTGTTTTGTTTTTCTAGTGTTTTTTAGGATTTAAAAACAATATTTTTAGCCACAACACGGCTTCTATAATAAAGGATTATTCACAAAGATGAGACAATAATGACGACCTTGAGCTCTATAAATACTAGTTTAGGTTTATTCTGCATTAAATCAACGATATCTTGCAAATTATAATAAATAATTTAACAATAACTGTAGTCTGTCTGTACATGAAGGGGAGGGCCTCAGCAACCTTTAATTTAATATGTTTAGATTTGATAAAGAACATTTAACATATCTAGTTTTGATAAAACTTATTGTTTGAAAATTGGAAGTTACAGGTTCTTTTAACAAAAAACTTATTATTTGCTTTAAAAGTTTTGTTCTAGTGGACCCTCCCCCCCCCTCCCAGCCTATCCTTTCTTCCAAACTTAAATAATTGCACTAAAGTGCATCTGAGCCCTGCACTGATGAAAAATGCATGAAAGGAGTGCCTTAAACATGGTACAAGTATATGCTAATTGTGCTAGGATGCATTCCTCTTTTTGTTCTTTCTGATATTAAAGGGACTGTAAGTGAAATTTAAAATAACCCTTCATGCAAATATGTCGGATCAACAACAGTACCTTTAAAAGCTTGATCTGATCAAGCAGGAATAAGATATGTTTTTGTTTACAATTTTGAAAACTGATTATTTTCAATTGTAGTTTGGTTACAAAAGGGACGTGCTTTTTTACAAGAGAAAAAAACATATTATTAACCTAGAAGAACGACAATTGCTTCCACATTATTGATGAGACAAAGTTTTCAAGGGTATGGTTGTGAATCGCGCATTGTCATCTTTGTCACTTAAAATTACGCTTACAGTCCCTTTAAGACAGCAATTAACTTTATTAGATGAGTATTTTAATTTAATAAGTGCCAAGAATGGAATCATAACGATGTCCTTTGAGCTAAAACATGGATATCAGTGTAGAAAGTACTTTTCGAGAAGCTTCTTGAAGTCAAATCATTTATTTCTACATAAATGACAAGCAAAACATGGCCGAGACTTGTCACAGCCTACGCTATGCATCATATTCGTTTCTTAGATGAAACTTAAAGTGTGTTATAGTGAATCGTTGATGATGTCAATATTTTAATTAAGAAGACCATTTATAACAATCTATTTAATATAAAATATTTTCTAAATTTTAATATTCCAATTAAAGTTTCAGATTATCATAGTTTCAACAATGATGGCTTGAAACAAACAGACAGGCAGAGAAGCAGACAAAAACCCGGGAAAGATTTTTCACAGATTTTAAACTAGGGAAGATGAAAGCATTGTTTATATTTTCCCCAAGCTGAAACATAAACAACAAAACCTATAATTTTATAAACCTAAAATATTAGAAAAACGAAAAATGTTGAATTAATTAAGAAAAGTAATCAAAAAGTTTATGTTCGTTTTTTAATTGGAAAACAGTTGCAGTGAGATCCAGAAAACTCTGGAAAAGGAAGACGAATTTAAGACCCAAAGATGAATTTTAAACTCAAGTTCTGACTTCAATAGCCCAATAAACATAAGCAACATCAATTGTACAGTGTAAATAGACCAATTTCACTTAATAATTGATTTAATAACTTACTAGAAAAAACAATTTTCTTTGTAACAATATCATGGGCTTTAATGTCGTCTTCCTATTCCACAGTTTTCTGGTTCTCATTGTATGAAAAATACTCTTCCCACATTTCTTTATGGAAATCAGGAAACAGGGGAAAGGAGGATATAAAAAATATTTTTATGATTTAACATTTAACTTTTATATATTTAATAATTCACACTTGAACAAACATTTTTATTTATTCAAAAATCTTTATTATTGGATAAATATGTAAACTTTAATTAATAACGAATACATCGAAAGAATTCATCAAATGTCGTATTCTTCACTTTCAGATAATGGAATGTTGCAGATATTTAGTTTTTTAATTAAATGAATATACAGAACTGTTTAAAACTGTTCCCGCAAATTCATAGCTATTTATTTATTTTCGCAAATACTGAAATATACGAAATATAGTATAAAACTCATTGAAAAATTGTCAAGACGACATTTGATAAATTCTACCGATGTATTCGTTATTAAGGGTTTCACTTTATATAAAGTTTCACGTTTGCCGCGTGAAGCCATTTATGTACACTGTACACTGTACAGTGTACACCACAGTCTTAAAGATGTATAAATAGATAGGATACTTTTTCCTTTAAGCATATTAAATATCAAAGCCTGCTGGATTTAAGTATCAAATTTAAATATTTAAATTCAAAATATCATTTTTTACTTTCAATTTCTCTCTTTTTTCTAGAAAACAAGTTTAGCAATTGTCTATTAAAACAAAATAATTAATAAAAATGAAAAGTAAAGTGTAAAGTTCAAACAATTTCACTCCTTATCAAAAAGGGTAAAAATGGATATTATATTCATCTTAAATCAGACAAAGGTTCAAAAGATACTTTTGCGAATCGGATAGGCCTGGTTTTAAATGGTTGGTCTCTTGAAAATTCGTAGACAGTCCCTTTAGGTAAGTAAAACATGTATATAAACATGTACTGTATATAAAGAACCAATGTTAAAACTTGTGAGAATTCAATGCGACTGCAGCGACACTCCCCCTCCACGTTATATACATCTATGTATTAAATCCAAGAAGTAAATATTCCTAATAAGTGATTTCGAGTCCACAAAAGTCTCCCCCCCCCCCCTCCGGAATAAATTATAATATAGAGTCTACATTGTACAGTCAGTAATCAGTATCCCCTTGGCTGAGTCGGTAGAATAGTGTATTGGGAGTCTTCTGGAGGTTAACAGTGTAGGCTCCGCTAACGGAGGGGGGGGGGGCACTCCACCCGGTGACGGAGAGGAGACAACCCCCACCCTTGGGGGGGAGACGTGGTTACTACAAGGGAAATTAGAAAGTTGGAGAAAGGGCAAGTTTTCAAAACATATAATAAAATATTCAAGTATTTTATAAACATAATCATATAAAAATGATGTCTTTTGTTTGAATTAACTAAGTTTTCATTTGAAAATTATCAAAATTTTAATCTTATCTTTTGGCAGAATTTGACGAAGTCACACCTTACCGTGAAATGATTATAAGATAAGAGTTAAATGAAGTATTAATTAGAATATATTCCTGAAATAGTTTTCTCTGATTATACATGATTACCCAAAAAGAACGAGAATTTAATGACGACCTGGAACTAGGGTAAACTCGATCTGTGGCATCAACGATATAATAAAATTATAAAATATTATAAAATATTATACATCTTGCGATGGACAATTATAGCTAATTTCGTTTTAAAGAAACTTTTAATATTTTTTAGACTTCTTTTAGGATAACACATTTGCATGTTTGATAAAAGCGAACTTATACAGTTTAAAGTTTTAAAATGTAAAACGAATCTGACTATTGCTCATCCCTTTACATAACAAATGAGTAAAAAATACAACTTTAAAATGGCCCACTTCAAAACACTTTAAAATAAAAAAGTAGTTAAAAAATGAAACCTAAAAAGGTGGTTTAGTGAAAATCAAAAATGAAAACTATCAAATTGTGTTGTATTTGTAAGATTTTTCGTTGTTTTTCATGTTTTTCAATTTATAAAATTAAAGAATTAAGATTAAAAATGCTTGACCTGGCTCAGTGCCAGAAACCAGGGAAGAGAATGACTTTTCGCGGCATTCGCACAACCAAGTTCCGCCATGTTTTTGGTGCACCAGCGAAGAAGGAGAAATGCTTCGAGAATGTTCGAATTACGCGCAACGCTCACGAGAGTAACTACTGCGCCGTGAATCCTAAGTTCCTTGGTTTGGTTGTAGAGGTTGGTGGGGGCGGAAGCTTCATTGTTCTTCAGATAGATAAGACGGGAAGAGTAGATCATAATGTATGCAAGGTAACTTTTATTTATTAAAATGCGCAAAACAACTTTGAAAATCGTTTTCGAAGGTCAGGTATAAATAAATGTGCAATGCACTGCAGTATTGTACAGCCGTAAGACGATGGTTTATTATTATAAACAAATTAAAGAAATTTGATTTTTTTTGCACAAAAAATCTAAAAATATATTTCACGTTCACCCCAAAAAGTTGTGCACAGAAAGTTCTTTTGACAAACTTCAAGAGGCAATTTCAACTTAAAGAGACTGTAAGCGTAATTTCAAGTGACTCTCTGTGCAGTCATGTCAATGCCAGATTCACAACGGTACTCTTAAAAGCTTCGTCTGATCAATTATGAATGAGATATTAATGTTTATAATTTTAAAAACTAATTATTTTCTATTTTGATTACTCTACAAAAGTGACTGGCGTACTTCTAGTGCAGGAAAAAAGGAAAACATATATCAGCATTATCAAACACTTTCAGACCTAGAAGAACAACAATATCATATTCTCGATCAGATATAGCTTTCAAGGGTATCATTGTGAATTGGGCATTACCATTTTTAAATAAAGGGTTACTTGAAATTAAACTAACCTTTAAATACAGAATTCTGTCAATCAAGCAAAATATAAATTAATTGTTAATGTTGCTAGACGTCAAACTAGAGTAAATTAAACCTAAAATTACAAATCTCGTATTTTTTCAATCATAACTCCTCTTATTGAAAAAACTATTGAGAAGAACAAAAATGCTTTAAGTTTTTGAAATGTAAACAAATAAAGTTGTTTTTCTTTTACTTAAAATGCGTATGCGTAAAATCAAAACTAGAGGAGCTACGCGATCACAAAGTCGGACCAGTAATGTCGCATTCATTTGTCCTTCTCCTTCTGTATAGTTTTCAGTGACCAAAGAATTATAATGTAAAGAACGTTATTTTAGAGGTGTATGCATTTTTTTGTACTGCAGTGTTCTGTAAAGTAAACACAAGACGGATGTCACAGCCTGACATGGGCTCCATCTTATACATAAAAATCAATGAACTATTCTGGTCATAGGAAACTATTATGTGAATTATCAAAATTAAATGCTTTTATCCTCCTCGGATACTAGAGGAACACTGATGCGAGCTGGGGAAGGCAGGCCGCCATAAGCCACAACATTTTTCTTTTGCATGCCACATATTATCTTTTTTGTTTTCCGGCATGAGCACAACCGTAGGTCTTCCATGCCATAGCATTTGAGTCTTAACCGGCAGTTATTGGGTTTTTAAATGATAAATCTAGGGCATGGAAATTGCAATTTTTAAAAATCCTGCTGCATTTCGCGAAAAATCATACCTTTAAGAAATTTTAGAAGTTTATTAAAGATCAATAAATTGTGTGTTCAATTTATAAACTGATTTACATTATACAAAGAAAAATATATATATATATATATTCTTCTCCTTCTAGGTGTCTGGGCACAGTGGTCCAGTAATGGATATATATATATTCTTCTTCTTCTAGGTGTCTGGGCACAGTGGTCCAGTACTGGATATAAAATGGAATCCTTTCAATGATAATATTATCGCAAGCTCCAGCGAGGATTCATCGGTTTGTACAATTCATTTTATAAATGTTAAAAGAATAGTTTAAAGTCCTGTTTTAATAGTTTTAATTTATTATTAATATTGTCTATACTCGTCCACTCTTATCAAGTTTTCAGCTTGAACAACATTAGCTTTCTACTAGTTAAATTGTTTTTTTTTATTAACATTTTTATTCTTTTTTGTTATTGGAATTGTCTTTTTTTCAGTGATGTTTTCGCTTTCTTTTTGGTTGAGTCTGCTTTAAATCTGTTTTAACTTGAATCTTCTTCTTTATAAATAAACTTTTTTTGTTTATTATTAATGTTAATATAATTATTAAATAATTTTATTTTGTTATTATCATTGTAATCTTTATTATTATTATTATTATTATCATTATTATTATTNATAGAATATTATTGTATATTTCTAGACGAAGAGTTGGGATAATAGAATATTATTGTATATTTCTAGACGAAGAGTTGGGATAATAGAATATTATTGTATATTTCTAGACGAAGAGTTGGGATAATAGAATGGCACCCAACAGCTGAAAATATCCTTGTATCTGCTGGATATGATCATATTATCATTGTCTGGGATATATCAAGAGGAATTCAGGTAAACTTCAACATTTAGGATGCGGAAATTCCGAATGGAAATTAGGAATCTGGATACATATTATTCGGAATCTGGAAACATTAAATTCGAAATCCGGATACAAGTAATTCAGAAACGGATACATGTTATTTTTAATTCAGAAACACATAATTCGGAATCCGGATACATGTAATTAGGAATCAGGATACACATAATTCAGGATCCGGATATACGTAATTCAGAATTCGGATGCATGTAATTAATTTGGATACGCGAAATTCGGATACAAATAATTCGGAATTTGGATGCACATAATTTGATATCCGGATACACGTAATTCGGAATCCTGAAACACGTAATTTGGAATCCGTAACCACGTAATTTGGAATCCGGATACTCGGAATTCGGATCATAAAAGCATGGATCAAAATTTTAAAAAGGTAATGAACAGTGTTTTATAAAAATATGTAGGAATAAAATTTAAAAGCGTGTCAAGAAATTTAGTTTTTGCCACAAACTCAAATTAAATCCCTATATCTTTTCAGCCTTTAAAATTCAAACTTCAATTATTTGGTCTAACAGAGTTCATAGTTTGAAATGTTTAATGTCTACGACATTGGGTTGCAAAATATAGGGATTAGAAAATTAGATTTTGTGGCAAAGACTCGATTCCTCTAATTAGACTTCTATCATGTATTGAGATATTAAAATTTTTAACGAAAAAGATTAGATTAGTATAAAAGTAAAAACGGACCTTGAATGAAAATTACAGCTCTCAGTCTCAGACATAAAAAATACTACTTAATCAAATATATAAGATGTTCGTCCGAGTTTTGTGTGAGCACAAAATCTAAAAAAATGTTTTGAATGAAAAATGTAATTTTATGGATAAAAGAGATTAATGGATAGTTGATGGTTTAATTACGTGAGTTTTACCTTTTATTAAAATAAAAGCACCCAGAGGACATTTTGTGAAGATAAGAAAACATTAATTTTAGTTGAAGAAAACTTTAGAAGAATGGTATACATTGAATTAAAGCTTAATTAACTGAATATCTAACTGTAAGATATAATTGTTCTATTGAAACAATGAAAATTATTCCAAACTAAATTCATCAAAGTCAACTTCTTGAATAATTTAAGGTTTTCATTCTCTTTCATGTATTTCTTCATACATATTTTGATTACTATATGCTTTTTTGAAGTAAACTGAATTTTTTAAATTATTTTTTTTTAAAGTTTAGTTTTTTTACATTTATTTGTTTTTAACCATTTTTTTTCAAACTCGGTTTTAAAAGTAATTGAAACCCTGTATTTATAGACGGACATTCACGATTCAACATCGTAAAGCTTTTAAAGGGTACCGTTGCAAAGTGTACATGCCAATCTTTTGGAAGCAAGATTACAGACCCTTTAAAGGAAAATAAAGAAAAATAAATTTAGGTTTCCAGAATTGATTCCCACACGGATACTATCTACAGTTTGTCTTTCAACAGGCAAGTAAATATTTTCTCACGGCACGTTAAACTTAAGTAAATATTTTATCAGGGCACGGTAAACTTAAGTAAATATTTTATCAGTACACGTTAAACTAAAGTAAATATTTTCTCACGGCACGTTAAACTTAAGTAAATATTTTATCAGTACACGTTAAACTTAAGTAAATATTTTATCAGGGCACGTTAAACTAAAGTAAATATTTTATCAGGGCACGTTAAACTAAAGTAAATATTTTATCAGGGCACGTTAAACTAAAGTAAATGTTTAATAACGGCACGTTAAACTAAAGTAAATATTTTATCAGTGCACGTTAAACAAAAGTAGATATTTGATAAGGGCACGTTAAACTAAAGTAAATGTTTCATTAGGGCACGTTAAACTTTAGTAAATATTTTATCAGTACACGTTAAACTAAAGTAAATATTTAATAACGGCACGTTAAACTAAAGTAAATATTTTATCAGTACACGTTAAACTTAAGTAAATATTTTATCAGGGCACGGTAAACTTAAGTAAATATTTTATCAGGGCACGGTAAACTTAAGTAAATATTTTATCAGGGCACGTTTAACTTTAGTAAATATTTTATCAGGGCACGTTAAACTAAAGTAAATATTTTACCAGGGCACTTTAAACTTTAGTGAATATTTTATCAGAGCATTTTAAACTAAGTAAATATTTTATCTCAAGGTTGAGGGCACGTTAAACTAAAGTAAAAATGTTGTCTGAAGGTATAGGGCACGTTAAACTAAAGTATATTGAACGTAAGATTGAAATCTTATATGCTTTCAATCATTTGTCATCTTATTGAGCAAACAAAAATGTTTTGAATTCCTGATAACTAACTAACTAACTAACTAACTAACTAACTAACTAAATAACTAACTAACTAACTAAATAACTAACTAACTAACTAACTAACTAACCAACTAACCAACTAACCAACTAACCAACTAACTAAATAACTAACTAACTAACTAACTAACTAACTAACTAACTAACTAACTAACTAACTAACTAACTAACCAACTAACCAACTAACCAACTAACCAACTACTAACTAACTAACTAACTAACTAACTAACTAACTAACTAACTAACTAACTAACTAACTAACTAACTAACTAACTAACTAACTAACTAACTAACTAACAGGATAAATATACTTTTCTCTTACTCAAATCCAAACTTGAGAAGCTGTAAAAAATTCGTAGCACTAATGTTCAGAGTGAGGGTGACCCACTAAACTTGACTTTAGATGATCGTTTTTGATCTTTGATCTCCGCTAATTTGAAAACACAAAAAAATGCAGATTACATTGAAAATGCCAGCTGGTTTCACAACTGACCATTTGAAATTATAGGGATAACTACTATTAAAGGACAAAAAACATCTGCTAGGGGTTTGTCCAAAGCAGTGCGGCTAGGATGCGTTAGGGCACATGTACCGGATACCCAGCCAGCTTGAATTTGTTGTATACAAAGCGCTGGGTCAACTTGGTGGTAAGTCGACGGGGAAATGTGGACGCTGTACGATTCTAATAGAACGATAATCTTCGTGTTGGTTTTGATTATGCAACGATAATAACGTTTATTTCTTGATAAGCTGTCGTTACAAAAAAGAGAGGAACCTACCATTATTGTTCTTTTTTTTAGTTTTGAATATCGGAAATATTAAATGTTTTTGTTTTCGGTGTACAGAAGTGGATCTCTGCTCGCCACTACATGTAAGGATAAGAAGATACGGATACTAGATCCTAGAACAGGAGAAGTCGTCACAGAGGGAGATTCACATCAGGGAAACAAAGCTTCAAAGGTGGCCATTCATTTTTTGGTACAGTGTTAGACTATTATAGTAATACAATGAAGACGACTTTCGCTTTCAATTTGAGTTATTATGCTGTGAAACACCATGGTTACTCATAATATAGAAATCAAGAGAAGCTATCAATTATAAATGTTGCTATTTGATTACTTTTAACTTGAAGTAAGAAAAAAGCTTGTTAACAATCAAAACTTAAAGAATAAAGTTGTTTTTATTATAAATAACATCGCTGACCACTTTAATATCCTATGCAATCCCGCCTAATATAAAAGAAACCCAAATGACTATCCATCATTTTAACCTAACCTTGATGAAATGGAGTGTGCGTGTTTGCACGGGATAAGGTCTTGAATTCTCATGAAATTTTAATCCAGCTTTTTTTTACCTTTTCAAAGGTCTCCTTCCTAAAACTCCTAGAAGTGCTTAATAGGGGGATTCAAGTGGTATCACATCGTGTATTGATGTTCTTCAGTCGCAAAAGTCGAAAATAAGATTATATTGGGGTCCGATTATCTCCCTTAAAATGGGATTATTCATAAGCAAAGGAGTTGAGTCCTTTCTGAAGTTTTCTTATCCCAATATCTTTGCAACCTGATAGTTATATTTCAAACTATGAGTTCTGTTACAGGGTTTCCCACGAAACATGACAGTGGGTGAAAAGTTTTGCAGGTCTTCATCCATAAACTTTATTTGGTCATAACAGTCATTTTGCAGTTTATTTCTTGTGACTCATCTTTTGTTCAAAAATAGTTCACTTTGATATCAAAAACAACCTAACAAATTATGGAAGAAGTCATTTTAACTATTTACCAACTGTCATGTTTCGGTGGACACACTGTAGATCAAATAATCTAAGTCTGAAATATCAAAGGTTTAGATTTTCATTTTACAAAGATATGATGATTAGAAAATTTGAGTTTGGTTTTCTGAGATTTCGTCCGTGTATGCATTATCCGTTCTTTTACAAAAATGGAATCCTAACTTTTTAAAACTATTTTGTTGTTCAGGTTGTTTATCTGGGAGACACAGGTCGGATATTTACAACTGGGTTCTCCAAATACTCAGATAGACAGATAGCAGTTTGGAAGGAAGATGACCTTTCATCTCCTCTGAGAATGGACTCCGTAGACTCGTCCTCAGGTGTTATTATTATTATTATTATTATTATTATTACTATTATTATTATTATCATTATTATCATTATTATTATTATTATTATCATTATTATCAGGGATTCTAATACCATTCTATGATCATGATACAAGGATGGTCTATGTAGCAGGAAAGGTAAAAAAATCTTAATTAGCAAAAAAATTAAAATTTTCAACCATTTATAGAATATTTTGTTTTTGTTAGTTTCCTAATAAATTTCTCCTGAAAAAACCTAAACTCTCCTTAAACTGTTGCAAAGATATAAGGATTAGAAGACTAGAGTTTGTGTCGAGTAATCATAATTCGTTTCTAAGTGTGCAAAACTTTTGAAGCGCTAAATGAAATATCCAACGTCTAATTAGAACCGAGAAGAGATGAACCATGTAAAGGGAATGTTCGCAAAAAATGAACAGCGTATACCGTATATATACCTTACAGGCTGATGTAGAATTGAATTCGATATCAATCGCTACTAAATTTACTTTTTTTCTGTGGCGTTTATAAGGAGAAAAGGGGTAAAACGTCTCATAACGAAGAACGTAAATTCACAGAGTTGCATTATTACACTCAGATCGTAAATAGTTCAATTAAATTTAAATTCAATCATTCAGATATTAAACCCAATAATGTCGATTTAATTCGATGCATTCGTATATAGTTGAATTTTCAAAATATTTTTGAAAGGGAATGACCGGCAATGTATGGTATAATTAAACTGATAATACAGTATTGGGGAGAAATTTTTTAGGAATAATGTGAGACCTATGAGACGTTTTACCTGTTACCTGTAATTTTTTTTACCTTTTTTGTCGTCGTTATTAAGTAGTTTAAAAAATCGATTCTCGAAACGTAGCCAATCAAATGGATGATTTTGATCCGTAGACTTTGCGCTCAAACTTAGTAATTTTATATCATTAAAACGTTTTATTTGTCTCAAATGTTACCTAAAGAAATTCTTCACCATACAACATTCTCAGTTCAACTATTAAACATTGCCGGTCACTCCCTTTAATGGATGTCGTTCCTCAGTAAAATCCGGGAAATATTCAGGGAGACGGGAATGTAAGATATTAAATATTCAGGGAGACGGGAATGTAAGATATTACGAGATAATCTCCGAGTCTCCGTATGTTTGCTATCTCAGTCAATTTATATCAGGTAAATATAGAAACTTTTCACAATTTCAGGATTTACCCAGGGGCGTACACAGGATTTTTTTAAGGGGTAACTTAATTTTTGTTTACTTTCCTGGGTGTTGGGCTGAAAACTTCCTGGAAACTGGATTTAGCTGATTCAGTCCCCCCCCCCCTGTGTACGACTCTGGGCTGGCTACCCACAAAGGATTATACTAAAGACACCAATAACTGTACAGAATTCATTCTTACGTTAATGGTTAACTCCAGATGTAAACTTATTTTTCCTTTTTTTATTGTCTGTTCGTAAAAAGACTTATATTCCATGAATGTGGTCCTTGAATGATTTGGCAAAGAAATAAAAATCATGAATTTAGACAGGTAATCATGAATTTAGAAAGAAACAGACAGCATAAATTCCGTACAGTCGTTTTTGAAGTACCATCCTTAGTGGGTGAACATGTAAATCAGTATGTTTTGTGGGGAGCCAATGTCCTAATTTAATGAATTTAAGCCGCGTCTCGAATCCCTCAAAAACCGGTTTCTATTGAGCGCCGGCTTAAATATTGAAAAAATAAAAACAATTTTAAGTGGAACTAACAAATTTTGAGCCGCGGCTTAAATTCTTTAAATTCGGCCTCAAATCAAAACAAATTGGGAAGCGGATCCAGAAAACATGAAAAATTAGATTATTACCAGATCGAATCCAATCGGTTCTTTTGCATATTTCTTCTTATAATTTTAAATTTGATAATTATAATTTAAATATCCTTTTTCTTTAAACATTATCAGAATTTTTTCTATTACAGGGTTTAAAAATCTAAATTGAAAAGTTCCTTTGATTTTTCTACAAATAATTCTGTGCAAAGTTTTATTTTTAGAATACTAGGCTTTTAGGAAGCTTCTCGCCCATCTTCTATCTAAATTGTAAACATGTTCTTTTTGTTTACATTTTAAAACAAAGGAGAAAAATTTTTTGCGGATTTAAAAAAAAAATCGCTGATTTTCAATAATTTAAATTAAAAACCTTTAAAACACATTTTTTAAAATTTTTATCATTCATAAACCTTCCCTGTGGTCACGTGATGTCCCACAAAAAATTTGGGCCCGATCGGTTCAGTCGTTTTGACGTTTAATGGATACAAACAAACAGACAGACAAGCCAAATTTATATATAGATTAATCGTTGTTGTGTAATCTTGGACATGGTTTCCGTAGAGTCAACGCTAAAATAAAGAATTAAGACTATTCATTATTCAAAAATGAAGATATTATTAAACTCACTTTTTGTAGGGGCTCCACAGAGAGGTTTCGGAATTATGCCCAAAAGAGGAGTGGATGTCAATTCATGTGAAATTTTTAGGTAAAAAACTAAAAAAATTATATTAAAATTATCTATTTACAATTTTAAAGTCCTCGTTCGAAATATAAACAGTTAAATGTGGAAGACGACATAAAAGCAAAAGTTAAGTTTATTTAATGTTGTTATATGCAGCAAAAGTTTCAGTTACAAATTATTTAATCACTTAATAAGTAAATTGGTTCTGTAAATACTGCACAATCGCGGTGTCACATGTTCGTTTAAGTCATAACCTGAGCCTAAAAGTCGTCTTACTATTTCAGAGTTTTTTGGTTTTTACTGTAAATTGTATACAAATATGGCGAAGCGAAAGATAATCGATAACAATAGGTTGTAATATCTGAATGATTTGTTTGAAATTAAATTGATTTTTTACGGTCTAAGTAGTATGTTACAATTTTCTGAATTTGTACGGTCACTAAGTTATTCGGTATGAGACGTCTTTTACAATGTTCTCCTTATAGACGCAATGGATAGAAGTAAGATTAGTAACGATCAAAAGCGCTTTTTTATCTCATTAAGCCTATACCCCCTTTCATTTTTCGCGAACACTCCCTTTAATATTTTTGTTTAGATTGTACAAGCTGCATGCTACCAAGGATTTTGTAGAACCAATATCAATGATCGTCCCGAGAAAATCAGATATTTTTCAACAGGTTTACACTTGTCATAAATATTGGTTATGCAAATAGAACATTAATTGTTTCTTGTCGTAAAAGGTTGAATTTATTTAATTTTGGAAATATTTTACAATATCGATTAAGGATCAATTTTGGAACAAAAAGAAACGAAATTTATATGATTTTAAATTAAACTCTTGCATAACTGAAGAAATTGAGAAATTAATAATAAATGTTATCTATAAAATAATGAAAACAAAGAAAACACGACCTTCTTGTCCTACTTATTACTAGTTTTTAAATAAATTTTTTTTCATCAAAAATTGTTCTTTTTCTCAAATAATATTTTTTTAGGATATTTATCCTGAAACCTTGGCTCCAATACCAGCTATAACAGGTTGGGAAAATTTAATATTATTTTTTTAAGGAGTTGTTTAATTTTATTCTTTGTAAATGTTTTCTTTAAAATTTCAAAACATGGATTTCTTTCTTGCAGTCAACATTTTGTTTACATTTTAGGAAATGTCATATTAGGACCCCAACTTTTCTTTTTACAAAACAGCAGCATTAAAGACTATTTATTTGTCTCAAAATATTCAGTTGGAAAGCGTTCTTTTGTTGATGCCATTTTGTAAAAACACCTAAAGAAGTTCTAGGTTTTCCACGTTCAAGAAAATATTTAAAAATAAAAAAAATATTTTAAAAGTAAAAAAACTATTCTATTATTATAATTATTTACAACTACTTTACAGGAAGAAAGTTAAGGTACTTTTTCTTTACCAATGGTTCCCAAGACCAATTTTGCGCAGCGAGGTATGTTTTGTAGACAAAATTGGTCGAGGTAGGCCGTGGTGAAGTAAAATTTTGAATTTCCCGAAAAAGTAGTTGTAAACAATTGTACCGTCTTTTAAGATGAAAATGTGCGATTTTTCCCCAAAAACTGAACAGACCAGTTGGTTATTTTACATAACTGTCCTAAGGGACGTTAAGTAACCTAACCCCCCTCTATTGGGGGAATCCTAGGTCGGTAGCGTTGGAAAAAAGGCGGTAAAAATTTATTTCAAAGTAAAAAATTATTAAGAAAGTGAACTATTTTAGCTGGAGAATGGCTGAAGGGAAAGAATAGTTCCCCTGTCTTGTTGTCTATGAAAACAGGAGCTAACACAAAAACTTTTAAGGTAAAAGCATTCAGAATAAGAAAACTTAGAGCTTTCATCACATGAAGAAAAGAGAATTTAAAAATGCGTTTGAATCCTTTTTCTCAATTGTAAATTTAAAACTTTCATACTTAATGACATTTTACACACGAATAAGCACACTTTAAATCTAAATTTTTTAAAAATTCCTATTCCATCTTTTTTTTTATATAAAAATTCAAATTCAATTTAAAAATTCCAAAAATTTTATTTTTATGTTCTTTATTTCAGCCTGTCGTGTATAAGCCCTTGGAGAACTGTATCGGAACAAGTGAACGAAATTCAGACAAGAAATTCATGTTTCTTAGAGAAGAAACTAAACCAGACTATAGGTATATACATTCAGCTGCTTCGTTTTTGCTTTTATTTTCTTTAGTAGTCCAAATTTGGCAAACAGTAAGAAAAACTTTTTTTGTTTAATTGGTGTTTTCTAAACTAGTCTTGTCTGACATTATGCCATAATTTTGACCATGAAAGAAAATATTTGCAAAAAACTAACCAAAAACGACCAAAAACGACCAAAAACGACCAAAAACGTCCAAAAAACTAACATGTTATTACGATCATTTTTAAAATCCACATTTTAATTATTTCAATCTTTTTTCGACGGTTAACAGAAAAGCCAAGATTTGGCTTTCAACTATGTAATGGTTAGGTTGTGAATTTAAATTATGGATAATTCTACATATTTATATATTATACACGTAATTTGTATTTTCTGCAATTTTTTCTTTGTTTATTTTACATAAAACAGACATTTCAAATTTGAACGTGAATATTTTGATTTCCGATGATGTTAAGTTTAAAAAACTTAAAATTTCTTTATATGTATATAGTATATACTAAACATGCAACTTTATAATCTAAAGTATTTTTTTGTGGCAACAAATAAATATTTCCAGTTTTAATGTAAAATGTTGATGCTTGGATGATGATTGGCATTTTTAGTCATTTAAAAAAACACCTACCCCTTGCACAAACTCTACTGCAGTTTACATTTTGGTAAGTTTGACCCCAATCTTCAGAGCAGTTTTGACCAGCGTGCTGTAACATGTTCCTGGATATCCTTCTTCTAGTTCTACTCGTCCAACCTTCTATCCAGGATATATCTCACTGTGAGGAAGCATCTGAGAACCTTGAAGAGCTGGAGAATATTATCTCCGAACTTAACCTTGACTCTCAGCAAGTGGTTCAGGAAATTCTTATCGAGGAAGAGACAGTTCCCAGGGACTTTTTTCCCTTTTTTGCTCCGGGTATAAGTAAAGGTCTTGCTCCGGATACCAGTAAAGGCAGTGGAAGAATTGTAGGAGGGATCCCAGCTGCGAAGGATGATCATCCCTGGGCTGTAAGCTTACGCCAGACCAAATCTTGTTTACATTTCTGCGGCGGGTCGTTGATATCTCCCCGCTGGGTTGTGACGGTGGCTCACTGCATCTGGAAATCATTACCTTGGAACACTTTTGTTGTAGCGGGAGGTAGAAGCAGTAACTCTAGAGATATGGGAGATCAGGCAGTTATAGCAGAAGACATCTACACTCACCCGGACTACAACTGGTGCAATAAGAACTACTGGAATGATATTGGGTTGATCAAACTCAGCACGGATATCAAGGTTGTCAATGTGTTCATATCCTTACCTGGACCTACAGCACTGCTCCAGCCCCTGTCTGGAACTGTGGAAGTGGTTGGGTTTGGTCGGGTGGAATTCAAGGGACCCGGAGCTCTTAGACTTAACAAAGTCTTTCTCCCTGTCCTTTCCAGCTTTCTATGCACTAAGTTAATGCAGAAGAGTAAACCTTTGATGTTCTGTGCAGGAGAGGAGGGACGTGACTCATGTCAGGGGGATTCAGGATCCGGAGCAGTACAGGGGGGAACCCTGGTAGGTTTAGTTTCACATGGAGCAGGGTGTGGAACCCAACCTGGGGTATACACTGATGTGAGACACTACGCGTCCTGGATCCAGCTCCTGGTGGAGGAGAAGAAGGAGGAGGAGGAGAAGGAGAGGGAGGAGAAGAACAAAGATCCAAAAAGAAAAAGACAAAATGACATAAAGAAGTTGATTTTCAGACTTCTCCAGTGTCATGGTCTAAGTACTAAATTTACATAATTTGAACTAACTATTGTAAACAAAGTAATAAAAGTGTAAAAATTATTTTTTTTCTTAAAATTTTTTCTTTCCTATTTGATTTCCGAAATTCTGTTCTTTAAATAAGGAGATACTTTGAATATAAACTCCGCGCACATTGTATATATATATATATATGCACTGCAGACTGATTTGTATACAGCTAGAGTATATTGTACTGTATATATATATATATATGCAGACGGATTTGTAAGCAGCTAGAGCAAATTGTACAGTATATCTATATATATATATATGCAGACTGATTTGTAAGCACCTAGAGCACATTGTACAGTATATATATATATATGCAGACTGATTTATAGCTAGAGAAAATTGTACAGTATATGTATATATTTATATGGAGACTGACTTGTAAGCACCTAGAGCAAATTGTACAGTATATCTATATATATATATGCAGACTGATTTATAGCTAGAGAAAATTGTACAGTATATGTATATATTTATATGGAGACTGACTTGTAAGCAACTAGAGCACATTGTACAGTATATATAAATATAAATATATATATGCAGACTGGATAAAGCAAGAAGGGACAGTACACCGAATGAATCATTATATGAATTTAGTGTGATTTTCTAGTCCATTCTTAATTTTACCTTTTTTCCCGAAAATAATAGTAAAAATGTAAATGTCCAAAGCTCTGTTACATTTTCCTTTAAAATAAGAAGATAATTTTTTTAGAGGGTTTTTACAAATAAGAATGTAAAGTGTTATTTTAATGTGATCATGAAAGATTTTTTTCCAACGAAAAAGTTAAACATTTTAACAAGGAAACATATACTTCAGTTTTGTTTTCATTAAACAGCGCGTCCCAATAAATTGAAGTGACGACAAAGAGATCGTCTTTGTAAATGATATAATGATGCACACTCTGCTGCCCGGCCACATGTAAAAAGAGTTATAAGGAACTGAGTTTTTGCCAAAAACTCAAATATTCTAATCCCTTCATCTTTGCAACCTGATGATGTAAACCTTTGATAATTCAAACTATTTTATCAAACAGAATTAATAAATTGAAATATCAAAGGTCTATACAACATCGTGTTTTAAAGATTAAGGGATTGCAAAAATAGAGTTTGTGGAAGCAACTCAATTCCTTTGTTTATTAATTTCAAGAATTTGACAGAAGAATTTCATTTAGGCCGATGAATGAAAGAAAAGAATCAGGTCCCTGCCCGAGCATAGATCATAGACCATACGGAGCAAATACATATCTGGTAATTCATTTATTCAGTTATGGAGCAAATACATATCTGGTAATTCATTTATTCTGTTAATACATTCATTAATCTTTTTAATGAGAAAATACATATTCATTTATGGAGCAAATACATATGTGGTATTCATTTTTTGAGTTAATTGAGGTAATTCATGTATTGAGTTAACACATTTATTCATTTATTGATGGAGCAAATTCATATCTGGCAATTCATTTATTCAGTTATGGAGCAAATACATATCTGGTAATTCATTTATTCAGATAATACATTCATTAATCTTTTTAATGAGAAAATACATATTCATTTATGGAGCAAATACATATGAGGTATTCATTTTTCGAGTTAATTGAGGTAATTCATGTATTGAGTTAATACATTTATTCATTTATTGATGGAGCAAATTCATATCCGGTAATTCAATTGTTGAGCAAATACATTCATTTATTTATGGAGCAAATACATATATGACATACATTAATTTATTGAGCTAATACATTCATTCGTTTATTTATTGAGTAAATACAGTCATATATTTATTTATGAAGCAAATTCAGATCTTGTATTTTATTTAAATGGAGAAAATACATTTATCTTATCTATTCATTCATTTGTGGAGCAAATACATTCTAGTAAATCATTTATGGAGCAGATACACATCTGGTAATTCATTTACTCATTTACGAAGTGAATACATTTATTTATTCTTTAGAAAGCCGAGAGCAGTAAGACAAAAGACGGAGACAATGCACGGACAAAAGACGGGAGTGATGTCTCGGAAAAGGATTTGAAAACTTCTCTCAACACAGCCACAAAGTTTCAGGTATCAATATATATAAAGAAGGAATCTCTGTTTGTCTTTTTTTTGTATTTCCGATCATAACTCATGAACCCCTGGACACATTTGCCTCAAACTTTGATTGGGGGACTCGAGAGAATCACGGGAATGTTCTTAGCTTGATTTTGAGATTCTAAGTTGAGAAGGTTTTATAGATTAAATAACTAAAATCGTATAGACCGGTTGAATAATACACGCAATTCACATTTTTTTCTTTTTGGGTTTGCAACATTGTCCCTTAAACTCCATTAATCTATAAACTTATAGATGTTAAACCAGCTCCATACAAAGGAAAGTCATTTACTTTCAGTAAAATTAAAATTAATGTGAATTTAAACTCCGAAGTATTGAATTCCAAGGGGTAAATGATTACAAGAACATTGTTAAATGTTCAAGAAGAAGTGTTGTCTGTGTACTTTACTGATGTAATGACTAGTTATGTAGTTTTGTATTCGAATAGATATGAGACTTTTAGACAACAGTACTGAAATGGATTAAAAAAACGTTATGTACACTGTACAGAGAGAGCTAGAGAGCTCTGAGATAGGAAAACGACATTTCAGTAATACTAATTAAGTGTATTCGATGTGAATACAGAGCAAATAGTTCTATAAAGTTAAATGGGTCTGTTGTTGCTGCACAACTACTGAATGTCATGTTCATTGGACTATTTAAAGCCATAAATTGATTATTAAAGTCGTCTTTCTATTCCAGAGTTTTCTGGTTATCACTTTACATTGCAATTTGTACAATAGGTTTATACAGCAATGTTATTTAATAATCTATTTACGTTATTAATTTTACAGGAAGTACAGAAGAAATGGTCTACCGGAAGTGAGAAGAGTACAGAGTTAAACCTGGACCTGGAGCAGGTTTATAAAACCTCTCTTGTCTCCGGATCTAATTCCGTTAAAACCCTGAGTTCTAGGTATTTTTATCAACATTACGTTAGTTCCTTAAATTCCGTTTTATTGCAGCTTGTTACTTAAACATCCTCCCTATTGCACTACATTGTAATGCACTGATAGTTGACACACTGTTTATTATTTCTGCTTCTTACTTTTAGGTTTGATTACCGAGATAATAAGATGGTGGAAGAAGAAGAAGAAGAACTTAAGAAAATTCTAAATATTCAGAATAAACAAATAAATATTCTCAAGGATCAGGTAAAGATAGGATCAAGATTGTAGTATAGATAGAATCTTGATAAAATCTAGGATCTAGGACAGTTAGGATTAAAGCGCGCTCTAGTTTAGATAGGATCAAGAATCAAGGATCTAGTAGATAAGATCTAGGACTAAGGATCTAGTATATAGGATCTAGGATCAAGGAAAAAGGATCTAGAATCAAGTATCAAGTATCAAGTATCAAGGATCAAGGATCAAGGATCAAGGATCTAGGATCTAGAATCTATGACTAGGGATCAAGGATCAAGGATCAAGGATCAAGGATCTATTATCAAGGATCTATGATCAAGGATATATGGTAAGAAGGATCTATGATCAAGGATCTATTATTAAAGATCTTTGATCAAGGATCTGTGATCAAGGATCTGTGATCAAGGATCTGTGATCAAGGATCTATGATCAAGGACCTATGATCAAGGATCTATGATCAAGGACCTAAGATCAAGGATCTATGATCAAGGATCTATGATTTAAAATTCAGTGATGGTGATGGACCAAACCTCTGTAGAGTAAAAAAAGTAGATGTTAGTTCCACATTTATTGAAAATATATTTAGGTCTGGGTTGACCCTCGTCAGTTCTTGAGATTGTTTCTTCACAAAGATTAAAAACAAACTGATCTATGATCAAGGATCTATGATCAAGGATCTATGATCAAGGATCTATGATCAAGGATCTATGATCAAGGATCTATGATCAAGGATCTATGATCAAGGATCTATCAAGGATCTATGATCAAGGATCTATGATCAAGGATCTATGATCAAGGATCTATGATCAAGGATCTATGATCAAGGATCTATGATCAAGGATCTATAATCAAGGATCTATGGTCAAAGATCAAGGATCAAGGATCAAGGATCAAGGATCATGGATCAAGGATCAAGTATCAATTGGATCTAATGTTATCTGTTCAGGTAACGAGGAAGGATCAAAGGATCCATGAGCTAGAAGAACAGGTTAGAATCCTCTCCAGGCATGCTACTCCAGTAGGAACACCAACCTCTATACAAACTAAATCCTTCCCAACTTCTCCTCCTGCACGGAATTCAATGGTGAATACTTTGTCGGAGTACACCTTCCACCTAAACTCGGAGCCATCGGAGTCCACCCAGCAGCTTGAAGAATCATCTGCGTAGCTTGGACAAAACAATCACACACAAACATTTATTGTAAATATTTTAAATTATGAAAATATGGTTTTTTGTTGCATTTATCAATTATGTTATTATAAATAATTACACTGCCCAAAGACCTCTAATTTCAAGTTTAAAATGATAAGTTGCCTGATTTGACGCAACCAACATTTAGAATTGAGATCAATATTGTGAACCAAAAATACCTTAAAATAATAAATAAAAATTAGACTTTAAAAAGACAAACATTTGTAATTGCTTTTATTACATCTTTATTGAAGTTAGATTTGATTTCAATTTTATCCTCAATAATGGTTTGGGTGAGAATTATATTTATTACAGACTTAGTCTATATTTTTCCCTTGACTGAATTTGCTCTAACAATTTTACTCACAAATAAAAAGGTTGTTTATATCAAATAGATTATCAAGTATAATAGATGTCAATAAATAAATGGAGGCAAAAGTGTCAAATGTAACAAGAAAGATGACGAAGTCTGTGTTGCCATCTATTGTACTTGATATTCTATATGGTTTAAAGTACATTATTAAGAAGTGTATATCTTTTTTTTTGAAAATTTGGCCGCAAATGCACTTCAGAGCTTATGTAAGAAACATTTGTAAAAATAAAATGTAGAAATGTGATATTGTATAAATATTATTTCAATAAATTAATTATCAATTAAATCTTTATATATTCTTTTGTACGACATTGGTGGCTGAATTATTAATACTAATTAAAAATTGGTAAATACATGGTGAAAGGGGAAATGTTAAAAATAATTTGATTGAATGGATCCAAGAAACAAATTATTGCGTGACATTTTTCTCTGGGGAGGGCTTGGAGTTGGTTAGGGTGCATATAGAAATTTTACGGGGGGGGGGGGGGGAAAACTCAAACATAAGGGCGAAAGTACCCCCTCTAGATTTTACTTTTTCGGGGATGAAAGCCTAAATCCCCTCTATTTTCCCCCTGCGGAGTAAGGAGTCATGGTATAAGGAAATGATTCTAGTACTCATTTTATTTTAAATTTGAATTGATATTAAGTGATAAAAGCTGAGAAATACAATAATAATTAGCATTAAACAGAATGCATGTTGTGCGTAAATGCGTAAACACATAAATACTACTTATGTTGTTATGGTTCCACATTTAAGACTATCACTAGATTTATCTCTGAAATATGAAAATGTCCACAGCATACCCGAACCCCGTGGAATCCTTTTCGAGCCCAGCAAAAGACTGTTCGAGCCCTGCCAAAGACTGCTCGAAAAAAACTTGTATTGATAATTGACTTTTAAAATAAAAAAGTGGGGGAATAGGTTACATTCAATTAGCTTTAAAGGGACAGACTGGCTATGTAAGGTAGTTAAACTGAGTATGCAGTGTTGTGGACTAATTCTTTAGGATTCATTTGAGACATTTAAAACTTTTTAAAGATCTGTAAATCCTGAGTTTAAGAGTAGACGTTCAAAATCGTATTTTTTGGTGGAATACGTTTTCAGAATTGTTTTTATTTAATTATTAAATAATTCATGATTTTGAACGTCGACTTTGCCCTCAAACTCAGTAATTATACATCTTTGAAACGTTTCATATGTCTCAAAAGATATTCTAAAGAATTTGTCCACAACATTGCATATTCAGTTTAACTACCTTACATAGCCGATTGTCCCTTTGAGATAAAAATCAATGCTTTACAACTTTTTTAGTGTAAAATTTTATCTTCATAGATTTAACAAATTATTAAGATGGAATGTTCGCAGTGATGAATAGGTGATATGTAAATTCTTGCATATAAATGTTTATTGCAACTTATTATATATCATTAAAACGTGCATCGTTCATAAAAATGTGCAAAAATGTAAAAAATTATGATATTTATATTTCATTAATAATTCATAAATATCAAAATTATTCTTAAAGGGAAGATGAAACCTAACTATCTATCTATTCCTTCAGCTTGGAGACACTGGGGAAAATATCAGCTGGTTTAGATCAATATATACAGACTCCAATTCCCCCATCTCTTGTACACTATCTCAGTTTGTTTACGTTAAACCAGTTTCTAGTCTTACTACATACATGTATATACTGTGATGTACTCTATAGGGTTAAAGTGCACAATACAGGAGTACAAGTAATAAAAACATATATACATCTTTAATTATGCAAATATATGATTGTATTTGTACTTCATATCAGTCGAAATCTGTTTTTGTAACAAAACACAACAAAGAATGATAGACTGTACATGAATTTTTTGTGAGCATATAAGATAGTTTAAGCGTTTTATTGGTTTTAGTTAAATTTTTTGTCCAAATATGTTAACAGTTAAGCGTTGTTTTAAGAAATACTTCTAAGGTTCTCGCTATTTAAACCAATTGTAATGCATACTGTGAAAACCAGGCGTTTAGTTAGGAATTTGTCCAGGGGGAGGGGGATTAAATATTTTTTATAGGGAAGGGGGGGGGGGGGCGCTAAGCAGTCGTTGGGGCCTGAAAACCCCTGAAATCCACAGATTTCACTGCAGTCCAGGGGGGTTTAGTCTCCATAGCCCCCCCCCTGACTACACCTCTGATATCTACATATTCAAATTTTACTGTGTCCTGCAGTGTGCTCAGTGACGTATATATAGGGGGGGGGGGATTTAAATTACCCCCCCTAGAATCTCCATTCTCCATGTCCACGATTACCATTAAGAGGAAAAATATAAAAACATTTTTTACCGCTTCGCGTAGATATTTTACTCAATCAACTATCACAAAGTAACATAGATTAATTTTACCAAAAAATCGATTTTTAATGCAGAAGCGTACTATACGTCAAATTATAGTTATAAAGCTCTTTAATTAAAGTTTAAAGAGGAAGAATTTTTTTTCTTTTAAACAACAGCTGTAAAATGAATGATATGAGTCAATTCATTGAATATGTGTGCGAATGGCAAAAGAGTATTTTTAAGTACCTGGTTTAATTACAGATTAAATTGCAAGAAATAATCATAAAAATACATATAGGTAAATAATAAATTCAATCATCTACATTGAAAAAGGACAGATTATGTTACCTTTTCTCATGAAGTTATTGAATTAATTATTGATCTAACCAACATTCATAATCTAAATTCATTTTCGATTTTATAGAACTTCTGTCAAAGAAGATAAATCTTGTTAGTTATCAAATATATGATAATTAATTAGAAATTTGCCAGGTTCAGAATTTTCTCTAGATTTGGAACTGAGTTTTTGCCACAAACTCAAATATTCTAATCCCTAAATCTTTGCACCGAGTGGTGTAAACATTTGATTTTTCAAACTTGGAATACTTTACCAAATGAATTCAAAGTTTGATATCTACGAGTACTATAAACTCAACACAAATAAAATACAGTTCAGAACATTTTTTTACATTAAATGTTTACAATAGCCTTTAGCCTTGAGAATTGAGAAAGTTTAAGATAAAAATATTTTTTTTTTTAAACTAAACTAACTATAGTATAATAAAATTTCTACAATAACTCTATTGGTTTTCTGATTCCTGTGATACTGATTTTCGCCATTCTTTCTTTCTTTTCATTCTGCAGGGGGGGGGGGCGGGCCCCCTCTCTCAGGTGCTAGGGGAGGGCGCGCGGCCGGCCGCCCCCCTAGTTACGCCTCTGGATAAGACATGTACTGCGTACTGTGTACTACTGCACTACAGTGTACTGTGTGAAATATGTTCCAAAACAAGGATAGGGATAATTTGTAGAGTTTCTTACAGATAAGACGTGTACTTTGTACTCTGTACTGTACGTGTGAAATATGTTCCTAAATGAGGATCGGGATGATGTAGCATTTCTAACAGGATCTGGCAGCAGTAAGTACAACAAATATGAAGGGGTTCCAAATTATGATTATTAGTTCCAAATCATTATTATTAGTTCCAAATCATGATTATTAGTTCCAAATTATGATTACTAGTTCCAAATTATGATTATTAGTTCCAAATTATGATTATTAGTTCCAAATTATGATTATTAGTTCCAAATTGTGATTATTAGTTTCAAATTATGATTATTAGTTTCCAAATTATGATTATTAGTTCCATATTATGATTATTAGTTCCATTATGATTATTAGTTCCAAATTATGATTATTAGTTCCAAATAGAAAGGGTCGGATAGTGATCTACCTTCGTCGTCATATGTACAACACAAGGAAGCTGACTTTCGATTTCAATTATGATTTCTACCAAGCTAATTCAAATAGTAATGATGCACATAAACATGGAAACAGAGAGAGCTGTCAATTAATAGCTTATCTTTGTTCACTTGTAATTTGATTAATGCTAGTTAGAAATCAAAGATTAAATAGAAAAGTCGTATTCATTGTATTTATATTTACCACAGTACCAAACATGACTTTCCAAAAAAAGGGTCCAACATTTCCAATATTAGATACTAGGTGCTAAATTAAGTATTTAACTAAATGATTTTCACAAAAAAATAAGATGTTCTGAAATGAGTATTTCAAGATATCAAAAAGCGCCCCAAAATCCTAATATGAAAGAGTTTTTATATATTTAAGTTTCTCATAAAAAACTAGATGGTCCAGTAAAAACCAATATAAATTTGTCCTCAAAAAATGAAGAAAAAATCACAGGCTTAATATATGTTAAATTAAAGAGACGTGAAGTATAATCTTGTCCAAAAATAAATATTACCTCTTATCATGTAAAAAAATTTAGGTCTGAAATATATTCATCCAAAAAAATAAAGTATCGCATTAAAAACATTATTTAAAAATAAAATTAATAAATATCTGTCAATGTAATTAGCTAAAGGTGGAAATTCGACCATACTTTCTTTTAACATGGTGGCGGTCTGGGGGGTCTACATTGGGGTCTTTTATAGATTCCATTTCCTTATGCTCCTTATAGCATCTATTTTTTCTCCTGGTAAAATGCTTTTAATAGCTATCTAAAGAAAGTTAAGCAAGTAATAATTAATTTGAAATAATACGAACCAAAGTCACAAAAATCAGAATTTAAAGAAGACGACTTTTAAAATTAGTCTTTTACTAGTAAAACTTTTATGCTTTTTTTCAGGTGAGTCTAGAATACACAGTAAACGAGATCTTTACGAGAGAGGACATGTAGCAGTTTGTAGTCATAAACAGGTGATACATGTAGCAGTTTGTAGACATAAACAGGTGATATATGTAGCAGTCTGTAGTCATAAACAGGTGATACATGTAGCAGTTTGTAGTCATAAACAGGTGATACATGTAGCGTCTGTAGTCATAAACAGTAGATATATGTAGTAGTCTGCAGTCATAAACAGGTGATACATGTAGTAGTCTGTAGTCATAAACAGGTGATACATGTAGTAGTCTGCAGTCATAAACAGGTGGTACATGTAGTAGTCTGTAGTCATTAACAGGTGATACATGTAGTAGTCTGTAGTCATAAACAAGTGATACATGTAGAAGTCTGTAGTCATAAACAGGTGATACATGAAGTAGTCTGTAGTCATAAACAGGTGATACATGTAGTAGTCTGTAGTCATGGAACAGGTGATACATGTAGTAGTCTGTCGATATAAACGGGTGATAGATCTAGAAGTCTGTAGTCATAAATAGTTGGTTTATAAAGTAATCTGTAGTTATAGAAAGATTATATATGTAACAGCTAGTGTGTAGTCATAAATATAGTACTCTGTAGTCTTTAATTGTTTTAATTTTGTTATTCTTTCAGGCGATTTGTATTACAGTGTTTGTGTTTACATCAATAGTTGCAACCTCCTTTATTGTTGCATTCGCCCGACCCTGGAATGGTAAATATTAATTTTACAGAGACACCTTTAAGGATGAGACTTTAAAAGACAACTATCCAGACTTTTCTCAGTCTGCAGTTATAGGAACCTATATTAATCAATAATTTTTCAGTCTGCAGTTATAGGAACCTATATTAATCAATAATTTTTTAGTCTGCAGGTATAGGAACCTATATTAATCAATAATTTTTCTACGCATTTGTATATAGTTGATATTTCATAATATTTTTTTATTTCCTATGATCTGAGATTAAAGGTTTTGAAAACATTTATTCCTGTTTCGAGGATTTTAGATAATGAAGACGACATTTTCATATTTTCCAGGAATATTCGAAAATACAGCGCCAGTCGTGAAAGCAAGTTCTAAGTAAAATATATAATAAATCAAACTATTATGAAATATCAACTATATACGAATGCGTCGAAAAATTATCGATGACTATAGGTTGTAATATCTGAATGATTTGTTTGGAATTAATTGATTTTTTTACGATCCGAGTCGAATATGGCAACTTTCTAAATTTGTATGGACGCTACGAGTCGTTCTTAACAGTTTTCATCTGATAGACGCAACAGATAGAAATAAGATTAGTAGCGATCACCATCAATAATCAAGCCTAAAGTCTATACCCACTTTCATTTTTAGCGAACACTTCCCTTTAAGGTTTCATCCTTTAAAAATCCGTAAATTCATTCGTGTTTACTCTGTTTGAAACAATCACATCAAAAATGGTTTTTTAATATTCTGTGTTATCAGGTTTAGAAGTTTTGATTTTCATTTTCCAATTTTGTCATTATTTTAAACAAACTGACACGATGGTTTGGGAGGATTTAAGCAAAAATTATAATTGTCAATATTGTCGTTCTGCTATTTTAAGAAATTGAATGTTTGTTTTTTTGACTTTCTTATAATATTTTAAATAAGAAATATAGCTGAAATATTGATATTCCTCATAAGTGGTATTTTAATATAATCAAAACATGATTACTATAATTATCCAAAAATAAATTTTTGAAATTATTAACATTGATGTTTAATCCAAACTTGATCAGACAAAGCTTTGAAGGGTACCGTTGTGAATTGGGCACTGTCATCTTTGTAGAGAGGGTCACTAGTATACTTAGATTCCCTGTAACTGTGAGTATCGATGGGCATTATAGCTATAGATTCGTTTACAGAAAAGTTTTATTTTAGACTTTTTAAAGGTTTTACGACAATCTGAGAAGGATCTAACGATTAAAAATTGTATTCTGTTTAAGTTTGCCTTTACTAAACAAGCAAATTCGTTATCCTTGGTGAAAATATAAGGCAAAAACGAACCAAAAAACTATCGCTTAAAAAACCCGAAACCTATCGTTTTAAAATGATAGTTTTTGCCTTATATTTTCTTCTTGGGTAACAAATTGGAATGTTTGATAAAAGCAAACTTCTAGAGAATAAAGTTTTAAAATGTTTGAACCTTCTCATATTGTCGTAAAACCTTTTAAAAGTCTAAAAACATTAAAAGTTTCTCTACGAATCTGTCTATTGTCCATCCAAGCAATGAGGATGTTAAAATAGATATAATTTTGATAGGATATTTTAAGGAAAATTAAAAATTAAAAGTTACAAATATCAAAGATATGAAAAAAATTATTTATTTTGGATAAAATCAAATTAAAAAGTTCAATAAAACTCAAATAGTTTTAAAGAAAATTTAAACAATTGTGTTTAATTGGTAATTTTATTATTGTTAAAGTAACTGTCTGCTGCTTTCTCTTATTTTTTGCAGAAGTAATTACTTGCTGATCTTTGTTATTATTGCTAGCAAGTAAAAACATAAATTTTAGTTCTGCAAATACTTCTCAACGTGATAATTTTCAGGATTTTGTCTGGGGTTGGGGTTGGGGGGTCGTGGTAGATATGGGCGCGTTATTTTTTTTCTTTTCGTTCATTTATTGTCTATGAACAACCTATTCGTTTTTTTCAAAATTATTGTTCATTTTCAATTTTTTTCCTTCATTTCCCATTTATTTCGTTTCTTTTCGCACTGAAAGATCGTTCAGCTAAATTGATTGTTCAGTAAAATCGCTCGTTCAACAAATCGTTCTTTTAACCAAAAAAACTAGCATAAAAAAGTTTGTTCAAAAATCGTTTGTTCAGTAAAAAAACTTTAGTTTTTTAAAAAATCCGGAAATTTCGTTCTTTTAGTAAAAATATTTATTGTTTCTCTAAGTGTGTTCAAACGATTTGAAATTGTTCGTTTTTGTTGTTTTTAAAAATGATAGGTTTTTCATACCTCTGAACGAATCAAGTTTTTGGCCATCGCTCGATTTTTTTTCTGAACGACACCATCGTTCACGAAAAATTTTGTTCGTTCATAAAAATTATTCCAATCTCTAGTTCGTGGAGGCAAAAAAATATTTTACCAATAAGGAAATATTTAGAGAAAATTTTAACATTTTCAAGAAACTTAGTTTGTAATAAAAACAAATCAGAGAATTTGAAATAATTATGTTTTTTTTGCTTTTCTTATTTTTGTATTTTCTTTACGTTCAAAGTAAAAAATCGCCAAAAAAATTCACAAGAGTATCCTGAAGATTACGTTAATATGATTTAAGTTGTAGTTGGATTAGAGATTAATCCTTGAGTAATAATGAATCCTGGAGTAAAAATGAATCCTGGAGTAAAAATGAATCCTGGAGTAAGGATGAATCCTGAAGTAAGAATGAATCCTGGAGTAAGGATGAATCCTGGAGTAAGGATGAATCCTGGAGTAAGGATGAATCCTGGAGTAAAAATGAATCCTGGAGTAAAAATGAATCCTGGAGTAAGGATGAATCCTGGAGTAAGGATGAATCCTGGAGTAAGGATGAATCCTGGAGTAAAAATGAATCCTGGAGTAAAAATGAATCCTGGAGTAAAAATGAATCCTGGAGTAAGGATGAATCCTGGAGTAAGGATGAATCCTGGAGTAAGGATGAATCCTGGAGTAAGGATGAATCCTGGAGTAAAAATGAATCCTGGAGTAAAAATGAATCCTGGAGTAAAAATGAATCCTGGAGTAAAAATGAATCCTGGAGTAAAAATGAATCCTGGAGTAAAAATGAATCCTGGAGTAAAAATGAATCCTGGAGTAAAAATGAATCCTGGAGTAAAAATGAATCCTGGAGTAAAAATGAATCCTGGAGTAAAAATGAATCCTGGAGTAAAAATGAATCCTGGAGTAAAAATGAATCCTGGAGTAAAAATGAATCCTGGAGTAAAAATGAATCCTGGAGTAAAATGTGAATCCTGGAGGAAACATGAATCCTGGAGTAAAAATGTGGAGTAAGGATGAATGGTGCATGGAGTAAGGATGAATGGTGGAGTAAGGATGAATGGTGGAGTAAGGATGAATGGTGCATGGAGTAAGGATGAATCCTGGAGTAAGGATGAATGGTGGAGTAAGGATGAATGGTGGAGTAAAAATGAATCCTGGAGTAAGGATGAATCCTGGAGTAAAAATGAATCCTGGAGTAAAAATGAAACCTGGAGTAAGGATGAATCCTGTAGTAAAAATGAATCCAGCTATAATGATCATAAATATGCGTTGATTTTAAAAAGTTTTGTCGTAACTTGTAATCACTAAACATAATTTACTGAAAAGGTTTTCAATTGTATGCAAGTTTAGTCAGGGGTAAAGCTGTTCAATGATATCGTCAGCTCTGTATTAAAATATACGCGGAACGCTGAATGTATATAATTAAATATTTTGATGTTTAAACTTAGTATCTTCAAAGGTATGAACGTTTTATAGACTTTGCTGATGTTTAAACAGTGTTGGAAGATATGGGATACGTGACATACCTCGTGTATATCTTACTTCATCACTTGTGCTGGACAGGTGTACTGCACGTTACAGTACTGTACTGGATTGTATTTTACTGTACTGAACCGTAAAGCTCGTTACTGTACTGTAATATACTGTTATTTTGTTTAATGATAGAGAAGTTGAGATAATGAGACAAAACTGCAATAAAAGAAGTCGAATTCATTCTTTCTTTTAATTAATTACAAGGATATCATTAGTAACACTTACTTATTTCTTTTATTTTAAGAGTTAAATTCCTAATTCACAACAGTACAAGTATTGCCGTTAAATCCTGTCAATATCCTTACTTGTCTCTTCTGCATAAATCAGAATGTCACTTTTTAAAAAACAATTTGAAAAAAACCCGGATACCTTTACCACTCTTGGTTAGACAAGAGTTTAGCGGTATCTTTTGAAAAAGGACACTTGAAAATACGTTGCCAGTCCCTTAAGCATAATCAAGCATTCATTTTTTATGCAAAGCGGAAATTCATAATTTGGATTATTAATAGTGGATATATTCGAATTAGCATAAATTCGCTAGAAATAATATAGTATAATTCTCTATATATTCGAATTAGCATAAATTCGCTAGAAATAATATAGTATAATTCTCTATATATATGAATTAGCATAAATTCGCTAGAAATAATATAGTATAATTCTCTATATATTTGAATTAGCATCGCTTGAAATAATATAGTAATTCTCTATATATTCGAATTAGCATGAATTCGAAGAAAATAATATAGTATAATTCTCTATTCCGAAAGAGATCGTAGAACATTTTTATGACAATTTTTCTAAAATATTCAAACCATTTTCTTCAAACTTCTGCTTACCTCACCATTTTTAACACAACCCTGATGGTATAAAAATATGATTTTATTGATGATTAGACAGACACATCTTCCTTATGTAAGAAGACATCTAATGTAGATTGTGGATCCATATTAGAGACTATATCCGTTCCTGAAGCACCCTTCGTTCCCTTGACAGAAACAGGAGAAGTGTTCCCATGGAACGATGTTAGGTAATTTTATATCTTTAACAAAATTTCGGTACATTTCTTAAAGTATAATTATTTTTGAAAAATTGTTAATTTTCAATAAAATATTAGGTTGATGTTCACAAAATTTCGAAATTTTACAACAAATGACATTACATAAACTGATTTTATGAAATACTAATTTAAAGAATTTCAAAGATAAATTACATATTATAAAATTTTACAAAAATAAACCTTTTTCAAGCAATTAATTGCTAAATAATTATAAATAAATGTTACTAAGATTAAATATCATTTCATTCCGTTTCCTAAAAACCTCCTTTTACACTATACTCTGAACTTGATATCAAGGAGACAGTGATAGGATTTGTTTACATTGTTCTGTGACGTAAAAGGGCAGCTATATATCCGGGTTAATTGTAAACAAACAATAGTCTATAAACAGTGATTGCTCAGGAATGCGCAATGTTAGATGTTAAAAAACTCTATCCACCTCACTCCTTCGCAGTGGCGTATACAATAATTTGTCTAGGGAGCCCCCTTATCTTCTCAGGGGTGGTTAGGGCACTCGTTGGGGCCTGAAAACACCCTGGGAACCATAGATTTCACTTATTAGGGGAGGGGGGGGGAGGGAGCCTCAGATAGCGCTCCTTTTTAGTTCTAATGTCATTCTTTTAATGATTGGTGTTTAAGTTTAACATAAATTTAATTTTAATATTTTAGGTTACCAATATTTATATTTTAATATTTTAGGTTACCAGTATTTTATTTTAATATTTTAGGTTACCAATATTTATTCGTCCGATTAGCTACGACCTTGAGCTGACCCCAAACCTTACAACGTTGGCGGTCAAAGGGATAATTAAACTGATTTTCCAGGTAAACCATATTTGCAAGGGAACAAATTATCTTAATTTGGAAAATTACTGGGTAAGGTTTGATGATTAAAGAAAGATCTGGCTTAAAGGGACTGACAGCGTATAATTTCAATAATAATTGGCAATGCCAGATTATTTACAACAGTACCCTTAAAATTTGATCAAAAATTTTGTCAGGTGGGGGCTCAGCACCCATTGGGACCCCAATAAACCTGGAAATCATAGATCTATGGCTGGGGGGGGGCTGAGCCCCCTACCCCCCCCTTAATACGCCTCTGGTGAATGATAAAATAATTTTTTTGACTATCTAGTGTTTTATTCTTATAATTTCCACAATCTTTCTTGCAAGCAAGAAATGCGCATGTCATTTTGCAGAGAAACCACAAACTAAATGCATTAACAGTTTTCAAAAACAAAAACTGAGTTCTAATTCATACTTGATCAGAAAAAGCTATTATGGGTATCGTTGTAAATTGGGCATTGCCATCTTTGCATGGAGAGTATAATTTGAAATTACACATACTCCCTCTTTAAATGAAGGGCTGCTAAAGTTCGCTTGAATTGTGTCATGAACCGGGCTTAAAGTGTAGGGTTCTGGTAAAACTAATGAACTATTTCTGCCGAATTTAATAATATTGTGTTATTCTTGCTCAAATTTGGTTTTAGAAACATAATTAAAATAACTTCTACGGAACCTTATCAACATTACTTCTTCTAAATTAAAAGATATTCAATTGAAAATGTGAACCAGTAAACTTTGGAATAGAAAGACGATATTAAATCAATGATTATGAGTATTTGATGTTGTTACATAGCAAATAGTTTACTAGTAACTTATTAATTCACTTATTAAGTAAATTGGTTTGTTTACACTGCACAATTGCTGTATTTCATGTTAATTGGACTATGTAAAGTCATAACTTGAATCTAAAAGTTGTCTTCCTAGAGTTTTATGGTTATCACTCTAGTATATTTTTTATCAATTCTTTGGAGCTATTGCTTAATGTTCATAGACGCTACAATGCCTTATTTTGCCTGTTCCAGACTGAATCTTTAAACTAGACCTACTTCCAGTAATTGAATTTAAATATTCTTTAGATCTTTAGAAAGCCTTTAACTAAGGAAGCAGAAATTTGCACAAAGGGAATTTGCACATTTTCAGTTTTTCTTGAATGCACATTTAGTCAAATATGTTGCAAATATTTTTGCATATTTGAATTCGCTGAGTAAAGAAGACGCCAGCCTGAATAGGCTTAATAAAATTATATACATTCTTCTTTTATATTTTTTCTTCAGGGTAACCGAGGATATAAATTTTATAATTTTCAAGGTAACCCAGGAGCAGATTTTATAATTTTCCACTCGAAGGGTCTAGAAATCACGAGTAAGACGATCAACGAAAAATTAAAAGTTCAAAGGTAAATTTTGTTTTAATTCATCTTTTATTTCAAAATAATGTTTTGATAGTAAAACTTCATCCTCTCTGATGACACAAGTTTCTGCTCTAATATTTTAGAAGTTTTTATTTAGGAGGGGGCCGGGGGGGGCACATTTGTCTTTGAGGGGAAAGGGGGATTATGTTAAATTATTGCTGATTTCAGATCTTTTCTATACCTAGAATTATTGAGTATAAGGCCAGGGATCAAGTCTACCTAGAAACTGATCAGCCAATGAAACCTGGAAAGACCTACAGTATCAGGTCAGATGATCTACAGGGTTACTCACAAAGGACTTCAGAAACGACTGCACAATATTTATTCAGTCTTTGTTCTTACATTGCGTTGGTTGCTTCTAGCTGTAAACTTCTTTTTTATCTCTAAAATCATCTAATATACATACTATTAAAATACTAAAAAGCAATATTATAGTATTAAAATACTATATTTAAAGCAGAAAACCAAAAATAAAATTGTAGGTCCTAGCATTAAGAGAGATTCAAGTTGTTTTTTAAGTCTCATTTTTTTTAGGTAACACTGTAGTAACATTGGAAATAACTGTTAATTTATTTAAAAATTAACGTTATATTCCTAGTAACTGTGTTCTCTACTCAATTCATCTCTGCTTTGTCTTTAACAATTTACTTGATGTAAAGTTTATGTACATCTAGTTAAAAGTTGATGTACATCTAGGTTAAAGTTGATGTACATCTAGGTTAAAGTTTATGTACATCTAGGTTAAAGTTCATGTACATCTAGGTTAATGTTTATGTACATCTAGGTTAAAGTTTATGTACATCTAGATTAAAGTTTGTGTACATCTAGGTTAAAGTTTATGTACTTCTAGGTTAAAGTCTATGTACATCTAGGTTAAAGTTCATGTACATTTAGGTTAAAGTTTTTGTACTTCTAGGTTAAAGTTCATGTACATCTAGGTTAAAGTTTATGTACATCTAGGTTAAAGTTTGTGTACATCTAGGTTAAAGTTTATGTACATCTAGGTTAACGTTTATGTATATCTAGGTTAACATTTACATATATTTAGGTTAAAGTTTATGTACATCTAGGTTAAAGTTTGTGTACATCTAGGTTAAAGTTTATGTACATCTAGGTTAACGTTTATGTATATCTAGGTTAACATTTACATATATTTAGGTTAAAGTTTATGTACAACCTGACTGAAGGGCTGGATGGGTTCTACCTGTCAACCTACAAGGATAAAGATGGACAAGTCAGGTATTAAAGGGACTGTATGCGTATTTTTAAGTGAACTTCTACGCAAATATTTTGGCTGATCAAGTATGGATTAGATATTAATGTTTATAAATTCCGAAACTGTTTATATTCATTGGAGGTCTAGTTAGAACAAGAGCAGGACAGTGCACCCTGCTGCCTGGAGGTCTAGTTAGAACAAGAGCAGGGCAGTGCACCCTGCTGCCTGGAGGTCTAGTTAGAACAAGAGCAGGGCAGTGCACCCTGCTGCCTGGAGGTCTAGTTAGAACAAGAGCAGGACAGTGCACCCTGCTGCCTGGAGGTCTAGTTAGAGCAGGGCAGTGCACCCTGCTGCCTGGAGGTCTAGTTAGAACAAGAGCAGGACAGTGCACCCTGCTGCCTGGAGGTCTAGTTAGAACAAGAGCAGGGAAGTGCACCCTTCTGCCTGGGCGGTCTAGTTAGAACAGGAGCAGGGCAGTGCACCCTGCTGCCTGGGCGGTCTAGTTAGAACAGGAGCAGGACAGTGCACCCTGCTGCCTGGAGGTCTAGTTAGAACAAGAGCAGGACAGTGCACCCTTCTGCCTGGGTGGTCTGGGGGGTCCACAATGGGCCTCTTGTAGATTTCAATTCCTTATGAATCCTTATACAAAAGCCTAGAAAAACGACACTGTGTTCAACATAAAACATAAAGGTTTAAAAGGGTACCGATGTGCTTCGGGTAATGTTATCTTTGCACGAAGGGTCACTTGAAATTTCGCTTTCACTCCCATCATAGAGATTAAGTTCACCTGTTGAAGAATTAGCATAATCTCCATATTTTTGTAAATAGAAACACACCTAATTAAAACTGTAATAATCTAAATTATTTACTATTTCTTTTCATTTTTAAGCAAATACATTGTTGAGTTATGACTTGTTAAATGCATTTGAGTGTGTAAGTACGAAGTGTAATTAATTAGTGTCGTTAAACTTTCTCAAAGGTTACTAACAAAAGTGTCAGCCCTCGAATTTTTTTTAAAGATCAATTAATCTATGTTGGACCCTTTTTGGACTGTTTGACTTCTAGTAAATCTTTGTTGTGATGTAAGTCCCCTACACCCAACGGTTGAATAGCTTCGATGTCACAAAATGGAACTATTCAAAATATTGACCAGCGATAAAGACACGTTTTTTGGAACGTTTCAATAACTTAATGCAGAAAACTTTGTATATGTTTCATACTTTTTTTTGAAAAGATTCATGCGCTTTATTGATATTTGAAGGATTATGCCATTTCTGGTTGAAACATTGATTATTTAAGACTAAAGATTTAAAGGTACACATGATTATTCTGGCATGAATATTCTGACATGAATATTCTGACATGAATATTCTGACATGAATATTCTGACATGAATATTCTGACATGAATATTCTGACATGAAGGATGAGACTGTAGGGACGACCTAAGACACTTGAAATATGACAAAATAAAGGTTTAAATAAGACTTCTGCTATAAATTTAGTCATAAAATTTAGTCATAAATTTAGTCATAAAAAGGCATATTTAATGATTTCTCAAAGAAATAAATAATTTAACAGAATATTAGGAAACAGACCGTATAAATTTCGAACAGTCGTCTCAGAAGTCTCATACTTTTTGCTGGTAACCCTGTAGTATAAATAGATGAGAGCAAAGTCTGAAATCTGGGCAAGGGCAACGCCAACGAATTGGAAATAAATTGCTTTGTGTGTTTTCGTATGCATGTCAAGTAGCTCACAGTACTTGTTTTTATTATTCATTAATACAAATTAATTAAAAGTAAAAAATAAATAACTCAACATTTTTCCCCTATTTTTATTAAACGTTGTAGCATTATTATTATACAAACAATAATTAACCAACAAGAAAAACACACTTAGGTAAACCTTCATCTTTAATTAGGATTTGTACGAAATTAATCCTTATTTTTCTTTTCTATAATTCATTAATATGTTTTCTTACTCTTCGTTTCTAATTCATTTCTAAGATTAATCCTAAATAACGTGAAAAAATAACAGTCATTTCTTGTTCGTTACTAAGTCCTTTAGTCCTTTGATCGTTTGTTCCATCTGAACCATTTTTTTATCGAAAATTGTGCATAACAACTTTCTTTTTACAAAAACAAGCTCTGACACAAGAATGGACCCTTTATTTGCTGAAGGATTAAATGATATTGTAATCTATATAATAAAACAAGACATTCATATATATGTTGCATATAGCCGGCCAAACGGATGAAATTTCTTTTGGACACTCATGGGTTGCCGGGGGGTTTCATAGTCTAAAAAATCGAAATTATTAAAAAAAAATTCCACGGGCAACGCCGGGCCCTTTAGCTAGTTACTAATAGTTTCTTTTTAGAAAATTTATCTGGAGCTGTCCTGGGCAGATCGCCTAGAATCAGTCTTCTCCCTAGGGTGTAAACCCCGTGGATACGTTGTTTCGACGGTTAGGAGCGCCGACCCCTATTTCACTGAATGATGGGTTGTCCTTTAATAATAATAATAATAATCTTAAAATATTTGAACTACATTAGTATTTTATGCAGAATAGCTCTGTGTATGAATACATCTTTGTGATATGATAATGATGTACTTCTTTGGTCATTATTAATTATTTCGCGGATTTTTTTCTATCTTCTGTGCATTTTCATTTTTTTAATGGGCAATGTTCGTTGCCTTAATCATCGAGCCCAGATCTGATGTATGAATTGGTTTAACGTGATTTCGAGTGAAACGTTTTGGTAAACAAAGATAAGTTTAATATTGCAAAATTTCGTGCAAATATATTCTGCCGATTTGAGGGATTTCTGGAAAGTAGGCTGGTGACTACTTATTTTAGTACAACTCTCTACTCTCTAATACTTTTCACAGAAATGTACACTTATACTACTTAAACATATACTTAATACTTGTAAGCTTTCCTTTTGCAAAGTGACGTAAGAATAATTTTTTAAAAGAATTTGTTAAAAAAAAAATATTGGTAATCTTAATCAAGAAGGAGAGAAAGAATTAAACTAAGAGAAAGGAAACAAGGATTGCATGTAACAGGGGCGTAGTGGAGGTTTAGCCTAGGGGGGTGCACTTTTTTGTGCACCCTTTAACGGTTGATATGCACCCCCCTTATAAAACCCGTATTAGGAAAAAAAATAAAGCTTAACATCTATATTCATCTACCTGACCATAATAACCAATCATACCATTATAAATACTAGTAGTAAAAGAGCAAAAAACTTTGATTTGAGGTAAAAAATAGCATTTTTTAAATGTTGAAGGGTTGGCTCAGTGCTCAATAATATACCAAATTATTATAATATTCATGGCTTGTTCTTGTGTTTACAAAAATATGTATACTTCAAACAGCTTTAAAATATTTACTGTCAACAGGTTGTTAAACCCTAACCTGGATCTGGATGAGTTATTTATTGAGACATGTGCGCGAAGCGCCAAATTTTTTTTGTTATTTTATCATCTTTTCATGTATTTCTTAGGGTCTCTGAGTCTACAGCAGTTTTTAAAATTAGTTTTCTAGTCATATTTGTCCATTATATAGTCCCTTAATAGTAAGCCTGTGAAGTCCTATATATTTCCTGGTAGTACTCGACTTTATTTCGTCTGTATATAATCCATAATAATCTTTCTGATCGAAGTCCTTCTGTCATTGTTTTTTTCCATCTTATAATCTTCAAAAGTCCTTATAGTCCAATATAATCCTTATTATATTTCTTATTGTTATTCTTCTTAGATTGTCAGGTTTTGCATGTATTGTAATACTCATGAGAAGTAACATATTTACAGTTTTTTTAGAGGATAAATTAAGACGCTAAAGAAAAATATTTTTTTCTTAATTGACAAAATTTGATAAAAGATGTTTCACAATCATGATCATGCTGGAGCCAAGTGAGGGGGGGGGGCAGCGAGAGGGGGGCGAAATATGCTGAGGGGGGTCAAAATTCGGTTCGCCCCCCCCTAGTTGCGCCACTGTAGATTACACTGGAGACAGTATTATTTAAAGCTTAGTAAAACTCTGCGTCAATCATCTTGCTCTGAGAGACTGAAATGGATTTAAATTGAAACCCCACGAAAACAATATTGTAAATAAAATTAAGGTACAAGAAAGAATTTGAGAATTATTATAAAATGGACAAATTGTGACATTGTCGATTGATAAGAAAAGTAAAAAATCTGAATATATATGTAAGTTTAATAAATTAGAGCCTGCCTCTGGCTGTAGGGGGGGCCTAGGGGTGCATGTTTAGGGGGGGGGGGCACAGGGGGACCGGCTCCCCTCACTGCTGATATGTAATACATTTGTATTTGCTGAATTTAAATTGAAATTTGCTTTTCAAGTTTTTATCAACTTTCAGATCTAAAAAGGAAAACATCTGTCGTTGATAATTAGTTTAGAAATAAATCACAACAACCTTCACCCGCATTGTAGAAATCTAAAAAAAATCCAGAGAACAATAAAAACTTTATTGCACAGCGCTATAAACACAACTAATATATTATTAGAGCTCTAAAATTGCACAAGGCTGCGATTAGGAAATGAGCATGAACTGAGCAAGCATGGTAAAGTGCACAGAAATATTATAAAAAATATTGTCAACTTTTCCTTAATTTAGAACCCTGGCAACAACTCACTTCGAGCCAACGTCAGCCAGGAAGGCGTTCCCATGTTTTGATGAACCTCAGCTTAAAGCTAAATTCTTAATCACCATCACACATTCTAGGTATTTACAATCTTATTTCGTAACTCAATATTTATAAAAGATGGGAATACAGGGCAATATTCATAAAAGATGGGAATACAGGGCAATACATATAAAAGATGGGAATACAGGGAAATATTTATAAAAGATGGGAACACAGGGCAATATTAATAAAAGATGGGAGTACAGGGCAATATTTATAAAAGATGGGAATACAGGGCAATATTTATAAAAGATGGGAATACAGGGCAATATTTATGAAAGATTGGAATTCAGGGCAATCGCGAACGAAATTTTTGAAAACGAAAGATTTGGGAAAAAAACTATCTTTTTTTATTGAACGAACGGTTTCTTGAGACAACTTTTAAAAAAACAATGGTTTCTTACTGAAAGAACGAAAAAGGTGGAAAATAAACGGTAATTTTGAGAACGAATGAAATAAATTTTTTTAACGATCGAAGAAAAACACGAACGAAATAGATCGTTCATGAACAATGAACAAACGAAATGAAAAGTCGAGCACTCCCATCTCTAAATACATAAACACATTTTTGGCGAAACATATTTTAATTTTAGACACCCTAACCCACGCAAAAAAATATTTTCGTTTTAAATTTTAAAATTCTTTTTAGAAAAATTTTCTGCTTTATAGGAGACTGAATAAAGATATTGCAAATTCCTAATTTCATGATTCATCAATTCTTAAAAAAAACTTTTTATCAGAAATTGTCTAGTATAGATTTAAAGTTAAAATTAGATTCTTCATAAAGGGACTGTAATTAAAAGATGAAAGGTGGTACAGGCTGAAACCTGAAAATCTCAGGCGTTGAACGATACCTTTAAGACATCTATCTGATGTTCTTGTCTCGAGAAATTGACTTAAAACTGTGTCAAAATTATACCAAAACGTATATGTGTAAAATATACGTCCTTATCACATGACCAGAACTCCATCCACTGGTAGTGCAGTATACTGGTCACGTGATACAGACGGAGACACGTAACAATAATACTTTACTACCATTGGTTGGAGTTCCTGGTGACATGATCCGGACATGCAACTAATATTATCAATTATATCTATTAAAAATGAAAAATGATTAAATTCAAATAATAAAAAAAGCAAACCTGAGATTCTCAGGCTCCTCTGGGATGTTAAATATGATCTGTTTAATACTACAAATGTTATACAAAATCCTACATATGTACCTTTTGGTATAACTTTGACACGGTTTTATATCAATTTCCCGAAACAGGAACATCAATTAGAACTCTGATGGGTCTCAATCAACTCCTGAGTTTCTCATGTTTCAACCTTTACCCCGTTTCATTTTTCCTTTACAGTCCCTTTAAACTTTTGGTTAGCCACAAAGGGACTGTATGTAAGTGTAATTTCAAGTGACCCTCCAGTAAAGTTGGCAATGCCCGATTCACAATGTTACCATTAAAAGCGTTGTCTGATAAAGTTTAAATTAGATATCCATGTATATAATTAAGAAAACTGGTTCTTTTCAATTGGGGGTTCTCTACAAAATTGACATGCGCATTTCCACTGCAGGAAAACATATATTGAAATTATCAGAAATAAACACTCTCAAACCTCGAGAAACGATCCAATATCTTTTACGTTATTGATAAAAAAGATTTAAAGGAAACCATTGTGGCACCCTGAGAGTCTGATTTGATTTGATTTCTGAAACGATCATTGCCATCTTTGCAAAGAGGGTCACTTGAAATTACGCTTACACTCCCTTTGAGTAAATAATTTAGTATTTAATTTTTCTGACTTTTTTACATTTGCTTAAAAGTGAGGCTGAAGGAATACAGATTTTATTTCAAGTTGTTAACTTTTAATTTAATGGACACTGTTTTTTTTTACATTTGGAACCATTGCGGATTCAGAAAAAAAAATTCTGAGGAAAAAAATTTTAAATCTTAAATTCGTGACTTTGACGCTCATAAGATGGTTTAATCTGAGACGATAGACTATTACTGTACCAGGGAAAAACTTTCTTAAAAAAATTGTAAATTGGATAACGAGTTAACGAGTTCAATTGTTGAAAATATGGGATTTTCTCCAAACAAGTTTTCTCGTCGTGTCTTTTCTAAATGTGAACAGCAGAAATATGATAATAAATCAAAAATTTTATTAATCAAATCAAAAAATTTATCCAATCGAAAGATAATCTGAGTTTTCCCTTTCAGCTAGCTATATCTTGATATGTTTTACAGTTTGATTCAGGTTACTATATTTGTTCAGGTCCCTCCAATCCTTTTCAAATATGCCAAAGAAAGAAGAATCAGATGTACGGGGTAAAAACGATCAGGTAGGAGATATGAGAATAAAAGGAATGCAAATATATAAATAGTTCATTTTAAATAATTAAGTCAAATTTTAACATCATTTTTCTAAATAAGAGTTAAGCTCAGTGTGTAATAATCCATTTTATTTTTGCGGGTTTACACATTTTGTTCGATTAAATTATTAAATTCCAAATTAATTTAAAACTAGTTCGATAATGTTAACAGAATGGTAGGATATTTCCGATTCAGTTAGATATTTCGAACCAAACGTTTGTAATTTCGAAATGTTTTGGAATAGTTGTTATCTGAATAAAATGTCAAAATTTCCTTTAACAATTTAGTTAACCCTATTTTTGCTGAGGGGGGGGGGGGTAATTTAACCCCCCTGTAGTTTTTTTTATATATCTTATAGGGTTGAGGCTATTGAAATTTTCTGACTTTTCCTAAATACCCATAGCCCTCCCTTCAGGTCTTTAACCAGGCTTTTAAACTAACTGCCTGAGCTTTCAGGCACACTGCCTGACTACTTTTTCTCAATTACCAATCAGGTTATAGAAAATTTTGCAATTTTTTTTGCATATTTTAAATGATATGGTCAAGGGGTTTTCAAAAATATATTTAATCATTTTTTGGACATGTTTTTGCATGCTTTTTTTTCTCTATAACTGGACTTTGTAAAAATAAATAAAATTTTTGCAAATTTGAATTTTTTGCAGATTCTAAAAGTAGAGCAAATTGCTTTCCAATGATATAGTTTTTGTCATATTTGAACATCAAACAAGGGATTTAGAGGGTTGGGGTCAATTTGACCCCCCCCCCCTTAGCGTATCATGGTTTTCAAGTACCCCAGCAGGGACAGGGTTAAGTAACAGCTTTTAACTTGAATAGTTCTTAAGCTATAAACAATGAATGATTGAAACTGAAAACTAAAATAAATATCCTCTAATTAAGTTGAGAGAGCCTTTTTTATGATTGTACACATTTTAATCAACCTTCCCTCTTAAAATCTTTTCCCAAGGTTAATTAAAAAGGTTGATATGAAAGTGCAAAGAAATTGGCAATTATTTAAAAATGGAATATTGAATTTAAAGAACTTTTCATATAATTAAAATTGTTATTTTGCAGGGGGGGGGGGGTCATGTTTTAGGTTGAAAATTATTGAATTTAGTACAAAAATACAAAAGAATTTTAGTACGTAAAAAATTCACGACATTTTTTCATTTAATTTTTTTCCAGAAAATGAGAAAATGTAGATTTTTAAAATATCTAAAATTTCTTAAATCTAATGATATAATTATAAAATATTTAGCTAAATAAAAAAAGAGTGACAAATTATTACTTATAATAGTACAAATCTGAACCATGTTTCATCAGACTGAAAATGTATTTACTTCAATTAAAAACATTTTCAAAGAAAATCTCATTTAGCCACCTTTGTAAGTTTTGACAAGATAATCGTTTTTTTAAATCGGTATCTGAAGAATTTTTTTTTTCAACAAACCTAAAAATTGTTTGGTATTACGTTTACTTTTTCCCATCATAAACCATACACCATGCAATACTTATTCTGACAAAGGATTAAATAACCTAACATGATAACTTTTTTGTAATCGTTGGAATAATTTAAAGTCTAACTAGAATACTGATAATAAACTTATGTTAAGAATTGTTTCATGTTTCAAATTTGTAAAGATTAATTAAAAAAGCTGATATTCTGACCTTCTACTGAATAAATCTGAAATTTTCTTTAAATTCACCAAAACAAATATGTTCCCACACAATCCTTTAGTGGTTAGTGCTAAATAAGATGTATTGAAAGTTTTAAATACATAAATCATTTTATTTTATTTTCTAAAAAAAATTTAAATTTTTTGTTAGTTTTATTTTTAATTTTGCTAATCTTTATTGTGAGTTTCAGGAGATGAGAGTCGGATCAACTAAAGTAATTCCTAATTGGATCAAACGATTTAAATCCCATAATATTACAAGGAATTGGTCTCAACCTCCTTTTTATCTAGCAAATATATCATTGTATTGTAATTTGTAACTCTTATCAGGGGATTTACATTTTTTATTTTTATGAAAATGACCAGTTCCTTAATCATAGACCCTGAGATTAGAGGAGCAACCTCTTTGAATGCTTTTGTTTGGTTTGGTATCATGCTTATATTTGGTTTGGTTTTCAGACTGATTTAAAGGGATTGTTGACTTTTTAAACTATTAGAAAAAGTGAGTTAGTGGCAAAAACTGAGTTCATTTCCATTCTTTACAAGTTTACAACCGATTTTTTTAATGGATTTTATAGTGGATTTTATAGTGAATTTAATACTGGATTTTTTTGTGGATTTTATAGTGAATTTTATGGTAGATTTTCCGTTTTTTCCACATGTGTTGCAAGATGAACTTAAATAAGAATATAAGTACCGTTGAGTATATATTAAATATTTAGGCCCCAAGTCTATGTAAAGATTACAAGATATTAAGCTATACAAAGCATAAGTGCAACGAAATTTTAACTTTTGATTTAACATTTGCTTCTTTTGGTATTATGTAAAATTTTTTGTTTCTAATCACAAAAGTTTGGGTATTATGAGTATTTGAAATAAGTAAACAATCCCTTTAAAAACCGGTTTTTAGGGAGGGATTCTCCAAACCAAATCTCCAAAGAGGATGCTGCCAAAATGTTAGAATCCATGAAATATATATTAATGTTTATTTTGTACAGTCGTTGGCGATTATATAAATACAATAAAGACGATTTTTAAGTAAAAGTTTTGATTTTTAACAAGCTATTTTCGAATAAAGTTTACAGATGAGCAAAGATTAGCTTTTTAATTGACAGTTTCTCTTGACTGTACCCATGCGGTTAAACAGCTTGATATAAATCAAAATTTATCACGAAAGTCCTCTTCATTGTATTGATATATTCGACGACGACTTTATATAAACCATATACAATTCAAATCTATCTCTCCCACTCCCTCCTTACAATAGACTTAGATCAAGACATGTTAGAATAGTTGACTGACATTTTTATGAAACTTTAAAAAACATGTTTTCTCAATTCCATGAAGTTCTATAATGTTATAATTGATAGAGATGAAACGACTAGTAGTTTACTAAAGTAAAAAGGACTGCAGAGTGCAGATGTAATTGCAAATGAACCTTAATTTGTTGAGATTGCACTTCTGATTCAAAACGGTTTACTATTTGTACCAGGGATAAGTATTTGAGGGTTTGGGAATTGTGACTTCTGTCTAATTTGAATAACCCACAATAGAAATTATGTTATATGTAATTGTTAATCATAACGCCACAGATTGGCCAGGTTTGATTGATTTTTTGAATAACTTGAACCTAATTATGAATACAGTTCTACAACCCAATCCGAAGATTTTAACAAAAATGTCCAACAAGAAGGTATATTGAACAAATTCAATATTACTTTTTCGAACTGTTCTCGTTTCAATTTTATATATTAGGATCCAACTTTACCACGCCGAGCTGGGCATATTTGGACATTCAGAAATCTGAAATTAAATCTTGGACAACGCCGGTATTCATTAATAGCTTGCTGCAACAAGGCACAATTTCACTTAATGTACTTTAGACAAAAAAAAAGAGACTGTATGGGAAAATTGAATCTTTTTTCTCTGCGAAAATTATGCTTTTTATAATAACCAGCTGAAGGGCCCCGTTTTCCGCGGCAAAAAATTTTTTTTCGTTTTTTTGGTCTCTATTACACCCCCGGCCACCCATGAGTGTCCATAAAAAAATTAAGCCCAATCGGTTTGACCGGCTATACGCAACATATAAATATGAACGTCTTGTTTTATTAAATAGATAACGTCAGATTTTCAATATTTTTAAGCGTAAAATGCTTCTATTTTAATGACACAAATTTGCAGTATTTCAATTTTATCACTCACATATCTTGACAGCCTACATTTGTTGCAAAAAACTTGCTGCGTCGACACACTACTACAGTCTACACGACTGTAGTAGACTGGTCGGAACAATTACTGGCATTTTTTATAAGAAAATCACTTCACTTCACATTTTACACGGAACCATAGTGTAATTCAAATTATATCACTTAGAAATATTTGTTGAATGATTGCTATTTATCAGAAAACAACAGTATCTACTTTATCAACGTCAAAGTGAATTGAATTTTTCGTTATATTTAATTCTTACATATTTTTTTAAGAGTTTATGATAAATATGTTTTGATTTTTTAATTTGTAACCGAATGATTTTTTTCTTCTCATATATTAAAACTTAAAACTATCGAGCTTCGCTATGAGGCCTCTAAATAGTCGTAAAAAATCGTTTAAATAGTCTGTCATACAGGAAAAAATATATTTTTTGAGAAACATTTACATTTGATTTATGTTCTGTAGGTCTTCAATTTTTAAAGGAAACAGTAGTTTAAAGTGTAAACATTCTTAACTACGAAAAATTTATATTTCAAGGATTTCTTATGGAATTAAAAAATACCGTTTTCATAACAAATCTTTACATTTTTTGGTTTGAAAAGAAAGAAATATTCTTTAATAAAATCAGGAGCAAGTTGGTTTATACTTTACGACTTGACTGCTGGTGATAAAGGGGGAGGGCTGTTATGATAAGCCGCGATCTAAACAAATGTGGTGGCTATGGCCACATATGGTAGGGGGGGGGGGGGCGACAGAGGGTTAGGTCCTCATCTGTAGATCCTGTAGTGTTTAGTAAACGCACAACTCAACCATTTAACCAGCACTTATTTTGTTGCAAGACGACATTCTTAAATATATTTGAAAAGACATTTTTATTCATCAGGTATCATCTAAAAAAATACTTTTTCTGTTTGCAAATATTTGTGCAGTGAGACCCATTTAGACTACATGGTATAAGGATGACTTTGAGACTCAAGCGTCGATTTTTAAAAGTCCAATGAACATAAAACGTTGACATTGGGCAGTGTAAACAGACCAATGTCTCTTAATAAGTATCTATTAAAAACTAAATTTTCATGATCTACACAGGATATTGCTTAAATGTTGTTTTATGGGTCTCTCTGCAGAAATTTGTTCATTATTCTTTGTAAAATAGAGATTGCAGTCATGTTAATTTTATGAACTTAATTCTGGTATTTTGAAAAAAAGATGTCTTGAAGTACATTTAAGAAGCATATAGTTTGGTGATCTTTGTAATCTATGTGTAACGTACAGGATGATTTTATAAAGGAGTTTAGTCCTTGAAACTGTTAACTCTAAACAATTCCATTAAAGTTTGAAATTAAAAAAGTAGAAAGTTCTTGAGAACAGCTCCTTTGATGAAATCATTGAAAGTGTACTCAACTTCACATTTTAAATATTTTACTCCCAGGTTCGATCGGAGTTTATGGAGTCTCTAGAAATGTCGACTTACCTTGTCGCTTTTGTGGTTTGTGATTTCGACATTATTGAGAAAAAAACGGACTCAAATGTTACTATCAGGTAGGCCATAGATTAACAACAATACAGATAGAACACTAGATGTCTTTTCGAGATTTAGGGTGTTTTCTTTCACAATAACTCTGAGGCAGGGGCCCAAAAGAAGTTACGCGTATGCTGCATGGGCTTCTGTCTCAGGCTTATTTAATTTAATTTACCAAGTTAAACTTGTAATCATGGCAAAAAGTTAATATTTATTTTTTTTCCCGTACAAATCTATACATTCTACAGTGATAACCAGAAAACTGTGAAATAGGAAGACGACAATATAGTAATACTGAAGTCTTTTTGATGTTGTCACAAAGCAAATAATCTTACTACATACAGTTAAACCCTAAATATTAAATACATCGAAAGAATTTATCAAATGTCGCATTCTTCACTTTCTGATAATGGAATGTTACAGATATTTAGTTTTTCAATTAATCGATTATATGGACTTCTTTAAAACTGTTCCTGCATATTCATGGCTAATTATTTATTTTCGCAAATACTGAGATTTACGTAAAATAGTATAAAACCCATTCAAAAAATGTCAAGACGACATTTCATAAATTCTTTCGATGTATTAAATATTTAGGGTTTAAATGTAGTAACTTAGTAAAACAGTCTAAACGTCGTCTTTCTATTCTAGAGTTTTCTGTTTCTCGCTGAAATTAAGAGATAATTATTTTTAACATTGACAGTTTTGTTCTTTTCTGATAAAACGTTAGCCATTTTTAGATTCTAGCATTTAGTTAACCTTGTTTTGTTAGTTTCATGAATTTTTGTTTGAGGTTTTATTAGTTTTCTTAACTTCTGTTTTAGGTTTTATTAGTTTTCTTAATTTTTGTTTGAGGTTTTATTAGTTTCCTTATTTTTTGTTTCGAGGTTTTATTAGTTTTCCTAATTTGTGTTTGAGATTTTATAAGTTTTCTTAATTTTGTTCGAGTTTTTATTAGTTTTCTTAATTTTTGTTTGAGGTTTTATTAGTTCTTTTAATTTTTGTTTGATGTTTTATTAGTTTTCTTAATTTTTGTTTCGAGGTGTTATTAGTTTTCTTAATTTTTGTTGGAGGTTTTATTAGTTGTCTTATTTTTTGTTTAAGTTTTTAACGAAGTTTTATGAATGAGATTCCACAAAAACCACATTTGTTAAGCCATTCAAAGCGAGCACACTCTTAAGAAATTTTTTCTTACAAAATTTGGTTAAAGCACCGGAGCCGAATTCAATTTTAAACTTCTTTGAGTGAAAATTATGATTCATCAACATTTGAAGAATTGTGATATTAATTTGATTTTGGAACCAGTAAGTAACAATTGACATTTCTTTGAGGGCACTGTTATATTTACTAATTTCGATCATAGTTCTAGAAAAAATCTAATTTTCTTTGATCTTTTTGGACATGCCGAACACATACAAAGGATTCTGTCTGACAGTAAAATTTGTAAAAAAGTGTTTATTTTTCATTAAAAAAGATAGAGATAAGATGCTAAAACCGATTTACTGTTCAGAGTAATCGCAGCCCATGACAAGATATCCCAAGCCAAGTTTGCCCTGGACCAAGCAGTTCAAATCACCCAGAACTACGAGAGATATTTCGGAATTCCGTTCCCTTTACCAAAACAAGGTTTGTCCAATATATTTTTTTCTTATTTTAATATTTCTTATAAGGAGTGTTCGCGAAAATTAAAAGGGGTATTGGGTATAGGCTGAATCCTAGTCAAATTTGGATTGGATCGCTATTAATTTTACTTCAATTTAAAGCTTCTATATTAAGAAAATGATAAAATGCCTTTTTCTAAGAAGGGAGAAGCCCAATAAAATAGATTTCATAAAACTATGAAAGAGTTGAAGAGATCGATTAATTGATTGAAATTGTCGTCTTTGATATTAAAATCCTCCAAATTGGTTAGAAAATATTTTAAAGTTACACTCATAAAGATAAAAGTATTATTATATGTAGAGTGAAGACTACATTCAAATGACCCGAATAAAATTCGAAACAATATGTATTGTATTATTTGTAGGATCAGTTTAATTGAAAAATTCAGGGTTTAAGTGTTATTATAAAACTAAATTAATTTACATACGCTTTTAACAATAAGGGTTTTTTACCACTTGCTTGTAACAATAAAATATAATTATAATTTGAATTCATTTTTCGCTATCACTCCCTTTAAAAGTCTTTCTGAAACAACTAATTTTTGTGAAGACTTGATAGCGATACCAGACTTTGAGGCGGGAGCAATGGAGAACTGGGGACTTATAACATACAGGTATCTTTTGGTCTTAGTGACATGTTCCTAATTGGCAGTTTTATAAATGTATCAATTCCATGTATGTACCTCTTTCTTAAATGAACTATCTAAAGAATCACCCCAGGGGTACCCTTTCTACAGTTCATCCCAGAACTTTCGAGAAACCGAAAGAATTTATAAAATTTTTAAATTTTTTTGGACCTGACAAACTGTTAAAGGGTCAAAGTTAGATTTTAACTTGTCACTCATCACAGTTAATATTTTGCGTGTAAATGAGAAGCTGTTTACGTCAAAACAAAAAAGAAACTGAAGGTATTTAAGATTTGAGTTAATTAACTATAAATAAAGAAATTGAGTTTTTGCCACAAATCCCAATTTTATAATACCTAAGTCTCAACAACCAGATGATGCATAGCATTCATATTTCAAACTTACATTGTTTGATCCACTATAGAATTCATAGCTTGAAATATCTACGGTCTACGACATCTGGTTTTAAAGAAATTGAGATTTAAAATCCGAGTTTGTGGCAAAGACTCATTTCCTTTACTACTGAAATCTTTTGTATCACGAATAGCCAATACTTTTTTTAATACAGGGAAAGTTAAGGATGTAAATGCGTGTAAAGATCAAGAAAAGTTAAAGTATGAAAATCTCCAGTTTTCCCAAAACTAAAATTAGAAAAAAATCCCCTGCAAGCTTGAGGATTAGTACAATCAGCTTCTCCTAAACCTGAGCTGAAAACTTTTGAATGATGGATATCGAGATTAATGCTTGATCCTCTCTTTTTCTTAATCTCGAGACTAACCTACTCTTGTACTTGTATCCTAAAATAAAACCGATAAATTTGAAATTTTGCGCGCCATTTAAGAATAATATACAGAAACGGGAGGAACTCTCTAATTTTAAAAACCGGTTTTTGATTTTTCTCTACTATATCCTAGAAAGAACTGTTTAAGAAGAAAATCAAAAGTGTGTACATTGGATACTCAGATTAAATAATCGGGATTAGGGATATCTCATTCTAAAGTTTTCAGCTCTGGCCATATTTTGTATATAATTTAAATTTGTTTCCATGCTGTACGATAGTTCATAAGAATGATTAATCAAAGAAAAGGTGGGAAAAGGAAAGCTTCTCAAAATAGAAAAATAATAATGTAAACCCTATCATTTTACAAGACAGGATAGAAATAAAAATTCCCAATTAATTTATTTTAGAAAGCACTCCATTTTTCTTTAATTTCAAGAAAAAATTATTCTTTACACATAATGTTGGTAACAACAATTCCTCTTTTCCTTCTTTCTTTCATTTTTCGGTTAATTCTTTTCATTTTTTCATTTTCTTCTTTTTTGTCTCAGAAAGTGTGCCCCCCCCCCCCCACCTTTCGGGGTTTGCTAGCCCCTAGCTACAAGCCTGCTGGGGGAACTTTTGATTTGCAGAGATCAAATGCAATTGTCTCGGATTTCAAGCTACTGACTTAAAACACGCCAAGAGACAGGGATTTTCCAATTATTTTTCTAAAACTTTTTCTAAAATTTCGGTAAAATTTTTTCTATTTTTAAGTAAATATTTAAAGAGAGTTGTGTCTTAATATTAAGTGAACATTGTGCCCCAAAGAATCATCTTAGAGAATGTAAAGTTTTGTTTTGTTTCTTCACACAAAATTTTCTAAAACAAAAATGTTTTTCTTCTAATCTAATTTTAAATAAATATTTTAAGGGAGTTTTGTCGTAATTTCAAAATAAAAAAATCCAGATTTACACCAGTATTTTTAAACAGATCAATACTGTGGAAGTTTTAAAACGTTTTAATTCTCATAATTCTCACATTGTTTCCTTTAGCAGAAAAGTTACTTTTTGTAGAGAAACCACAAGTGAAAGTAATAAGTTTTCAAAATAATAAACATGTATCTTGCTCATTTTTTATCAGACAAAGTTTTCAAGGGTACCGTTGAGAATCCGACTTTAAACTACTCAGAAAGGCCCTTTAATACTATTGATTTTGTTTTCTGTAACTTAAGTTTTTAGTCAATTTGAGTTAGGCTGGACAATTTTCATTTAATACAATTTAAAAATAATTTCGCTTTTTTACGATTTCTTGATCGATAACCCAATTCATAAGTTTAGACTGTCATCATTTCCAAAAGTTTGTAAAATATTTCCCCAACCTTAAAACTTTGAAATTGAAATTAAAAATTTATTTTGAAATTTACTAAATATAAAACCCAATTTAAAAAATAATTTTAACAATTTTACGGTTTCCCGCTTTTGCTGAACTCTTGGTGTAAACGGGTCAAATTCAGACATTTGATACATTATTTTAAAATTTTATAAATTTCCCCAAGACTTGTGGAGAATCCACTAATGAGGCGCACAATATTGTTATTTCGAACTTTGTTACCAACAAGTTCAGATTTGAATAATTTCCGTTTTGTGTGGGGGTTCTCCTAAAAAGGGTTAGTAAACATAGTTTCAAGTGACTCTCCATGCAAATACGGCAATGTCCGATAATATGCCCGATTCACAGTGGTATCCTAAAAACCTTTATCTGATCAAAGATGTGGAAGATATTTTTTTAGAATTTAATGTTGTTTAATTCTGATAAATCTATGTTTTCCTGCAGTAGAATTTCTCGAGCCAATTTTTTAGAGAAACCAATGTTTAATTTATACTTGGATCAGACAGAGCTTTAAGGGTACCGTTGTGAATCGGGTATTGCCATCTATTCAGAGAGTGTCACTTGAAATTACGCTTACAGTCCCTTTAAAAGTGGCGCTCTAAAGGTTTTTTTTTCGCGTGTTTTAATACAAAATCATTTTAAAATCCATCGTAAAATATTATCACAATTTTTTGAGTTTGTTTTAAGTTTGTTTATTGAATAAAAACGAGATAATCTATTTTTGATTTTTGAACTCACAAATCAACTCCTTCTCTGTAATCTTCAGAGACAATTGTATTGAATTTATACCGTCTGTTCCCTTATATTCACGATTCCCTGCAACTGTATTTTTTTTTTTGCTAAATCATTAAAGTTTCCATTAAAGATTACTATATCTAAGGCAGAATACATTATTTAAGCTACGGATCATCACATCTTAAGAGTTTTCGGTCGTAGCATCTACTTCGCAATAAGTAGATGCAAAAAAGCCAAATCTTTTATATCTTAAAAAAAATTTCAGAACCCAATCCGATAATCTTTATTTGAATACAATTTTAAACTCAAATATATAACTGAAAAAAGTACCAGATTAATGAAATACTTAAAATCCTTTAAACTCAATTTTTTAATACAATATTTCTCTGTTTTATAAAGATTAACAGATTTCATTAAAAAATGTCAACAAGTTGTTTATCTATCATCCCTATATGAAATAAGTCGGTTGATTTCCCTTCTTGTCTTTGTCGCATAAATCTGACAAATTAAATTTATGGAGTAACTGTAATTTAATTTACTGCTTAGACCAAGGCTAGGATGATTCCTTAGTAATTTCGGTATAAAACTGATCAAATGTAGGGTCCCATGATATTACGTCCCTTAACAAACTAATTTAATGTCTTCCAGGGAAACAGCTTTGTTGAATGAGGAAGGCGTATCAAGTTCATTAGACACACAATGGGTTGCTGTTGTAATTGCTCATGAACTAGCTCATCAGGTTTTTATATTTTTCTTTTTAAACTTAACCCTAAAAGGTAAATTTAAAATCAGGTGTTATTGGATATGGGTTTTGCATGCATATTATTTTACAGTGAAAGGAAAATAATTGTTTAAAATAAACGATAAACTTCTCAGTTTTTTTTTTGGAACCTTGTAAAAGTTAAAAACCTTAAAAAAGAACCATCACTAGTTTTGAGGTTTAAATTTTTGAATCTTAGTTAATTTGTCCACCCTAAGCACCAACGAATAGTTAAAGGGAGTGTTCGCGAACACTCCCTTCAAGCGGAATCTAACCGACTTTGTCTGGCTGTCATAGGTTTATTATTTAAAAATTTCGCCCTCAAACAAACACAAGTTTCCAAATATTTAACAGTCGAGCTTTCTTAGTCATTCATTCATAATTTAGTTAAGTGATGTTGTTTTTAACCTCCATTGAAGTTCACCAAGGGGAAAACTAATTTGTCTAACTCTGTTTATTCATTATAAGTTTTCATTGTTTTGTTTTGTTTAATTAAATTTACTTTTTGAAGAGTACACTTTGTTTAAAAAGAGTTTTGAGAACTTTTCTTTGCATGTAGGTAGTTAGCCATGACGGGGTAGGGGCAGAGCACTAAAGCTGGAAAATCATTGTTTGTTTGTTTATTGGTTTGGAAATCAAATTATTCATTCTTTGTTTAGTGGTTTGGAAATCATTATCCATTCATTGTTTAGTGGTTTGGAAATCATTATCCATTCATTGTTTAGTGGTTCGGAAATCATTATCCAATAATTGTTTAGTGGTTTGGCAATCATCGTTTATGCATTGTTAAGTGGTTTGTAAATCATTATTTATGCATTGTTTAGTGGTTTGTAAATCATTATTTATGCATTGTTTAGTGGTTTGGAAATCATTATTTATGCATTGTTTAGTGGTTTGGAAATCTTGTGACTATGCAGTGGTGGAATGATCTCTGGTTAAATGAAGGTGAAAATTTAAAAGAATTAATTTTAAATAATTGTTGGGAAATTCACACCTGGTACCGAATTTAATGAATTTGAGCTGTGAACCACTGATTCAAAGTTAAAATAAAGATTAAGAAAGGATTTAAATCTGTGATTCAAATTTGAACCGACGGTATCAACTAGTGTCGATTAAATGTTGTAACTTTATGTAAATAAATTAGTAATGGCTCCATTTCTTATTTACTAATCTCTTTCTTTAGAATTAAAACGACTGTTTAAATTAAAAAAAAAAAAAAACTTTTAGCCGACTAATATTTCATGTTTGATTAGGATTTGCTTCGTGGATGGAATACAAGGAAATCTTCTTTGTCTAAATATTGTGTAACTACAGGGTGTCCCACAAAATATTGTGTAACTACAGGGTGTCCCACAAAATATTGTGTAACTACAGGATGTCCCACAAAATATTGTTTAATTACAGGTGTCTCACGAAAACTTTTGTAACTACAGGGTGTCCTACAAAATATTGTTTAACTACAGGGTGTCTCACGAAAAATTGTTCAACTACTAGATGTCACAAAATATATTGTGTAACTACAAGGTGTCCCACGAAATATTGTTTAACTACAGGGTGTTCCACGAAATATTGTTTAACTACAGGTTGTCCCACGAAATATTGTTAACTACAGGGTTTCCCACAAAATATTGTTAACCACAGGGTTTCCCACGAAATATTGTTTAACTACAGGGTGCCCAACGAAATATTGTTTTGGGACACCTTGAAGTGTCGCTGAAATAAATGTTATTTACCCCGTTGAGGTTTATTAAAGTTACCCAACTTATCTTTTTATACAAAAGGATCGAGATCTTTTGGAGAATTTTTTTTTGATTTTGAAAAGAAAGATGATGGGTGTAGGGTGTGGATGAGGTAGAACCTGATTGGAAAATGATGGATCAGTTTTGGATCAATGAAGTTGAACCAGCTCTTGATCTTGATTCACTACAATCCTCTCATCCAATTAGTGTTCAGGTTCAGGTAATTCAATGGATTGTTGATGAATATAGTGTTCAGGTTCAGGTAATTAAAGGGATTGTTTAGAATATAGTGTTCAGGTTCAAGTAATTAAAGGTATTGTTCTTGAATATAGTGTTCAGGTTCAAGTAATTAAAGGGATTATTCATGAATATAGTGTTCAGGTTCAGGTAATTAAAGGGATTGTTCATGAATATAGTGTTCAGATTCAAGTAACTAAAGGGATTGTTCATGAATATTGTGTTCAGGTTCAAGTAACTAAAGGGATTGTTCATGAATATAGTGTTCAGGTTCAAGTAATTAAATGGATTGTTCTTGAATATAGTGTTCAGGTTCAAGTAATTAAAGGGATTGTTCTTGAATATAGTGTTTAGGTTCAAGTATTTAAAGGGATTGTTCATGAATATAGTGTTCAGGTTCAAGTAATTAAAGGGATTGTTCATGAATATTGTGTTCAGGTTCAAGTAATTAAAGGGATTGTTCATGAATATTGTGTTCAGGTTCAAGTAATTAAAGGGATTGTTCATGAATATTGTGTTCAGGTTCAAGTAATTAAAGGGATTGTTCATGAATATTGTGTTCAGGTTCAAGTAATTAAAGGGATTGTTCATGAATATTGTGTTCAGTGAAATATCAGCTATATTTGACTATATATCTTGTTTAGGAACCCAGTGAAATATCAGCTTTATTTGACTATATATCATATAGAAAAGGAGCATCTATTATTCATATGCTGGAACAGTTCTTAGGAGAAGAGCATTTAAGGTAAAATATTTTCAAATTAATATTTCACAAAGAATCTTCTTTATTCACTCAGAAATTTTATCTTTAACTGGTTTTCAGATCCGTTTTTAAACTTTCAGGGTTTGTTGACGCTTATGTGTTCATAATAATGTGAGTTGCTTTTACATTGTAAATTTGAACTCTCGATAAATTTTATTTTATTTTATTCATTTCTCTGATCAAAGATATCAAATAAAATAGTTTCAATTAATAAGTTAGGTCAGAGTAAAATTTACATAATGTAACAAAGCAAACTTGTCAAGCATGCAATGTACATTGTGCAAAGAACAATTCAGATTCTGGTGAAGCCTCTTTAACTATTTATAACACTGTTATTTTGTTCGCAGTGTTAATATAAAGTTTTTGGACAGACGTTTTCTCTTTTTCGAGAAGGTTCAAGATTTTTTAGATTTAATTAAATTAATATAATTGATTAATGTAATTAATATGATTTAAAAAGGCGAGAACCCTTGAGATAAACATGCAGATTTATGCAAAAAAAATGTTTATTAACAATGGCTTAAACAGCCTGAAATCCGTAGAAGTACAACTTTTTACTTTTTTTTTATTTGAATATCATTTTTCAATTTAACATTTTATATAAAAGTTAACAATAAAAAATTCAAAATATTATTATTAACAATAATCTATGAAAGCTAGAGCTTTATCGAGGGATAAAGTTTAATCTAAAAAGACGAGAACCATCGAGATATAGAGAAAATTTAAGTCCAAAAACTGTATAGCACGTCGTCGTGCCAAAATAATAGTGTTATATGTAATTTTATGAAACTTTTGTGTACTTGTCTTATTTCAATGGCTATATCTAGAACAAATAAGCTTTGAAACGAAGCAGAAGGCAAATTATAAAGTAGATTTCAATTTTATTTTCATTTTAATTGAAAAAAAATATTTTGGAAATATCCTTAATTTTTTCGGAGAAAATCCGGGAAAAAATCAAAACTTTATAGCACACGTGCTATTATGTACAGATAATTCAACTTTATAGCACAAGGATTTTTTAATAGCGTACGTTCATTATGAAAATCACGATGAAGTGAGGAAGAATGATAAAGTACTAAATAGTTTCATAAAAAAGGTTTGAAACTTTGAATGTTGAAAAATGGAACTTAAAATGATGCCCATCAGTGATCTTATCTAACTGACCCTTCATAAAAAATGAATGAACATTACAAGTTGATTATAAAACCTCTTAATAGGAATATTTTAACATTCGAGTCATTCATTATAAAAAATGAATATACATTATAAAAAATGAATAAAAATTATAAAAATGAATAAACATTACAAGTGGATTATGAAATCTCTGAGTAGGAGTATTTTAACATTCAAACCATTCATGTTATTAAGGAAATAAGGCCAATTAATTTGGAAAATAGAATTCAGCTGAATACAATTAGAATAAAAATATATCTGAATATACTTAGGAAAGGACTAGAAATATATTTAAATATATTTAGGATAGGACTAGAAATATATCTGAACTTTTTTAGGAAAGGTCATGAAATATTTCTTAATATATTTAGGAGAGGACTAGAAATATATCTGAAAATATTTTGGAAAGGACTAGAAATATATCTGAAAATATTTTGGAAAGGACTAGAAATATATATGAAAATATTTTGGAAAGGACTAGAAATATATATGAAAATATTTTGGAAAGGACTAGAAATATATCTGAAAATATTTTGGAAAGGACTAGAAATATATATGAAAATATTTTGGAAAGGACTAGAAATATACCTGAAAATATTTAGGAAAGGACTAGAAATATATATGAAAATATTTAGGAAAGGACTGGAAATATATCTGAAAAAGAACAAATTCAAGAATACTGTAACCAAGGATCTCTGGAATGCATGCACTGAAGCCACCAACAACACTAAAGATGTCATGGTAAGCAATTATGAAAATGATGACAACGATGACAACAATGACAACAATGACAACAATGACAACAATGACTACAATGACAAAAATGACAACCATGTCAGCAATGACAATAATGACAATGATGACAACGATGACAATGATGACAACGACGACAACGACGACAACAATGACAACAATGACAACGATGACAACGATGACAACGATGACAACGATGGCAACGATGACAACGATGACAGTGATGACAATGATGACAGCGATGGCAATGATGACAGTGATGACAACAATGACAGCGATGACAACAATGACAACAATGACAACAATGACAACATTGACAACAATGACAACATTGACAACATTGACAACATTGACAACAATGAAACAATGCAACAATGCAACAATGAAAACAATGAAAACAATGAAAACAATGAAAACAATGACAACAATGACAACAATGACAACAATGACAACAATGACAACAATGACAACAATGACAACAATGACAACAATGACAACAATGACAACAAACGGCATAGACGGCATAGACGGCATTGACGGCATTGACGGCATTGACGTCAATGACAACAATGACAACAATGACAACAATGACAACAATGACAACAATGACAACAATGACAACAATGACAACAATGACAACAATGACAACAATGAAAACAATGACAACAATGACAACAATGACAATAATGACAATAATGACAACAATGACAACAATGAAAACAATGACGGCATTGACGGCATAGACGGCATAGACGGCATTGACGGCATTGACGGCATTGACGTCAATGACATCAATGACGGCAATGACGGCAAAGACGGCAATGACCACAATGACAACAATGACAACAATGACAACAATGACAACATTGACAACAATGACAACAATGACAACAATGACAACAATGACAACATTGACAACAATGACAACAATGACAACAATGACAACAATGACAACAATGACAACAATGACAACAATGACAACAATGACAACAATGACAACAATGACAACAATGACAATAATGAAAACAATGACAATGACAACAATGACAACAATGACAACAATGACAACAATGACAACAATGACAACAATGACAACAATGACAACAATGACAACAATGACAACAATGACGGCAATGACGGCAATGACGGTAATGACGGCAATGACGGCAATGACGGTAAGGACATGAACAAAGACAACAATTCTAATGATGTTAATGATGATTCTTATGAAGGGTATGATGAACACCTGGACCCTGCAGATGGGGTACCCTCTGATCATCTTCTCCAGGATTGGGAACTCCTCTGTCTGGAACATAACCCAGTCAAGGTTCCTCCTGGCTGGACAGGTAAAACCCTTTTAATGGGAATATTTACGATATTTGAAGTGATTCTAATGAAGTAGCACTATTATCTTTTCAAGATTGTGCTCTTTATTTCTACGATGTTGAACATAATATGTTATTTTTAATGAGAAAAAAACAGATTTTAATTTTTTTCAAAAATTATTTAGTTAAATGGAACCAACTCTAGCCTGCCAGCAAGTCCATACAACTATAAATGGAATGTTCCGGTCAGCTTCAAGACAAATCTAGGTCACAGCCGTGAAATTCTTCTTGGTTCAAAGGTAAATTATACCAGAGATAAGGTTAAGAGTGTAGCATAGACATGGTTGAACTACTTCCTTTGTACTCTAGTTTAAAGCTAAGAACACTTGTCGCGTCAATCTATATTTTCAAATATAATATTAGGATAATGACACGAGCAAGGTGGTAACCTTAGATGAGAAGATCAAATGGATAAAGGGAAACACAGATGGGGTTGGTTTCTACAGAGTTAATTACCCTACACAGGTATTTTCATATTGTATAAAAACAGAAATATATAGTTATTAGACAAATTTAACACTTTTATTTTGTTACAATTTTGCCAGTATCATGCACACATATTTTTACCCTCTGCTTTATTTATAACTCAGTTGAACCCAGAACTCTGGAGGTATTAAAGAATATATTAAATGTCGTCTCTTCAAATTTTATTATGTTTTATACAATTATACGTAAATCATTAATTGTAAAAATAAATAAATAGTCATGAAAATGCAGGAACAGTTTAAAAGAGCTCCATATGATCATTCTAAAAAACTAAATATCTGCAGCATTCCATTATCAGGGTTAGAAAACGGCATTTTATAAATTCTTTCTATGTTTCCCAGGTTCTGGGTTAAACTGTAGTATTTTCAGATATGGACTATGCTGATTAATCAGCTGAACACAGATTTGTCTGTGTTTTCTGGAGCTGACAGAGCACAGCTGATAGATGATGCTTTTTCATTATGTATGGCAGGTACGTAGACTGTAGAGTATGTCTAGGCAGTAAGGGAGTGCTCCCAGATTTTGATTTGGAAAGATGCATGAATATACTTCTTTTTTTACCTATTCTTAAACCCATCTAGATCTGCAAGCTATTTAATTCATGTACCTAAACCTATATCTAGGTCTATTACATGTACCTATACCTATATCTAGGTCTACTACCTGTACCTATAAACCTATATCTAGGTCTATTACATGTACCTATAAATTTATATCTAGGTCTAATACCTGTACCTTTAAACCTATATCTAGGTCTATTACATGTACCTATAAATTTATATCTAGGTTTACAACCTGTACCTATAAACCTATATATTTAGGTCTACTACCTGTACCTATAAATTTATATTTAGGTCTACTACATGTACCTTTAAATTTATATTTAGGTCTAGGTCTAATACCTGTACCTAAACTTATATCTAGATCTACTACCCGTACCTATAAACCTATATCTAGGTCTACTACATGAACCTATAAACGTATATCTAGGTCTAATACCTGTACCTAAACCGATATCTAGGTCTACTACCCGTACCTATAAACCTATATCTAGGTCTACGACTTATACATACACCTATATCTTGGTCTATTCCCTGTTCCTAAACGTATAATTTAGGTCTACTACATGTGCATAAACTTATATCTAGGTCTTCATGCATAAACCTATATCAAGTTCTACTATCTGTACCTATAAACCTATATCTAGGTCTATCTGTACCTAAACCTATATCTTGGTCTACCTCTGTCTGTACCTGTAACTAGGTCTACTACCTATACCTAAACCTATATTGAGGTCTACTACCTGTGTCTGTACCTGTATCTAGGTGTACTATCTGTACCTGAACCTATTTCTAGGTCTACTTCCTGTGTCTGTACCTGTATCTCTATCTACCTATCTTGTAAAAGAAACTGATCTAGTTCCTTGGAAGATAGCTTTAAGGTAATTTTTGTTTATAATATTAATAACAACAAAGTCTTCATAAAGCTTTAGCTGTAAAGTTTTGAATTTTTAACTAAAATCTTTTTATTATTTATATGGTGCATAGTTTTATAATACTAATAATTTTTTTTCTAGGCATCTAAAATCTTGGAAGGCTTTATTAAGGTAAATATATATATTTATGCATTTATTTTCTAAAGATAAGGGAAAAGGATGGTAAGGGATGAATTTTATTGAAAAAGATCAAAAGTCAATAATTGAATTATATTATTTGACCCTTCAGAACTAATAAAAAAGGAGGACCATATTGTTAAAGGGAGTCTTCGTGAAAAATGAAAGAGGGGAATAGTCTTACGGCGAAAAATAAGCGCTTTTGATCGTTACTAATCTTACTTCTCTGTTGTGTCTATCTGGTGAAAATTGTTAAGAACGACTCGGTCTGAAGAATGTAGTGTTCATAAAAATTCAGAAAGTTGCAACATTCAACTAGGATCGTAAAATAATCAATTCAATTCCAAACAAATCATTTAGATATGACAACCATTATTCGATTCTATTATTTTTCGACGCATTCATATATAGTTAGTATTTCATAATATTTTTGATTTTGTTTTTTTTAAATAATATTTCGTTGGCGTGGGATTTTCTAACATTCCTGGAAAATGTAAAAATGTCGTCTTCATTATCAAAAATCCTCGAATCAGGAAAAAAGGTTTCAAAGTAAACATCAGATCATAAGAAATAAAAATATTGTTATGAAATAACAACTATATACGATTAAACGAATGCGTCGAAAATTATCGTTGATTATTGGTTGTTATATCTGAATGATTTGTTTGGAATTAAATAGACTTTTTACGATCCGAGTTGAATGTTGCAACTTTTTGAATTTGTATGGACGCTACGTTCTTCAGCTTAAGTCGTTTTAAACAACTTTCTCCTTATAGACGCAACAGATAAGCAAGATTAGTAGCAATCAAAAGCGCTTATTTTTCGCCGTAAGCCTATGCCCCCTTTTATTTTTCGCGAACGCTCCCTTTAAACAATAACAAAATCGTAAACCATTTAATCCTGATTTTTATTTTCCTCAATAAGATAATTTAGATTCAAATCAAATCAAAATCAAATCATACATTTTTATGCAGTAAACATAATAACATATTAAACAATATATAAAAATAAAAGTTAAATATAATTGAAATTACTGCAGCAGGGGGGCTTGGATGACATAAAATATTTTTTGATGGAAACATTCTTAAACTAATTGTATTGAATTTAAAAATATTCATTTCTCTTTAAAAATATAAAGTTTCATAGAATAATAGGGGCTAGAAAACATCTAAACATTTTTAAATAAAATTTGATTTAGCCCATCTTTTATGAATCTCCTTCAACATTTTTGAACACTCCAATAAACTGAATTGTTTTAATATTTAGTGATGGTCCTGGTGGTTCAGCAGTTGATGCATTTATTAGTTTTCTTGTTGAGAATATATATAAGAAGCTAGGCTGGTTTGAGGCTGGAACTCATGAACAAAGGTAGAAACAAGGATAAGATTTAATAGAGAGAAGTAGTTGAATCACTTCTCTTCAAGTTGAATAGGGTGCACAAAGGAAGTTGTTTAACTACATCTAACCAGTTCAATTACTTCTTGCTAAGCATGAATTTTGGTCTCAAGATTTAACTAAAGGCTGTTTGAGAGATTACAGCTAGATTTGTCATTTTTAAACTTCTTTTACACATTTTTTTTTACTTGAAAGGACTGCAAGCGAGATTTTTTTGACATTTAATATTTAAAGATGTGAATCCCCGATTCACTACGATACCCTGTAGATACATTTAGAAACATTTTCTTATATAACTACTTAATTAAATGCTTGTAATATAGTTCAACACTTTGTGTGTAAGCTGTTAAAAATTTCAAATCGTGAGAGATATAATAGGAAGTTAAATTTTTGTCAATTTTTATTTTTCAAAAATCCAACATTTGGAATTGTTGAATAAAGTAGATGGATAACTACTTTGCTAGTGTGGCTTGTTCAACAGAGAATTGAGCTGAAAACTTTAGAATGGCGGATATCGAGATCAATGCTTGATCCTCTTTTAATTTGCTAATCTCTTGACTAATTTAGTCTTGATTTATTTCTAGAGATTAGAGATACGCTCTTTACCTTTATAAAAACCAGTTTTCAATTTTTATGTGTTTCTGGTGTTGATGGTGTCAATAATCAATTAAACGAATGCAAATTTTGGATTAATGTTTGTTAAGACTAACGTTGAAAATGTCTGCAGTCCTCAAATGTGACAAAATATGTTTTTTTAATAAGTTCATATTCACATGATTGAATTTATAATTGTTTATATGCTCTAAAAGCCTACTTGTAAACAATTGACCTTAGTTCAATAGGATATTAGTCCAATCGATATAGCAGTGTAGCTGTAACTATTTTCATCCGTAACTTTTATATAGTAGTCGGTTTCCAAAGGAGAGGGTTTAGAAGAAAATCAATAGTTTGTAAATTAGATTTATAAAATACAAGAAAGGTAGACCTCTTTATGAAAAGCTCGTCAGACCTACAGCCTCGTTATTTTACTTTCTTTGTTATGCGTTAAATATCAGAAATCGAAGACGACTTTCAAGTTATCTCTTAATTCTGAAGTTTATTGGGACACCCTTTACTTCTCAATATTCATTAGAGTTGGTCCCAGGAGTCGGCTGTCTCTGACGTCAGATCTTTTGATGAAAGCTGAATTTCTATTTCAGTATCTATAACATTGACGGGTTTACGTGATGGAAACAAAATTTATATCTGAAATCCTTTTCTTATTTTCACATATGACGTAGAATTGTTCTCAGGTAAAGGGTGTCTCACAAAAATGTTTGAAAATTTTGCAGCTTTATTTGTCAACTAGTTTTTGCATCATAGATTATACATTATTGACCTGCAGTAATGTTCAGAGTTTACTTTAAGGGTATTGCGTACTATTGTTTTACAGTACCTTACATAGCATATTTCAAGTTTATTGTGTACAGTACTATGGTTCTTCAGTATTGTACATAGCTTATTTTTTATGTTATTGCATACATTAGTATTGTTCTATAGTATTGTACACAGCTTTATTTAATGTGTTTGTGTACAGTACTGTACATAGATTATTTAAAGAACATTACGTGCAGTACTATTGTTCTCCATTACTCTGCATAGCTTATTTCTAGGTTATTGCGTATATTATACGCCATTGTTCTACAGTACTGTACATAGTCTATTAAAAGGTTATTGCGTACAGTACTATTGTTATAAAGTTTTGTACATAGTTTATTTCAAGACTATTGTGTACAATACTTTTGTTCTATAGTACTGAACAAAGTTTATTTCAAGAATATCGTGTACAGTACTATTGCTCCACAGTACTGTACATAGTTTATTTCAAGGTTATTACGTACAGTTGTACTCTCAGCAGCTGTAGATGCTGGACTAAAAGATGCTGTGGACAGAAGTAAACAGATCTTTACAGATGTCATGGATAACCAGTCAAAAATATCATCCGAACTACAGGTAAACATACATCATCCAAACTAAGGTATAAATAAATCAGCCGAACTCTAGATAGAAATATTTTATCCGAACTACTTGTAGAAATTTATTATCCAAACTAGAGGCAGAATAACATCATTCGAACTATAGATAGAAATACATCATCTGAACTTCAGATAGAAATACATCATCCAAACTTCAGATAGAAATACATCACCCGAATAACTAAGTAAAAATACATTAATAAACTACTTTATTAGAAATACAATATCCGATGTACAGGTAGAAATAAATCATCCTATCAACAGGTAGAAATACATCATCCGATCTACAGGTAGAAATACATCATCCGATCTACGAAAAGAAACTCATCATTTGAAAATAACTAGGAAATTTCGTTAATGTGTTGATAAATTAATTCGGATATCCACACATATCATCCAAACTACAAGCATTACTAAATTATCTAAACTAATCTATCAATTTATTATCCTCACTTTTTGAATTGAAATGTTATTTTATAGAGTTTAAAAATGTTGAATTTATTTTAAAATATATCTAATTTCCAATAGTTTTCATGATTTACAGTTTTTCAAAAAGTTTAAACTTTGAATAGTTTCTCAAATCCAATTTCTAACTTAAATTGATGTTTTTTCTAACTTCATAGAACACAATTTAAGATCATATTTAGTAATATTAAAAAAGTTTAATTAATTTTTAGTTTTTAGTTATTTTAGTTTTTATTTTAGTAAGAATTAGTAAGGTATTTTTCGGATAGAATAGTTTTTATTTTTTTTTCTGATGGTAGTATTTCATCTTTGGTGTGTCTTAACAAATAAAAAATACGATCTTATATTATTTTCTTTTTTACTGTTCAGCCAAAAACGTGACATCTTGTTTCATGTCAATTTCCACATAAAATTTCAAGTTTTTCGGGTTGGGTAGCATTTAGAAAATAAACATATATACTTCTATATTAAATATTTTACTTCTATACAAGACTATTAATTCATAAAAAGTGGAACAGTTTGTTTATTTTATGGTAAGATCGGAAACGATTAAATTTAAATTTATAATTTTGAAAACTTTGTAATAAATATTCTTGTAGAATTCTTTTAAAAAGTAATTAAAAGAAGGCTTAAAGGGATCATTTCATGGAAACACATTTCTTTAACCCGTCAGGATGTTTATTTAACTATTGGAAATACAAAACTAAATTTTATATTTTTGTTGTACAAAATATACTTATGTAATAATAAAGCACATGATTACTGATCAAAATTTTTTGTCACTTAATCAAATAATTTGTTTCAGTAATTTTTTATGATAAAATGTATGTAAATGATTTCTAAATCTCTTTATTAAGTTGACACTCTTCTGTTTAATCTTTTCTTTTGGATATCCCTTCTATCTTCTCTCATTTATTGCTCGCAAAATTTTGAAATTTCTCGGCTTCTGATTGGCTGTTCAGTTTCTATAATCGACATCTCATTGGTTGCAGTTTCAACAATTTTCCGGATATTAACAGAAGATTAAATTAGTCTTTAGATTAATAAAAAGAGAAGATCTCAATCATTGACCTCAATAAAAAGAGAAGATCTCAATGATTGATCTCAATATCCACAATTATAAAGTTTTCAACTTGGGTAAAAGAAAACTCTATAAGGAAAATCTGGGAAATTTTCTTTGTGTAATTTACAGGGGGAGAAACTTTCGATAAGTAGAATTATTATGAAAAATATGTAAATGTCAAAGGAAAGCCTGGTATGAAATTAGAAAATAAATAAATTATAAAAAGATGTAAATATTTATAAAATGTAAGAGAGAAGGAACCATAGATAAATAAATAAACATAGATAGCTTATGTACGCAAAATCACCAAGAATTGTACAGTCCCCGAACTCATACTTCTAGGGGTCAAAGTGTACTTCAATGATAAGCGGGGTGGTTTGGTGTTTTAATGAATTTCATAATAGAGTGTAAAATAACTCCGGGAATGGAACTATTTGAATAACAATATTTCACTGAGTAATAAATCATATTGACGAGAACTGAAGAAGGACATGAGAAGGACTAAACTAACTTAAATTTCATTCTACAGAACTCATGTACACCACAAGTACTCAATAACAAAAGAACAGCCAATGTTCACAACTTTAATCCAATTTAAGTGCGGGTGCCGGGTATGGGATAAAAATGAAAAGAATGTACAGGCTATGTTAGTGCCATGTAAAGTATTAAAATCTTTTAAAGGAATTGTTGCCCAAAGCCCAAAGTTGCAGACCTTCGATATTCTGTTTGATCAAATAGTCTAATTTCTAAGTTTAAGATATTAAAAGTTAAAACCATCTTGTTCAGAAAATTTGAGTTTTAAAGAACTCAGTTTTCTTAGAAACACAATTTTTCAGTATTTCATGACTTTTCAGCTCAGCAGTCTTGAATAGCATTTTAAAGCTAGGAAGCCTAAATAATCACATGTAAACCAAAAAATGATGTATTTCTAGATTATATTTTTCAATTTTTGGCATTTTTATTTTTTACTCTTAATTGTTTACTTAACCCTAAAATAGCTCATAACTTTTTTGTGACTGAAGCTATCGATCTAAAAACTATATTTTTAATAGGCCCAAGAAAAATACATGTAGAAACATGTATCACACTTTGATATTTGTTCTAAACAAAAAAAAATATTTTTTTGACCCTTTTTTAGGCATGTTTTCAACTCTCCCTAGCACCCAAACTATTAAAGTTATTGGTCTAATTTTCAACCCTATACCTATTCTCTAAGGCCTTTTTCTATGGAGGGGGCGCCAAACGCCACCCTCTACGTCTGATAGATTCAGACCCCCCAGCCTTTATAGGGTTAAATTAAACAATATTTACTTCTCTAAAGTTTAGATTTGATTATCCAGCATTACTTATATATATATTTATACATATACTTATAATAAATATTATGATTTCAGGGATTTGTTTACTGTACAGGGGTACGTGAAGGAGGGGAGGAGGAATGGAACTGGATTTTTAAAAAGGAATTTCATATTTATAATTCCAAATATATAAAAATATCATATTTCAAAGAAGAAGCAGATTTTCTCTATTATTTGTTTATTTGAAAGTACAAAAGCAAGGAAAAAACACATATTTTCTAGGAATGGTCACATGTTGTTTAGGAATTAACATCCGTTGACCTGAAATAGACATCTCTTGTCCACTTAACAGAAATAAACAGAATGTTATTAGTTACTAAAGAAGTAAATTTAACAAGAATTTCCTCATTTGTGATTGGTTATTATTATTATGTATCTATCTATCTTCTGTACAAAAATCCTTAAAGTTTAAAGGTTTCATAAAGGACGATCCCTATCCATAATTAAGGAGATGGTTTGTATAAAACATTGGGAATGTGTTCAGCGGAAATGTCTGTTCCAAACATGATGATGTCGTCTATGAGTAGTCCAAAAATTAAATATGAATAAATGAACCAGTACATCTCAACAAACATTCCGGCAGAGAAATCCCACTTTCTCAAGGCCCTGGCCTGTTCAAAGGATATTTTCACACTTCAGAGATTTCTTGATAAAACATTGGACAAATCACAGGTAAAAATATCAACAATTCTGAATTTGAAACATTCAAGTATTCCTCAAAACATTTTTGAAAAGCAAGGGACGTAGAAAATGAAAACTATTTATTAATTCTAGTTTTCTAATCCTGTGACGGGGTTATTGGTTGAGACCTTTGTTAATTTAAATTATGTTTTCTCAACTCTAATAGTCAAAGTTTCCATATTACATTAAAGAATTCCACAACCTGTTTCCTTAATATATAGGGTTTAGAAGCACAGATTTTGTGGCAATTTTTAAGATTTTTGTTCATAAGAAACGAATGAATATAGCTTTGGTTTTAAAGGCTGAAAGTTTAAAGATCATTAATCACAAAAATTTGTTTGAATGTTCTTTAGAGATTTTTATTCCTTTGCCTTGATGTATTTATTTTCAATTTGTGAAGAGGAAAAACAGAATATATATATAGTTTTTTTTTCTAAGATTCTTTCGTAGAATATATTTTATTTTATTTTATTGCTGTCTCGTGTGTTTTTTTAAAGGAGGATTACTTAGTATTTATTGTTGTTTTTTAATAGTTTTTCCTTTTTTGAGTTTTGGAGGGAGGAAAAAATCATTTTTATTCTCTCACTTCAATGATTTTTGGAATATTATCTAGCTAGCGTTCTGATTGTTTGGAATTTGGAAAAAAATTGGAAAAAATATGAGCTTTAAAAAGAATTTTACTGCTTGTCCCAAACACCCCGAATGCATGATTCATGCCCTTGAAGGATTCTGATTACTTGCAACACAGTAATAAAATGTTGGCAAAGCAGCCATACATTCAGTTTATCTCCTTAGCCTTTTGCAACCCTGCCAAATCTGAGGCACCAGCCAAATCCTTTCCATAGCAGTCAAATTTTAACATTGTGGCCAAATCTGTGGCATAGCAGCCAAATCTGTGGTTTGGCAGCCCAATTTGTGGCATGGCAGCCAAACTTATGGACAGTAGCCAAATCTGTGGCTTGACAGCCAATTCTATGGTTTGGCGGCCTAATTTGTGGCATGGCAGCCAAATCTGAAGCACCATGGCCAACTCTCTGGCAAATTGGACAAATCTGCGGCACAGCAGTCAAATCTCCAGTGGAACAGTGGCCATTTCTGTGGCATGGCGGCCAAATCTGTAGAATAGCGACCAAAACTGTTGTACGGTGGCTAAATTTGTGGTATGGCTAACAAATCTGTGCAAGGCGGCCAAATTTGTGACACTGAGTCCAAATCTGTGGCACGGTGGCCATAACAGTGGCATGGAAGTTCTATCTATGGCACAGCAGCCCTATCTCTGGCATGGCGGCCAATTCTGTGGCACAGTGGCCAAATCTGTGGCACAGCAGCCAAATTGGTGACACGGCGGCCAAATCTACGGCACATCGGAATGATTTTTGGCACAGCAGCCTTATCTGAGAATAAAATCATGCACAAAAGAACAAAAAGTTCTAATATATCTTGCTTTTCTTGTCCTAGGGAAGCAAAACAAAAACTGAATTGTAATGAGAAATTGTGTATTTCAGGGCTTGCTCAATTTTTCATTATTTTTCTAAACAGGGTTATTTAAAACATTAAAATTAACATGTAACTCTTGATAACTGCCCTTTAATTAACCTTTAACTCTTTATAATCAACCTTTAACTCTTAATAACTAACCTTTAACTCTTTATAATTTATCTTTAACTCTTTATCATTAACTTTTAACTTTTTATAATTAACCTTTAACTCTTAATTATCATTTTTAAACTCTTTATAATTAACCTTTAACTCTTTATAATTAACCTTTAACTTAATAAGTAAAACTAACCTTTAACTCTACCTGGTAGATTCGGCATCAGGATGTGAAAAGTGTTCTGACCAGCACAGCGATGAATCCAGCTGGTACACTTCTAGCTTGGAGACAGTACAGGAAATTCTGGGACAGGTATATAATACAACTCTTAGAACATGTAGACACCTTGGAACAGGAAGTATCTTGGAACATGTAGACACCTTGGACCAGGTAGTATCTTTGAACATATAGGCACCTTGGAACAGGTATCATCTTTAAATGTAGGCATCTTGGAACAGGTATCATCTTGGAGCATGTAGGAACCTTGGAACAGGTAGCATCTTGGAACATGTAGACACCTTGGAGCAGGAATAATCTTGGAAATGTAGACACCTTGGAACAGGTAGCATCATGGACAGGTAGCATCTTGGACAGGCAGCATCTTGGAACAGGTAGTATCATGGAACAGTTAGTATCTTGAGACAGGTAGTATCTTGGAACAAGTAGCATCTTGGATCAGGTAGTAACTTGGAACAGGTTGCATCTTGGAATAGGTAGCATCTTGAAACAGTTAGTATCTTGGAACAGGTAGCATCTTGGAACAGCTAGCATTTGAACAATTGAAATCTTGCACAGGTAGCAGCTTGGAACAGGTAGCATCTTAGCTAGAAGTTTAGAACATGTAGCATCTAAGTACAGAAGTGAGCTTATAACTGTTATATTTGGTACTTGAAGTAAACTTATAACTGTTATATTTGGAACTTGAAGTGAGCTCATAACTGATATATTTGGAACTTTAAGTGAGCTCATAACTAATATATTTGTAACTTGAAGTGAGCTTATAACTCATATATTTGGAACTTGAAGTGAACTTGAATAGCTGATATATTTGGAACTTGAAGTTAGCTTATAACTGTTACATCTGGAACTTGAAGTGAGCTCGAATAACTGATATATTTGGAACTTGAAGTGAGCTTATAACTGTTATATGTGGAACTTTTCGTGAGCTTGACATATCTATTTGGAAGATGCTGAGAGCTTAGAACAGCTGTACTTAAAACTTGTTATGAGCTGGGAACAGTTATATTGGTAACATGGAGAGAGCATGGAACATATGAATATATATATATATATTTGGAACATGTGGAGAGCTCGGAAAATGTAGAGAGCTTGGAACAAATGTGTTTGTAACATGCATCAATTTTTTAGACTATTTTGATATAACAAAAGCTATAGTTTGAAATTTCAAGGTCTACAACATTGGCTTGCAAAGATATAGGAATTAAAAAATCCGAGTTTGTGATAAAAACTCAATTCCTTTAAAAAAATAATGCATGTTTCATTACTGTATATAGTATCTAGTAATGTTCTAAATTAGAGGAAATTTTTGTGTGGAAAATAATAAAAATAATTTGGTCGAATTTAATTCATTAGTTTTCATTTTCTGATTAGGTACAACAAGATGTTTGGTGATGGTATGACGAACATGGGAAATATTGGTGCTGGAATCATCTCAACCTTTTCATCTAGCTTCGACCTAGAACAGGTTTTATATTTCATCTAGCTTCGACCTTGAACAGGTTTTATTTTTCATGTAGCTTCGACTTAGAACAGGTTTTTATATTTCATCTAGCTTCGACCTAGAACAGGTTTTATATTTCATCTAGCTTCGACCTAGAACAGGTTTTATATTTCATCTAGCTTCGACTTAGAACAGGTTTTATATTTACTCTAGCTTCGACCTAGAACAGGTTTTTATATTTCATCTAGTTTCGATCTAGAACAGGTTTTATATTTCATCTAGCTTCGATCTAGAACAGGTTTTATATTTCATCTAGCTTCGATCTAGAATAAATCAAAACAAAACTTTTAAAAGAATTGAATTAGTACTTCTCTGAAGAAAGCAAGATAAGTACTTTTTGAATCCTCTTCAGAAAAGAAATTAAAGAAAGTCTGGTTAAAAAAAAAACTAGTGGATATAATAGCATTCTTCAGAATCCATAGAAAAACATTCTGTGAATTTATTTTTTCATTGAATTTACTTTAATTTCTTTTTCTGAAGAGTAGCTAAAAGTTGATTCCTCAGAGTAATGGACTTACCTAATAATCATTCAATTCTCTTAACCTAGATATTTTGCAATCTAATTTCGGTTTTTTATTCCACTAATATTACGAATTCTAAAGCACGATGCTGCTATATTGTTATCAATTTTACCACAAGGAGTATGAAACAGACGCGGACCGCCCTACCATATTATTATACATGCTTAGCACGGTACTCCATTTGTACAAGAAATATTCAGAATAGGTTATTGTATACGCGGTAATTGTACATCAGACAAATATGTCTTATTCAAATGGAGTACCATCTGCAAAGCATGTATAATCATATGGTAGGGCAGGACGCGTCCGTTGTATCTCATGCAATTCTATTTCATACTCCTTGGATTAACCCCATTTATTTTCTATAACTTTTTGAGGATTTTTTATCCTTAAATATTGCATTGAGTAAAAACGTACTAAAAAGTGAAAAAAAATATCAAGCGTAAAAATTACATATATTATTTTGATTTCATAAATCATTTTAAAAAGTTGGTTGCGCAATTCATAAATGTAACCTTAGCAGGCACAAAAATATAGTACGACAAAAGATTACGTTTTTCTATTTTTGAAAATTATTTTTTTCTCGACCAAAGTAATTTGCAGATTTATGCACGAAAGATAAATAAAAAGTTAACAAGGTTTAGTTTAGAAACCCAACAATATCTTCCTCAATATTCATGAGCATTTATATGATACTGTTGTGAATGTGCCAAGCTGGCTGGCACACTATGATTAATAGGTCTCAAGCTCTCCAGTAAAAATCGATGAGAATTTTGCCGATTGCTTCTTAAGAACCAAATTCTTAAACCAACAATTGGTTTAAAGTGCTAAAATGTACATGTAAAGGGCTATAGAAAAGCATAAAAGAGTAAGGGAAGTAAATCAAAGCCCAAGGCGTTGCGACACTTTTAAGTCGACCCTGTCTTAAAAATTCATGAGACTTGTTATAAGCAGATTGAATCTATGTGCCGGCAGTGCCCGATATACAACGATACCCTTGATACCCTTGTGGAAGATATTGTCATTGTTCGAGATTTAAAAGTGTCTATCTCGGATAATTACAATATGTGTTCCTGCAGTAGAAATGCGGAAATCACTTTTGTAGAGATCACAACATTAAAAATAAAACTTTTAAGGGCTCGTTCTAAATTGGGCATTATAAACTTTGCATGGAGGGTCACTTGAAAATATAATTACAGTCCCTAATATTTTCATTCTGGCAGGTTGAAGATTTTTTCGAAAAACATGAGACTGGGGGAGGCAAGCGAGCCATAGATCAAGCTGTTGAAAAGATCAAGGTAAAATATTTGTAGATCAAGCTGTTGAAAAGATCAAGGTAAAGTATTTGTAGATCAAGCTGTTGAAAAGATCAAGGTAAAGTATTTGTAGATCAAGCTGTTGAAAAGATCAAGGTAAAGTATTTGTAGATCAAGCTGTTGAAAAGATCAAGGTAAAATATTTGTAGATCAAGCTGTTGAAAAGATCAAGTTAAAGTATTTGTAGATCAAGCTGTTGAAAAGATCAAGGTAAAGTATTTGTAGATCAAGCTGTTGAAAAGATCAAGGTAAAGTATTTGTAGATCAAATTTTTGAAAAGATCAAGGTAATATATTTGTAGATCAAGCTGTTGAAAAGATCAAGGTAAAATATTTGTAAATCAATTTACATATAAGCTGTAAATTTACAAATGACAAAGGAACATTACACTTGTTTCAAATTAAGACTTTAATGCTTTATTCATTTTTTTTTCTGAAATTCTGTCAAAATTTTTAATGAAATGAGCACCATGTTTTTATCGCAAATCTTCTCTTTAAACTAACTACACCAGAAAGCTTATGCGTGGTTGAAATCAGCAGTTCAGAGCACAGTAGTTCAATTAACAAAACATATGCCTTTAATGGAGAGAAATGTCGTCTTCTAAATGAAATTCGTGATAGTGTTATAAGTTAAAAACATCTTCTATTATGTTGTGGATTAAAATATTTATAATTAAAGTTACAAATTCAATAATTTTATACAGAAAATGAGATGAGATAAAGCTTATTGATAAAATACATGTAACTGTGTTTTATAACTAGTAAAACCTTCTCAAAAATGCAAAATGTAATTGCTCTATTAATTTATATCCGCTTTTTAACCCAACGAAAAGAAAATCGTTGCTAAAAAAATGAATGCTCAATTGTGAACATTGTTACTTTTGTCGAATCCAAAAATGTACAAATTCTTTAGAAAATATAATTTGTTACTTACGGTTTTTCCAAACGACAAACTTGTATTATTCATTTTTTTTAAATCATGATTTATGTTTTTTTTCTAGGTTAATATAAGATTTGTCGAACTGTCGGCTGAAAGTGTGGTGGGTGAAGTAAATATAATTGTTAACAGAAGAAAAAACTTGGCCTAGGAGATTAAAGTTAAATTTGATAAAAAATCTATTTATTTACATGTTAATACTGGAGTATTACTGATTTTATCTACTGTGGGACTCATTTAACTATAAAAAGGAAGACGACTTTTAAACTCAAATAACGATTTTAAATCACAAAAAGAACCATTTCACTTTCCTGTTACTGGTAAATTTATTTGCTTTATGACAACATCTAACAAACATAATTTTCTTAAATTTCCTATTCCATAGTTTTATGAGTCTCACTGTATTGACAGGATATATATATAACGCACTAAATGTAGAATAAAGACTACAATATAATATCTAATGTATCATTTGCTACGTTATACAATTATTATGATTGGATAAATAAATAATATTACCAGTAGCTATTTGACTTTTCTTTTTAAACGGTGGCCTTTTATTTATAGGTTTATTTTTAAGATTGTCATCAATTATCATGAACTGCAGATAGATAGATAGATAGATAGTTCCCTTCTCTATACAGGGTTAACCAAAAATGATGAGACTTCTGAGAAGATTATACGGAGTTTAAACTGCCTATTCCAGAGAACTGAAAATGTGGTTTATTACTGCCTGAATTAAAAGGCAATAAGAAAGACTTCATTGATGGCAGAATACTTATTTTAACCTTGACAACGTAGAAAAAGTTTAAGGTTGATTATCTTTTCAAACTTTGATGGTAACCCGGTACTCAGTCGATGAATTATAAAAATATACCATTTCCTTTCTCCTGTTATCGTACTTGCGCACCTCATCCCCCTTAATACCGGACTTTTTTCCGCGCTGAACCCAACCCCGTGCATGAAAAAAAATCCTTTAAATTACTATTCATTAAAAGTCACAAACTTTCACGATGAATGTGTCAAAAATGAGAGTGCTAGGACAACAAAACTACTGAGTGGGGCGCCAAACGCCCCCCCCCCGCCTGTTCAGGGTTAACATGAGCCGCTCTATGCACTCATTGGTAGTAAGCTTTATCATTCTTTATCTTCCTTTATGCAACGAATGTTACGTAAGATGACTTATTTTCTGCGACTTTTTAAAACTTACAACATAAGCTGATCAGAAAATATACAATTAATTCAAATTATGATTTAAACAATAAAATTATTTTTATTTATTTTACATATTGTTGATCCACATTCACGTTAATCCAATCAATGATACTAGACTGGGAGGCCTCAACAAACCGTATATTCAACTAGAAACAGATAAACAGATCAGCTAGAAACAGAAAACCCGTATATTCAACTAGAAACAGATAAACATATAAACCGTATGTTCAACTAGAAACAGATAAACATATAAACCGTATATTCAACTAGAAACAGATAAACATATAAACCGTGTGTTCAACTAGAAACAGATAAACATATAAACCGTATATTCAACAAGAAACAGATAAACATATAAACCGTATATTCAACTAGAAACAGATAAACATATAACTATAATCATAACATATAATCAGTGAGTCATATGTGGTTATTATCTATCTTTTGTAAAAGACGACATTTTCCGTACATTGGAGCGCATCGAGGGTAACCAACCTTATTATACATCCTTGATTAAGATTACCTTGATTTGTTCTATTGATTGATTGAGGGCTAATCCGCCGGATCCAATATCATGTGTTCTAAAGAACTCAACGACCTAGAAAGGATTAAAGGAACTCTTGTTTTAATTTCAAGTGATTCTCCGATTCACAATGGTACACTTAAAAAATTTATTTAATTTCTGACAATTTTTCTCCGTTGTTACTGGAGCAAAAATCCACATCTCACTTTTACACATTAATCAAAACTAAAAATCTCCAACTTTTCAGAGAGAAATCGTAGTACAGACAAAGCTTACAAGGATAATGTTGTAAATCGGACATGCCAGTTTTTTAGAGAGTCACTTGAGCATAAGTTTATGCAGTCCTTTCTCGGCGAATTTTAAGAAGTACGTTTTTGGATTAAATAAACCACTTAAAATTGTGTCTGAGGTTCAGATTAATCAATACTTTGACTCGAAATGAATAAAAAGAAAGGTTTTTATTTCGTTTTCTCTAAAAATATCTTCCGTTAAAATGTAAACTCCTCTCAAATTATAAAATTTGAATTAACTATAAAACATTTTTATGGTTGAATCGAGTTCCCTGGTCAAGGACTTCACAAGCTATGATCGGACATACAAATAAGCAAACATACAATGTACGAGAACATCTTTCAATGAATAAGCTGGATTTTTTGTATTCAGAAAGCTTTGATGTTGAGTGCTTTTTATCTTAAAAATAAAAAATTTCCTTTCAGCACTCATTGCATGTGTTTTAGTACTTAATTCTGTAGAAAACCATCAAATTTCCCTAAATTTAGAATTCCTCACAAATATGGTAAATATATGAGTTGAGTTAAAGTAAAGAACTATTCTTTTTTATCATTTCTAGGAAACCATCAGAAAACTTAAGTTTCGAAAGTTTAGAACTTTTTCTTTAATGTTGAAAATAAATTCTAATTATAAATAAATTTACAGAAAAATATCCAAAAAGTATGAAAACAGTTTAATGAAATTGAAATCTAAACATAGAGTTATTGTAGTGTAACTCAGAGTATCTAAACACTGAGTTACTATAGCAAAACTCAGAGTATTTAATATAGATGAGAGTGCTATGAAAATATGTTCATAGTTCATTTGAAAACTCTAAACCACTTATTTATACTTTCAAGTTTTATATGTAAGTAATAATTGGCTAAATTCTTATCAATTATTGCGTAAGATCTTGTTATTAGAGATGGGAATAGTTTTTGTGAACGAATAAAATTTTGCGTCATTCTTCAAAAACGAAAAAAACTATTTCAAACTTTTCGAACGATTTTGACCATTCATAATTAGATTTCTAAATCTTTTTTTAGATCGAACTTGACGTTTTTTTACGAAGCAAACGATTTTATTAAATAAACGCTTTTACTGAATAAACGATTTTACTGAACGATTGTTCAGTGAGAAAACTAAGTAAACAGATGAAAAATGAACGATAATTTTCAGAAAGAACAAAATAAATGTTTTAACGATTGAAATAATCGGAGGAAATGTGTTGTGATCATGAATGATGAAGAAACAAAATGAAAAAAGTGCTAACATGCCCATCTATACGTAATGTCGATTAACTGAACCAGCACCAGCTAAACCTAAAGCTAAAATATTCAAAAAAATTTCCATGTTTATCATTTTTTATAGATATTAATCTTAATTTTACAAATTTAAATTTTGACGAAGATACCTGTTCCAAAACCTTCTAAGATGTCTCCAGGCTAAGAGAGTTCCAGATGGGTTTTTAGCAACATCCCCCAGTACCCGCCAAATGTCTGAAGTTGCAATCTATATAAAACAAATTTCATTATTTGTTTCTGATAATATTTGTTATCATTCATTTGTTGCATAATGAATGTTTTCTTGTTTTTGTTAAATCTGTAGAACAGTTTGGTAGTTTATTATAATCAAAAAAGTTAACTGCAGAAACTGCAGAGGAAAGTACAAAAAGAAGGAATACAGCAAGCCCTTACTGCACAGTTCTACAAGGGTGAATATTTTCTAAAAAATCATTTTTCTTCCACCCCTTCATTTTCATTTTCGTTTTCATTATCATTTTTATTTTCATTTTTAATACTTATTTTCATTTTTATTTTCATTTTTAATACTTATTTTCATTTTTATTTTCATTTTCCTTTTCAAAAATCCACCACTAGTTTATATTTAAAATAATGTAAACAATAAATTCCCATGACAACCTCTGAATTAGGAAGTTTTCAAATATTTTCTACTTGTCTTGTACCTTTATTTGTCGGAAATTCTTTATTTTCGATGATAATAATGATAATAATGATGATAATAATGATGATAATAATATTATTTGTGTATAAGATGTTTGCTTAACAAGACATTAGAATATTATTTAGAAAAATCGTTCCTTCAATAAAATCGCTCTTTTTTAAAAACGATTGTTTTTTTCTTAAAGTTTATTCGAAAAAATTGTTCGTTTATGAGGGAAGAGATAGTTTTTTCAAAATTTGTTCAAAAATTCCGTCGTTTAGTAAAAAGGCGATTGTTTATTCAAAATATCATTCGCGAAAAATTTCGTTTTCTAAAAAAACTATTCCCATCGCTACGACTGAAATTACACTGATTGTCCCTTTAAGTTAAATACATCGATAAGATTATTGACTGTCATAACCTGTTGTGAGGTCTCCAGTGAAATATCTAGTAGTCTCTGTAGTATGAAAGTATCCCTAGTACATGCCAGGGATTTTCTAAAAGTGTACTTCTCGTCTGCTTGATTTGTTGTACAGTACTGTACAGGGATTAGATGTAATTTTAGATCTACTAATATACTTTTTTAAAATAGATAAGTTTGGATACAATCGTCGTTGCATGATATATGCAACAACGATGTTCGATTTAAATTTTGATTTATTTGATTTATTAAGTAGCATGGATACACATAAACATGGAGACAAAGAGAAACTGTCGGTGTATATAAATATATAATCTAATCCCTGATACACGAGACACCCTGTATATAAATATATAATCTAATCCCTGATACACGAGACACCCTGTTTGTAAATATATAATCTAATCCCTGATGCACGAGACACCCTGTATATAAATATATAATCTAATCCCTGATACACGAGACACCCTGTTTGTAAATATATAATCTAATCCCTGATACACGAGACACCCTGTATATAAATATATAATCTAATCCCTGATCTGTATATAAATATATAATCTAATCCCTGATACACGAGACACCCTGTTTGTAAATATATAATCTAATCCCTGATACACGAGACACCCTGTATATAAATATATAATCTAATCCCTGATGCACGAGACACCCCGTATATAAATATATAATCTAATCCCTGATATATGAGACACCATGTATATAAATATACAATCTAATCCTTGATGCACGAGACACTCTGTATATGAAAATATAATCTAATCCCTGACGCATGGTACACCCTGTATATAAATATATAATCTAATCCCTAATGCACGAGACACCCTGTATATAAATATACAATCTAATCCCTGATGCACGAGACACCCTGTATATAAATATAGAATCTAATCCCTGATACACGAGACACCCTGTATATAAATATATAATCTAATCCCTGATACACGAGATACCCTGTATATAAATATATAATCTAATCCCTGATAATAAATATACAATCTAATCCCTGATACACGAGACACCCTGTATATAAATATATGATCTAATCCCTGATACACGAGACACCCTGTATATAAATATATAATCTAATCCCTGATGCACGAGACACCCTGTATATAAATATATAGTCTAATCCCTGATGCACGAGACACCCTGTTTATGAATATATTATCTAATCCCTTATACACGAGACGTACCCTGTATATAAATATATAATCTAATCCCTGATGGAACACCCATCTCCACTCCTCCTTCCCTCCCTCTCTAATACCAGTACAGAATACAAGTGCCTAAAATTTAATAAAAAATAATTTAAAAAATAATAATCGTTTTGTTTTCGACAGGCTCAGTAAAGGGCTCAGTAACATAAGATCTAATTTCAAAAGAAATAATTGCAACATCTATAAAAGGAAAAATTACAAACAGTTTGTTCATTTAAACACATAGACTATTTTTGGTACATTTAAACTATTTTTTATGTGCATTTGAACTACTATCCACAGACCTCGGCCCCCCAAGTCTGTCCTAGCCGCAGCGCTCGGCCCTACAGTTAGTGTCTTAACCTATCCTAACCCTAAAATAAATATATACATTTACACTATTTAAATGTTTTATTTCAGGGTTAGGTTGGGTTAAGCCAGTTTCGGGGCCAAGCGCTGTGGCTAGGGCGCGAACGCTGCGGCTAGGGCGCCAAGCGCTGCGGCTAGGAATTCAAAAGTACTTAAAATAGTTCAACTGAACCACAATTCAATTATTTTCTTGTTTAGTTGGGCTATTTTTGTGTTTAAATACAATGGATATATAAGCTAAAGAACATTTTATATATTTTGTAATATGCCTTTCTATCGATTGTGTAATTATATCTTTGTTTAACTTACATCTTTTGTACTTTATATCTTTTGTTACTGAGCCTGTCCACAGGTTCATGAGAGATTCAGAAAATACACATTAATAACCAGAAAACTCTGGAAGACGACTTTTAAACTCAAGTTTATATAGTCTTATAATCATGAAACTGAACCATTTCACTTATAGGAGATTTAATAAGCTACTAGTAAACCATTTGCTTTGTAACAATTTTTGCTTCAACATCGTCTTTCCTACCACAGTATTCTGTCCATCAAGAAGTTTCCTTGGTTGACATAAAGATAAAAATAAAGATAAATCAAGTTTATTGCTAAAATACATGTATCTGTGTACAGAACGAGTTTACAATTACAAATTAATGATTATATTTACAGTACAAGTATAAAGCAATTAGGTGGAAAATAGCTCTTGGCTGACATTTCAAGTAAATAGATTTAAGGAGAACTGTTAGAGATCAGGGTGCGATTTTATCTTATGCAAAATAGATTTAAGAGGTGTAGAATAAAGTCATATTGTACAAAAATTTCGACCTCAGAGCAAAAAACTTTTAAATGCGCGGAATCAAAGTAGGAAGATTTTATTATTGGTTAATTTTAACCGATATGTCACTGGTTGAACCTTTACAGAGATTTAAGATTTTCGAAATTAAACCTAAAAAACATTTAAAACAGGTGTATTAGATATATAAGGTATATATGATCCTGGTTAATAAGCTTGTCATTCGATAAAAAAGTTGGTCAACCGATACAATAAAGTAAATAATTATAATAAAAGCAAGATAATCGGGAAGGTAAGTGTCAGTGCTGACTAGAGATGTAAAATGGTAAATGTATCGTGGTAGGCTATTATATCAATACAATAAATACAAAATATGTCTGATCCCTGATTTTATTTAAATTTTGATTGAAAGCAAGCTTTTTTCGAATTTCAAATTTACAAGTAATGAAAGAGAAATTTTTTTAAGTATGTGTATATATGCTGTTTAACAGTTTGATATAAATAAGAATTGATTTCATTGTATTGATATAATCGCCTACCACCGTATGATTAACCTGATATTCTGAATCTATGCTAGTATTTGTCTCCATTGCGTTAATAAACATATCTTTAGCTCTATCCACAGCATCCTCTAATCCAACAGCAACAGCTGTTGTTAGGATTTTAGATCTCAACATCCTTAATAGTTAATAAACATATCTTTAGCTCTATCAACAACATCCTCTAATCCAACAGCAACAGCTGTTGCTAGGATTTTAGATCTCAACATCCTTAATAGTTAATAAACATATCTTTAGCTCTATCCACAGCATCCTCTAGTCCAACAGCAACAGCTGTTGTTAGGATTTTAGATCTCAACATCCTTAATATTTAATCAAGAAACCATTTAAAGGTATTGAGGTCTTTATATAAAGTGACATGTCATATCATCAACGGTACCCAATGAGAAGCATTTCTAATCAAGAATGGCTAATCCAATCTCTTCAAAAATTGACTAGTTAAAATTATGGTTTCACTGCAATTGCGCTTTTTTTTGGTGCAGAAGTTAAGAAAACGACAATATTTTCAGATTTTTGATGATAGAAGTTTAATGAGTACCTTTTCAATTTTGACAGGGTGTCCCAAAAACATGGGACTTTGCAGTGACGACTGACGATGTTTATTAATTTTCAAGACATGCGACAAACCAACATATTAAAAAAACGAGCTCTACAGTTAAAACCTTCTATTCACAAACTTTATTGAGGAACCAGATAATGTTACGACAAACTAATTAAATCAAAAATAAGATAAAATTAAGACAAATACCAAGGAAAAAATGCAGTCTTTCATTACTGCAAACTTTATATTAATCAAATTAGTCAAGATTTTGAATTGTATTAAATTGAATCTAGCATGTCTCATGTCTGCCAATTTTTAGATGCAATTAAAAGTAAAGTAAAAAGTAAAAAGTAAAGGGCATAAAGTTAAAATAATTTCACGGAATTAAAGAAATCTGTTTAAAAACGTTTTCATAATATATTTCCAACTCCCAACGAACCTTTCTCCGTGATCTCCTGTATCCGCCCAGCCCAGATCATCATATATATTCTCAATAAGATAAGTAATAAACTTCTCTATTGCTGGTCCCCCCATTCCACTACTGCAAATAAATGTTATTATTAAAAAATAGTGTGGGAACCTAGCTTTGCCTGAAAGCTACATTTTTAGACTATAGCTAAGAATATTCTTGTTGTACTGCTAGACAATTTTAAGGCCAATCGGTCCAGGGGTACAATTGGATTATGATAAAAAAGAAAGAAAAAAATGATTACTACTTCTGTGCATGTCTGTTGGTTTTGTTTGTTTGTTTGTATGTCTGAGCTATACCTCATGAACCCCGATTTAAGCCTCAAATTTTGATTGGAGAATTCGTTAGTACCATAGAAATATTCTTAGCTTGGTTTAAGAATTGCAAATATCTCCAGAATGTTGGAAAAAATTACAGTGCTTCAAAATGTTTTTTTTTATTGATTTACCTTAACAATCTTTTCCAGGTATTTAGCTGACTGCAATAATAATATATTAATATTTTACCTTGATTTCTACTATATAGTTGCTACACCTAATTGATTGTTAGAGTCCAAGATATATCTGTTTAACTATATAGTAGCTACACCTATATGATTGCTACAGTCCAAGATATATCTGTTTAACTATATAGTAGCTACACCTACTTGATTGCTACAGTTCAAGATATATCTGTTTAACTTTATTGTAGCTACACCTAATTGATTGTTACAGTCCCAGATATATCTGTTTAACTATATAGTAGTTACACCTACTTGATTGCTACAGTCCAAGATATATCTGTTTAACTATATAGTAACTACACCTACTTGATTGCTACAGTCCAAGATATATCTGTTTAAATATATAGTAACTACACGTACTTGATTGCTACAGTCCAAGATATATCTGTTTAAATATATAGTAACTACACGTACTTGATTGCTACAGTCCAAGAGGTATCTGTTTAACTATATAGTAGCTACACTTACTTGATTGCTACAGTCAAAGATATATCTGTTTAACTATATAGTAGCTACACCTACTTGATTGCTACAGTTCAATATATATCTGTTTAACTATATAGTAGCTACACCTAATTGATTGTTACAGTCCAAGATATATCTGTTTAACTATATAGTAGCTACACCTACTTGATTGCTAAAGTCCAAGATATATCTGTCTGACTATAAAGTAGCTACACCTACTTGATTGCTACAGTCCAAGAGGTATCTGTTTAACTATATAGTAGCTACACCTACTTGATTGCTACAGTCCAAGATATATCTGTTTAACTATATAGTAGCTACACCTACTTGATTGCTACAGTCCAAGGTGAAATATCTTTCTCCTGTACTAGATAGGTGCATAATGATAAGGGAACCGATGCAGGCAGAAGACCTGAAAGAAATTGTCAAAATTATTATCACTTTGATTTATTTTTGAGAGAATGGGGGCGTAATGTAAGCTTCTAAACTTCTAAACTTCTAAACTTCCAAACTTCCAAACTTCTAAACTTCTAAACTTCTAAACTTCTAAACTTCTAAACTTCTAAACTTCTAAGCTTCTAAACTTCTAAACTTCTAAACTTCTAAACTTCTATACTTCTAAACTTCTAAACTTCTAAACTTCTAAACTTCTAAACTTCCAAACTTCTAAACTTCTAAACTTCTAAACTTCTAAGCTTCTAAACTTCTAAACTTCTAAACTTCTAAACTTCTATACTTCTAAACTTCTAAACTTCTAAACTTCTAAACTTCTAAACTTCTAAACTTCCAAACTTCTAAACTTCTAAACTTCTAAACTTCTATACATCTAAACTTTCAAACTTCTAAACTTCTAAACTTCTAAACTTCTAAACTTCTAAACTTCTAAATTTCTAAACTTCTAAACTTCTAAACTTCTAAACTAAAAAGAATAATACAAAATATTTCATGGCCGTCCTATCATAGTAAAATTGATTTAGATGAAATAAAATATATTTGAGTAAAACTATTCACCACCATTGTGTTTCATGGAACACCAAGTATATAACATGAGATTTTAGTACCATTGAATACTTTCAAACAAGAGAAAATAATTGTAGAATTTTAATTTTTGATCTTTTGAATAGGAATTATATTAATGAAAAAAATGAAATCCTGCAACTTTATGTTTAATTTTTTTTAACTAACTTAAATTCAACATACAGTTAAACCCAAAATAAGCGGTACATCGAAAGAATTCATCAAATGTCTTAATCTTCACTTTCTGATAATGGAAGCTTTTTAAAACTGTTCCCACATATTCATGGCTATTTATTTATTTTCGCAAATACTGAGATTTACGTAAAATAGCATTGAAAAACTGTCAAGACGACTTTTGGTAAATTCTTTTATTGTATCGCTCATTTAGGGTTAAACCGTAGTAAAATCTAAATTAAAAAAACGAATTGTAACAAATTATTTCGGCATGAAAAAACTCAAAAGTCTCAAAATATTAATGTTAGAACTCATGCTTATGATATGTCTTAAGTATTTTAAGGCCGCCGAATTTATCTAAAGCCAACTTAATTTCTTTAAAACTTTATTTTGCATCATTTTTTACTTGTCTGAAATATGTAGTTTAACCCAGAACTTGGGAAAACTTAAAAGAAATTATAAAATGTCGTCTTGACAATTTTTAAACCGATTTTATACTATTGATTATAAATGACAATGAAATGTACGGGAACAGTTTTAAAGAGCTTAAAAACTTTATTCAATAAAAAATAAATATCTGCAGCATTCTATTATCATCAGGTTTAGCTATACCTGCCATGAAGAGTGTAAAAGCATCATCAATTAGCTGAGCTCTCTCAACACCAGTAAAAACTGTGTAGTTTACTTTAAGCTGTTTAATCAGTCCTGTCCATATCTAAAAATATTCTGTTCTGTATATTATAGCACACTGCTATAAAGTTTCACTATTTCCCCGGATTTTCTCAAGAAAATTATAATGTTTCTAGAAAAAGGTTTTCAATTTAAATAAAAATGAAATTTTTATTTTTATATCTAGAAATAACGATTCCCACATTTCATAAAATTATTTATTTATTTTCCGCAGCGTGTTATATCAAATTTTGGATTTAGATTTTCAATCTCGAAGGCGAGATGCCTGCCCAGATTAAAGCTTCTTGATTAAAAGTTTACGATCTAAAAACTTTATAGCACTTTGAACCAAAATTATAGGGCAATACATATTTGTTAAATTCACAAGGTTCAGCATTATTGTTAAAGGGATTGTAAAGGAAAAATGAAAGGGGGTATAGGCTGAGCTTATCACTTTAGCTCTTGATCAAGACCAATGAAAGTTATATCTGATGTTCCTGTCTCGAGAAATTGATATAAAACTGTGTCAAATTTATACGAAAATTAATATGTATACAATTTTGTATAAAAGTAGTGGGTTTAAATAGATCAAATTCAGCAAATAAGCAACCAATCTAAAAACGATGTTATCCCAGAGAAAGCTAATTGTAACTTAGGTTTACTCCAATTCTAATTTTATATTTGTTATTTTTATTTTTAATAGATTTAATTCATAATATTATTTATACGTCCGTATTACTTGACCAGAAATTCCACCAATGGCAGTGCAGTAAAGTGGTGACATGATACAGGCGGAGACATGTGACCAGTATAATGCTCTGCCATTGGTGATAGTTCTGGTCACGTGATTTAAGTTTAAGATTTTTTTAAATTTTACATATATGAACTTTCGTATAATTTTAAAACAGTTTTATATCAATTTCTCAAGACAAGAACATCAGATAAAACTTTCATGGGTCACGATCAAGAACTAAAGTGATTAACTTCCAGCCTATATCCCCTTTCATTTTTCCTTTACAGTCCCTTTAAAGTCGATCAGCCTTTTCCCAGTGGTTGACTTTGATAGAGTAAAAAATTAATGGAATAAAAGAATAATTATTGTAAACCATGCAAGGAATCAGATCCTTGCAAAATATACATTTATATATGAATATGTTTTTTGTCTGGAACACATCCACAGCAGCCGTAGTACATTTGAATTTCCGAGCCTCGGTCAATCTTTCCAGTACAAGTTTGTACTGTATCGTTGGACATTGGGTGAATAACGGATACACTCAATAGGACTAGCGGGTGCAACTAGGTTGACGCGGTCAGACTTTAGGTTGAATTTACGTTTACTAAAGGGTTAGGGGTGCGTGCATCCAAATCCAGCCCGAAGTTAGCTGTTCGATTAGTCTGAAAAACTGTTCGCAGGTTCGCAGGGCAGGGTCAACCCAGCCAGGCAGAGTAGGAACGAGATAACGCAGCTCCACTTGCCGCGGTGGAATCTATCCGCCATTTTGAAACCCCTAAGAGGGATTAGTACTGACGACGAGATCATAGAAGATGGTTTTACATAAATACTCCTGCCGATCAAGGCGGGAACGTCTCTGAAGAGTTCTATTTCTAAATTATTCGTTAACCAATCATCAATATTTCTTATTATGTTGTATAAATAAAGTGTGTATACTTAATATCGTGTCATTATTCGATTCTCAGGCTATATAGTTTATATACTTTTAGTTCATTATAAAATTAAAATATAAAATACATTTTGATTCTTTGAAGTACCTATTCTGACAAAAAGCAGTGTGCTAGAACAAAAGTAATATATTTAATGAACTCTTATTAATCTGTCGCATACTTCCTTTGAGTAGAGAAAACTTATTTTTCTCTTGAATGATATTTAATCAAGCTTAATTGGTTAAGATACAACGAAATAGAAACTTGAATGTTAGAAAACTAACATTTTGTGTAACCTTTATACTGAATAGTATAGTTAGCACTATAGAATTCTTTTCAATATTCATTTAATTATACTTCTATTGAATATATACAGCATACAAAAAAAAATCATAGGAATAAATTATAGAGTGCTATAAAAATCTTTCCACGACACACTACTAGAATTATTTACGCTTTTTAACAGGAGTTATACAAAACTTAATAATATCTTGATTTAAGTACGTGATTTTACTAAGAGATAATATATATGATTATAAATATAAATTATAAATATAAGATATAATTCTATATGTATTATGTATGTATACCCTTTATACATGTTTTAAATAAATCAATATGTAAATTTATAATGATGACTGAAAAGTCTTAAAATATGACGATTTAAAGGTGAAATTAAGTATTCTTCTCCCTGTCACCCTGTCGATGAAAATAATTTAATTATCTTAAGTTTGCGAAATTTGGGAGCTGATTTTTGTGGATTTAGCACGTTGATATTTAAGGGAATTGATTTTTTCTCTCAATAAAAGTTGACTTATATAAGATCATTAATGAAATTCACAAAATACATACACTCTCCCTAACTCCAAGCAGTGTAGACTTACTACACTGATTCAAAAACAACAATAAATTTTTCTTTTTTCTTTTATCTTTAGAAAAAGAGCTATCTTCACTGACAATCTACTATCAATCTAATATGTTTGTTTTTAATCTTCCTGACAGAAACAATCTCAAGAACTGACCGAAATATATTTTCAATAAATGTGGAACTAACATCTACTTTTTTTACTCTACAGAGGTTTGGTCCATCACCATCATCGAATTTTAAAGTGACAATCTATTCATCTTAACATAACCTAGCCTAAATTAGTATATTCACAGCCCGCAGTATGCTCTTTTTCAGAGGAAGCCCTTCTACGAAAGAATAGAGCCAGTTTTTCCGGCTGTCATTGTACACATTATACCTAATAAACCTGTGCATGTAGGGTAGTTACCAACCCCATCTATGTTTATCCATTGTAACTTCTCATCTAATATACCCGTGTAGGGTAATTAACTCTGTAGAAACCAACCCCATCTATGTTTATCCATTGTAACTTCTTATCTAATATACCTGTGTAGGGTAATTAACTCTGTAGAAAGCCAACCCCATCTATGTTTATCCAAAGTAACTTCTCATCTAATATACCTGTGTACGGTAATTTACTCTGTAGAAAGCCAACCCCATCTATGTTTATCCAAAGTAAATTCTCATCTAATATACCTGTGTTGGGTAATTAACTCTGTAGAAACCAACCCCATCTATGTTTCCCTTTATCCATTGTATCTTCTCATCTAAGGTTACCACTTTGCTCGTATCATTCTACAAAAATAGGATTTAATGGAGAAAGTTATAAATTGCAAATGGAACCTAACGAATGTTTCAAATTTGGAAAAAGAATCGAATTTCTTTTAAAATATTGAAATTCTCCAGTTTTATAGAACAAGTTAGATTTACTTCAAATCTACCCACGCAACCGAGCCGTGTAATCAATACATAAGTTTTATTTTATGTCTTATTTTTTCATAACAATTATAATTATAATATAATTATAATCTTTCTGCATTAGACATAAGAAAAAAGGAATCAAAGAAGTTTGTAGTAAGAATTCAATTCCACTGGAGACCAACAGAGGGATTTCGTTTTCGGTGGAGGGGTTTGAAATATCGCTATTTACAATTTTAGACTTTACACAGAATGATTTAGACATCCACCCGTGACCCAGGAGGTTTATGATTCCACTGGACGGATTCAGATTTACTTCCAGAGGGTTCATAATTCTACCGGAGGGATTCCAATTTCCTTTCGGGGGGTTTAAAATTCCACTGGAGTGATTCAATTCAGATATCCTGCCTGGGGGTTTAACATTCCACTGGAGTGATTCAATTCAGATATCCTGCCTGGGGGTTTGACATTCCACTGAAGTGATTCAAATATCTATCCAGGGGTTTAACATTCCACTGGAGGGATTCGATTCAGATATATTTTCTGGGGGTTTAAAATTCCACTGGAGGGATTTAGATATCCTTCCTGTCTGCAATGGTACCTTATTTTGAAGAAGAACATTGTATGTGGTTCCTGCACTAGTCTTAAAGCTTATTGGAACTACCCATTTATAATCAAACGGACTCTTCGGGGACAGAGGATCAACTCCTTTCAGCTGAAATTTAATAGTTATCACTAAACCAAATTTTATAAAGGGACTGATAGCGTAATTGCAGGTGACCCGTCCTACAAACTTAGCAATGCCCTTGTAACCTTTTATCTAATAAAAAAAAAATTTCTTTGTCTCCTAAAGTGTTAATTTCTTTTAACACGATCTCTCTTGTTTCTTATAAGCAAGTAATGCACAAGTAACTTTTGAAGTGAAAACTAAAATGATAATAAACAAATTAAAGAAACAAAAACGTGGATATCTAATTCATACTTGATCAACCACAGATTATAAGGATATCATTGTAAATCAGGCGAACGCCTTTTTTACATGGAGGGTCAATTGAAATAACTCTTAAAGTCCCTTGCATGTCTTCTTTTTCGAAACTATTTATCTCTCTTTTCATGACATTTTTTCAATAAACTATTCACTAAACATATGCAACTTAGACAAATTTTATATTTAGGTTGTTTCCCTGTATATCATTAGGATAAGTTAATAAATTGTTGTTATTTAAATGCTATCCCATTATTTAAAACACTTTGTCCTAACTTCAGAACACTGATATGCCTATTTCAGTTAAGTAAGTTATCGCTAATTTTAAAACTATCGCAATGATCATATGATGAAAAAAGCTTGCCAGATATCCCGAATCAAGGAGGGGAGGGTTCTGTTTCATATTTCAATAGATTCTAAAGCAGAGTTTAGCCAGTTAAAAATAAAATAGCATTTAAAAAAAATCCAACTCATATTAATTAATTATTTAACCTGTGCTGACATGAGAAACCTCGACTGTGATATATTCCAGACAAAAAAGGAATCATCCACAATAGTGAAAGTTATCAAAGGGTAACCCATCTGTAGGGTCCAGGTGTTCATCATACCCTTCATTAGTATCATCATTATCATCACATCATTATCATCATTATCATCATTATCATCATTATCATCATTATCATCATTATCATCATTATCATCATTATCATCATTATCATCATTATCATCATTATCGTCATTATCATCATTATCATTATCATCATCATTATCATCATTATCATCATTATCATTATTTCACCTCTATATCCTGAGATTTGTTTGTAGCTTCCGAGCAAGAACTCCATAAATCTTTAGCGTCAGCGTTCTTAAATCCATATTTAGTCATGTAGATTTCAAGTCCTTTCCTGAAAATGAACAACATAAATCTGTCACCTCAATGTAGATACAGGGTTACTAGCAAAAGATCAGATATCAGAGACAACTGTATGGAATATTTCTCACATTCTTGGACATTCTTATAAAGACTAATAAATATACGGTCAAAACAGAGGCGTACTCAAGGGGTTGGCGCTTTAGGGCCCAGCCCCCTGGATTAATAAAATCTCAAAGTTCCTGCTGGTTTCCAAGCCCTAAATGTTGCTAAGCCTCCCTCTTGGACAAACAAATTAAGGCCCCCTCTGTAGAAACCCTGAGTATGCCCCTGAGACTTTTAATGCAGAATACCAAAAACAACCTTCAGATTTCGTCATCTACAGATCTTAGAGTCGTCTCTCTAAGTCTTATACTTTGTGGGTAACCCTGTCTTTTTTCGAGATAATTCATTTCTGTAAGCTTGTCGATCGTTAAACAAAAGATTGAGCAAATTCCAATTGCACCTTTATTTGGTTTTCAACGAAGCAATTTTAAATTTTGGCGTTTTTGTCCTTTTTAAAATAGATACTTGGTATTCTGAATTCCACTGGAATAAAGGGAGAGGCAGGGATAAATCAAGAAATGCTTAGTATGATATTTCTTCAACATCAAAATTGGTTGATTCAAGAAATTTATGTTAACAACAAAAATATAAAGTCAGATTTAGCTTAAATCAACCTACATTTTGAAAAAGACCTTTTCAAAATTTGTCAACCTGTCCTTTAAAGTTGCAGTTATTGCGAAGCCAGAACAAAAAAGGGTTTTATAAAAGAAAACTTGGGATTCAAGATTTTTCATGCATTCAGAAAATGTATAATTACGAAAGAGTTCTTCAGAATCTAACAAAATTGGAAAAATGATTGAATCTAAGAATTTAACCTAGGATTTTATTTTTTGAAAATTTATCTTTATTCTTGATTTGAAAATAATGTATTCCTCCCAAAATGTTAGGTTTGTTTTTTAGGGGTTTATTTTCAGAATTACGCAAAAAAAATATTTTTAAGGGATACATGTATGAATTTTTAGTTAAAAAGTCAAAGAGTAGAAAAAAACTTGTTTAGGTTCATTTTGTGCCCCCCCCATGGAATATCGAAAATGGTCCGCCCGGGGGGGGGCCGGGGGAGGGGGGGTTTTACCTGAAATATTTTTCTTCCAGATACTGTTCCAACATGCGGATAAGGGATGCACCCTTTCCAAACGATATATTGTCAAATATAGAGCTAATTGTTCTAGGGTCCTACAAATATAGTGATAATTGTTCTAGGGTCCTACAAATATAGAGCTAATTGTTCTAGGGTCCTACAAATATAGAGCTAATTGTTCTAGGGTCCTACAAATATAGAGCTAATTGTTCTAGGATCCTACAAATACAGAGCTAATTGTCCTAGGGTCCTACAAATATGGAGCTAATTGTTCTAGGGTCCTACAAATATAGAGCTAATTATTCTAGGGTCCTACAAATATAGAGCTAATTGTTCTAGGGTCCTACAAATATAGAGCTAATTGTTTTATGGTCCTACAAACATAGAGCTAATTGTTCTAGGGTCCTACAAATATAGAGCTAATTGTTCTTGGGTCCTACAATATAGAGCTAATTATTCTAGGGTCCTACAACTATCGAGCTGATTGTTCTAGGGTCCTACACATACAGAGCTAATTGTTCTAGGGTCCAACAAATAAAACAAGTTAAAAACATGTTAAAATCAAAGTTTTTTACAAAAAAGTTGACGACTTCTAAGCATTACAACTACAAGTTAACTTCTTTGGACCCTTCAAAATATTAGTTAGTTTCCGGTGAATTAAGCAAAAGCTGGGGGGATTTCAAAATATCTTCGTTGCATGATTGTAAGTGTCTAAAAGTGTTTAAAAACACAGTTTTCAATCAACTTTTTTCTTTCAAAATTATCAGATTTGGACAAAAAATAATAAATTGTAAAAAAATATTGGTGCATATCTCCTAAAGAGAAGACCAACTGATCTCTTTTATTAGTAAATATCTCCTGAAGAGAAGAACAATCAATCTTTTTTATTAGTAAATTTCTCCTGAAGAGAAGACCACAGATCTTTTTTTATTAGTAAATATCTCCTGAAGAGAAGACCAACAAGTCTCCTTTTACTAGTAAAAATCTCCTGAAGAGAAGACCAACAAATCTCTTTTTATTAGTAAATATCTATTGAAGAGAAGACCAACAAATCTCCTTTTAGTAGCAAATATCTCCTGAAGAGAAGACCAACAAATCTCCTTTTATTAGTAAATATCTCCTGAAGAGAAGACCAACAGATCTCTCATTCTTAGTAAATATCTAAATCTTTGACCAATAACAGAACGTTTATTCTGTCAGCAAAGAAATTTTAGTTTGAGCTAATATTGACAAGTAATTTAATTCTCTGGTGTCGGAAATTTAGATTTTTTATCAAAACCTATTTAATTTGAAAAAAAAATTAGTATGTTATTTGTGGATTAAATGTTTTTATGTAAAAATTCGACATTGGGAGTGGTTGTGGCCTAAATGACATTTAAAACATTAAAAAACGAGTAATTTTTTCATGTTGCTCAAATTTGGAAAATAACTTTGCAAGAAAACGCTGAACACTTTTGGTAATTCATTATTGTCTGCTTCTGAAAGATTTTTTTCCTTTTGTCGGAATTGCCAAGAAGATGAAGGTGTAACCACATTTAAAATTAAAATTGTGAAAATTCAAAATCGAAAACTTGAATTCCTGGAAATGATTTTTAGTCTGCAGAATATTATTGGACGGAAATTATGGCTGAGTTCAACAAAATCATTTTTACTAAAAATAAACTAGAGACATTAAATATTCTAATAAACTACAGAATATTAAATATTTGAATAAACTACAAAATATTAAATATTCGAATAAACTACAGAACATTAAATATTCGAAAAAACTACAGAACATTAAATATTCGAATAAACTACAGAACATTAAATATTCTAATAAACTACAGAATATTAAATATTCTAATAATCTACAGAAAATTAAATATTCGAATAAACTACAGAACATTAAATATTTGAATAAACTACAGAACATTAAATATTCGAATAAACTACAGAACATTAAATATTCGAATAAACTACAGAATATTAAATATTCGAATAAATTACAGTACATTAAATATTTGAATAAACTACAGAACAGTAAATATTCGAATAAACTACAGAACATTGAATATTCGAATAAATTACTGAACATCAAATATTCGAATAAACTACAAAACATTAAATATTCGAATAAACTGCAGAACATTAAATATTCGAATGAACTACAGAACATTAAATTTTCGAATAAACTACAGAACATTAAGCATTCGAATAAACTACAGAACAATAAATATTCGAATAAACTACAGAATATTAAATATTCGAATAAACTACAGAAAATTAAATATTCGTATAAAAATGCATATATAATCTTAGTAAACTTTATGTTATTAATAATAAGGAACATATTGTTCATATAGTAGAGATTGCTTTTAGGTATTAAGGAAATTACATTATTTACATATTTGTTTATATATAAATGTAACAGTATAAGCCGCAACCAGGGTAATGTTATGCGAAAATAAAACTTTTTTAAAGAAAAAAAATCATATATATTATTGTCACCCTTTTCAAACAATTAAGATTTTTTAAAGAAAATTAAACATATTTCTATCATATATATCTCTAAAAATAAACAACAGTTTAAGTGACTAAAAATGTCCCTTAAAATAAAATATCTTTATTTCTATTCAAATTCTGAAATTTCTTGACTTGGAAATTTGCAGTTGTAAATGATGAAAACTAGGCCATTGATCAAATTCAGCGAATAAAAAAGATATGTTAAGATTTTTCAATTTAGATCATGATAATTTCTTTAAAGCAACATTTTTATTGACACAACATTTTTTCAGACGAGAAATCTTTTACTTTCATCAGAAACATAAGAACTTAATGATTTACATCTACTTTACAGGGAGGTTAAGGGAATTTGACTTTACCAAGGGTTTTTAAAACCAAGATCACAGCCATGGATGTTTTGTGGCAAAAATTGGTCGAGGGATCCCGTGGTTAAGTACATTTTTGTCGTCTTTTGAGATGAAAATTAGCGATTTTTTCACGAAAACTTTGTAAAACGGGTCGTCATTTTCATTTACTGTCCCAAGGGATGTAAGTACCTTAACGTGCCTCTATTATATTATTATATTAATTATATTCATAGGTTGGTAATGTTGGTAAATAGGCGGTAAACTACGTTATGCAACCCTTATAATTAAATGCTAGTTTACCTCAACCTCTACGAATATAGGATGTGAGGATTGAAGAGCATCAAGATGAAGAGCGGGTTGAACTTCATAACTCCAGAATTGATCCAACATATTCCAATCAGGTCTAGACTCGGACACTCCCTGGACCACTAAACCTTTTCATCCCGACCAGAAACAAAAATTATAAAAAAATTTCAATTTTTTATCAAAATTTAAAAAAAGAAAAGAAATGGAATTGAGTCTTTGCCACAAGCTCAAAGTTCGAATTCCTATATTTGCAACCTGATGTTGTAAACCTTTGATATTTCAAATTTGAATTATTTGATCTATAAGAATTCATAGTTTGAAATATCTAAGCTAAGGTCTTCAACATTGGGTTGCAAAGATATAAGGATTAGAAAATTTGAGTTTGTGGCAAAGACTCAATTCCTTTTTATCTAATTTATTTTCCTCTATAAGACGATGTAAAGAAACTGATTGATAGTCTATAACTCTCATTTCTCAATTCTTAATCTTTTGCATCTTAACATTGCATACCAAATAATTATGTAAAGTCAGTTTCCAAATATATATAGATTATGAAATTAGAGTTAAATGCGAGGAATCAGTTGTTATGTCTCCAAAATAAATTTTTTTTTCGAAAATCTCAGGTTGTTTTAATAAATATGAGCATTGAGGGAAGATGCCTTTGTGAAGAACTAACACCTAATATTGATGATCATAATAAAGTTACGTTTGCCAAAGTTTATATTGTGTAAACGGTAAAGAGCTGCAAAACGTTATATGACCTGTGTTTAGCATTTCTGAAAAATAAACTTTTTTTTAACAGGAATTTCTCCTCATTTATCCAGTACAACATTATGCAATCAAAACATAAACAAAGAAATGCTTAAATCTATAGCAGACGGATTTCAGCTTTCTAAATCGAAAATTATTTACAATCTTCACTGTTTCTACAGGGTATCTTGTTCTTGTTAGAAAACCCTGTGTCAGATTGTTAGATTTGGATTGAGCAGAAAAGGTTTCCTTATATTGCAACCAAGTGACGAATCCTGAGGTAAATATTGGTTTAAATATGAAAATAAAACCATTTGTTTTTATTTACCAAGTTATAATAGTTGAATAGTGGAACCCATAAATCTAATGAACAGGAAAACGACATTTGAACAATTTCACGTGTATTTGATTTTGCTTAAGATTGATTTTTTTTTTGCCAAAGTATGCTTAAAATCAACATTTAAGTGAATTGTTATACTGTGTTTCAAGTTCAGAGGACTTTTTAAAAAAATCTTCCTGTTTCAAATATTTATAGGTCTCACTGTAGGCTATTTTTAAAACAATATGTTCCTTCTTTTAGCCAGAAATCATTCCACCACTGCATTGTCACAAGGTTTCCGAACCACTAAATAAAAATATAATTACAAGGAGATTTCCTGAAAAAAATATTTTTTTGGAATTAGAGAATCCGTATGATCTACAGAATTAAAGATCATTCTCTATCTTTATAATAAAACAGGACATTCGTATAGATGTGCCCTATAGCCGGCAAAAAACGGCTTGAATGGCTCAAATTATATGTGGACACTCATGGGTAGCCTGGGGGTGACATAGGCTAAAAAATCGAAGTTTCGAACATTTTTTTCCAAATTTTTAAAATTTATATCAATTTTTTTCTCCAATTCTTTTGTTTTTTTTTCATTTTTTTCCAAGGACAACGCTGGATCCTAGTTCATATATTTTCTCCTTTTTTTCCAATTTCTTACGAATAAATTTGGTTCTCAAAGCTGATAAGAATGATAAACAAACCATTAAAAAAAAAATATAAAAATGAAGTGCGGAACCTTTCTTGACCGATTTTTAAACAAGTATTCCACTTAGGTATTTCAAAAGCTAAGTTTGATTTACTGAAAAAAAGGCATGGGACGATTATTCCATTTGGAACGGATCCGTAATAATTGTTTTATTCTCTTATTTCAGCATGTCGAACCCAGGGCTATTTCAGAATGTCAAAAACATCCGTTTTGTTAACGAAATGATGAGCTAGTAAATATCCTCTATAACCTGATGAGCTAGTAAATGTCCTCTATAACCTGATGAGCTAGTAAATGTCCTCTATAACCTGATGAGCTAGTAAATGTCCTCTATAACCTGATGAGCTAGTAAATGTCCTCTATACCCTGATGAGCTAGTAAATGTCCTCTATAACCTGATGAGCTAGTAAATGTCCTCTATAACCTGATGAGCTAGTAAATGTCCTATACTAAGAGCTACGAACTGAGTATCTCGAGAACTCGAAACATTTTCCCGAATCAGCAAAGTCTTCTCACTAAAATCAAATTTATTAATTAATCTAATATTTAGTGAACTATTTTAGTATTCATGTTGTAATATAAAATATAAAATATTTACTAAGATTTGCTACTAAATTATTTTAAATTATTCTTTATTTCTAAAACTAAAGCTATTTTTGTAAACTAAAATTTTAGCAATATTTTTATTTAAAAAACAGATCACAAGTCCTGTCATTTTTAAGATGTCTGTTTTTTCTTTCAAAATACAAGAGATATAAAGAAGTTTGTTTTTCCAATTTATTTAAGAAGATCATGAAAATATATATGAAAAATATTTCCGGTATTTTAAAAGCAAAATATGGCAGACAACACTTTGGAAATGGCAGGATCTAAGGCTTTTTTTGTGATTATTGTTTCACCAAACAAATGCTACTAAAATTAGGTCGCTTATAATGAATCCGTATACTAATCCTAAGGTAAAAGACGACTTTAAAGTATTTAATTAATTAAAATTATTCCGGCTTATTTAGAATATAATTTAACCTCTCGTATTTAATTGAAAAGTCAATTTAAAAACTTGAAAACTATTTACGAAATGTAAGAATTCTGAATATTTATAACCCTATAGAGGCTGGTTGACCTAAATCTATTCTATATATACTACTAGCTTAAGAACCAAGCGTTGTTCAAGGTACTCATAGTCAGTCCCGCCGTTTACCCGTGCTTGGTCGTAAATAACGATTTTAGCTATTTTTCCCTATACAAATAGACCAACTCAACTTACAATTTCCTAACCCATTCCCGTAGTTCTTCCGAGATACTTAATTAAACCTGAATACCATTAATATATGTAATATGTAATGTATGTATGTACTATATATATTAAATGTGTGTGAGTAAATCTTTAATAATAATAAAAAAATTTGAGACAAATCAGTTATTGTTCATCTTTGACGCTTTTCGAGGATCTAAGATTGCATTGCAAATATGCGAACAATCCCTTTGCCACGGACTCTAATTTTTAAATCCCAATATCCTTGAAACCTGATGGTGTAAAATTTGATATTTCAATCTTAGACAATTTGATTTAACAGAATCAAAGGTTTGCGACATCTGGTTGCCAAAAAAAAAACGGATTAAAAATCGAAGTTTGTGGCAAAGACTTAATTTCTTTGGCCTCTTCGTAGTGTAGTACACTTCGACCAAATACTTGTATTTATTTGTTTTGAAAAAGCTATAGTTATATAGAACAATGTTACAATATTGGTTAATTGGGAGCAAGTTGATTCTATTTTTAGGAAAAAAGAAGAAAATTAATATTATTAATTTAGCCAAATTACATTTGACGTAGATAGAAAGGAATTGAGTCTTCGTCATAAACTCTGATTTTCTAATCCCTATTTCTTTGCAACCCAATGTCGTCGCAAAATAGAGTCTGTTGCAAAGACTCAATTCTTTTTCATTTGAAATGAATTGTAAACAGTATTTTAAGTGATCCTCCATTTACAGAGTGACATGTCTGAATTAACTATTACAGTGAAACCACAATTTTAAATCATTAAATTCAACTCGTAAAATAAGGATATCTCATCATTAATCAGGCAAAGCTTGAACGGGTGAATCTGACATGCCACACGTTAATTGATGCTTCACATAAAATACCGTGTACAGTCCCTTATACGAGAACCTGAATCTAACAAGACCCCATGGTTCTCAAATATAATATACAAGAACCTGAATTGAATCTAACAAGACCCCAGTTCTCAAATATAATATACGAGAACCTGAATCTAACAAGACCCCAGTTCTCAAATATAATATACGAGAACCTGAATAAGACCCCAGTTCTCAAATATAATATACAAGAACCTGAATCTAACAAGAGCCCAGTTCTCAAATATAATATACGAGAACCTGAATCTAACAAGACCCCAGTTCTCAAATATAATATACGAGAACCTGAATCTAAGAAGACCCCAGTTCTCAAATATAATATACAAGAACCTGAATCTAACAAGAGCCCAGTTCTCAAATATAATATATATAAGAACCTGAATCTAACAAGACCCCAGTTCTCAAATATAATATACAAGAACCTGAATCTAACAAGAGCCCAGTTCTCAAATATAATATATGAGAACCTGAATCTAACAAGACCCCATGATTCTCAAATATAATATACAAGAACCTGAATCTAACAAGACCCCATGGTTCTCAAATATAATATACAAGAACCTGAATCTAACAAGACCCAGTTCTCAAATATAATATACAAGAACCTGAATCTAACAAGACCCCAGTTCTCAATATAATATACAAGAACCTGAATCTAACAAGATCCCAGTTCTCAATATATTATAAAAGAACCTGAATCTAACAAGACCCCAGTTCTCAAATATAATATACAAGAACCTGAATCTAACAAGACCCCATGGTTCTCAAATATAATATACAAGAACCTGAATCTAACAAGTTCCCAGTTCTCAAATATATTCTACAAGAACCTGAATCTAACAAGACCCCAGTTCTCAAATATAATATACAAGAACCTGAATCTAACAAGACCCCAGTTCTCAAATGCTCTTCCAGGCAGAGTAATCAAATCTAAACAATTAGAAAACACATTTATTGATATTTTAATTAATTTTTCAGGGAGAACAAGAACATTCTGGAATAGAAAGAAGGTTTTTATACTCGTGTTAGGACTTCAAATAGTCTAATAACATTAAACACAACAATTGAGCGGTGTAAACAGGCCCATTTCACTTCATAATAATATTAACTAGCTGAAGTGCTTGGCATTGCTCGTGAATTTTTTTTAATTGAATGTAAAACAAAAAAAAATAGATTTTTGAAAGAATAAAATCGATTTTTTGATGAAATCTTTTTTAGCCTTTGCTACCCCTGAGGTACTCACGGGTTTCTCAAGAAATTTCAGCCCATTCGGTCCAACAAATATATAGACCAGGAACGCCCAACTCAGATATACGCAAATTGTGTACTGTACACTGTGGGAGGAATGTAAACAAATCCAGTGCCCCCACAGCAGTTGAAGAGAAAGGACTAAACACTGATAAACAGAGTGATGTTACAGTCAAAAACAAAAGAATCTAGTTAATATATTAAGTTAGTGCGGATACAAATTATTTATTTAAATATGATTTTTGGGTTTCAGATCAATATGGAAAATTTATTCATGCTCAGTGAGATTTGTTCAACTATAAAGGAGAAACAAGGTAGAAAGATTCCCACTTATCCTTGTTTCCTAGGTTTAACTTTCTCTTAAAATTTAAAACCTTTCCTCTCAATGTTTAAATCCTTCCTCCCAAGGTTTAAATCCTTCCTCCCGAGGCTTACACCCTTCCTCCCAAGGTTTACATCCTTCCTCCCAAGATTTACATCCTTCCTCCCAAGATTTACATCCTTCCTCCCAAGGTTTAATCCCTTCCTGCCGATGTTTGTATCCTTCCTCCCAAGTTTCACATCCTTCCTCCCAAGGTTTAAACCCTTCCTGCCGATGTTTGTATCCTTCCTCCCAAGGTTTACATCCTTCCTCCCAAGGTTTAAACCCTTCCTGCCGATGTTTGTATCCTTCCTCCCAAGGTTNGACTAGCTATAGCTAAAATATATATATATATATATATAAGATAAGAACTTTTTTATATAGATAAGTAGCTGAAAGGCCCGGCGTTGCCCGCGAAAAAAAGAAAATTTATAAAAAAGAAATTTGGGAGAAAAAAATTTTCGAATTTTTTTTAGCCTTGACACCCTCCGGCCTCCCATGAGTGAACTCAAAAAATGTCAGCCCAATTGGTCCAGCCGTTTGGTTGGCTAATACAGGCAATATATACATGAATATCCTGTTTTATTATAATATATAGATAATAAATAAGAACTACGATTGAAAAAATGTCAGCATAAAAACTAACGTGACAGGGCTCATTTCATTAAATGCCGTGAACTACAACCTGAAATAGAAATTAAGAATAATCAAGATTTACCCAATTTTGGCATTGGATAGGGAACTCCAAAGTACTTTGCAAAGAATTCTAGAAGATTTTCCGCCAGTTTTAAGCCAAATTTAGCTTGCGGCATTTTTTCCTTCTGCGCTATTATTCTGAAACATACAAACTTTTATCAAATAGGTCATTAAGTACGAGGACAAAAAACGGCTAGATTTAATGAATAGCGAAAGGTAGCTGAACTTCTTTTTTTGCAAATGTTCAAACTGAAAAGAAGTGGTTCAACCGTGTCTACACAAAGCTTGTATACTCTCGATGCGCTCCAATTTAAGGAAAATGTCGTCTCCTAAGATAGATAGAAAAAACCTAATATGACGTCACTCTCGCCTCTATAATCAGTGACGTCAGATTAAGGTTTTATTTATTTATCACAGGAGACGACATTCTCCATACGTTGGAGCGCATCAAGAGTAACCAACTATATTATACAACCTTGGTCTACACCATGTCTACACCGTTCAGTGTACAATCAAATCTGGCGTTTGATAAAGTCTTAGGTTACACTGGAAATACATGTAGATATAACGTTATTACAGGGACTGTAAGGGAAAAATGAAGGGGCTGAAACCTAAGAAGTTCAGGAGTTGATCGAGACCTATCAGAGTTCATACTGTACGCAACGTACACCAGGTTTTACAGGAATTCAAGGCATTGTAAATAAGGCATTGCCCCCTTTGCATTTAGGTTCATTTAAAATTACGCCTACAGTCTCTTTAATACAGGGTGTTCCATGAAACGTGACAGTTGGTGAATAGTTTTGAATGTCTTCTTCTATATGCTGTATTAGATATAAAAGACTTTTTGCAGTTTATTTAGATTAAAAAACTTTACTCAATTATATTTTAATATACATATATATTAAATATCTATTATTATTCTCTTTGGCAACAAACAACTTGAAATATTATGGGAGCAGCCATTTTGAACTATTTCAACAACTGTTATGTTTCGTGGGACACCCTGTAGCATATTCTGATAATGTGAAGAAACCTGATTGTGGCGTTAGAACTTGTATTCCTTGTAATCTCAGCGTAATCACAGATGGCAAAGCTTAAAGTGTAAGTTGGCATTTCTGGACTTTCAGCAAATATGGTCTCCATCTAAAACAATAATGTATAAGTAAAACACAGATTATTTTTCCATTTTATTACTGTACGAAGTGTTTCATGTTTTAAACACTACTAAATGATATTTTTGTTATAGGAATGGACAGCTTTCACTTTATTAAAAACGACGTCGATTGTTTTGTTAACGATGAAGAATGAATGAAAACGAAACGATTAGTTTTACAATAAAAAAATTGAAAAAAATTTAGTAAAAACTACCGTTCTTTGAAAGTAAATTGAATCCAAGGTTATAATGCAAGGAATGTTAATTGTAGTTGTGTATACTATGCGTACATATCAAAACCAGTTCTCTCTGGGCGGAATTTGTAAACAAGAATGGGTGCATCAGTGTTTGTTTAATATCCGAGGAGGATGAAAGCATAAAATTTTGATAATTTTAATAATTAACATAATAGTTTCCTATGACCAGAATATTTCATTGATTTTTTATGTGAAAGATGGATCCCATGTCGGGCTAGCTGTGAGAGCTGTGACATTCGTCTTGTATTTACTTTACCGTCTGGAGACAGTACATTGCAGTACAAAAGATGTGTACACCTCTGAAATAACTTTCCTTGCATTTTAACCTTGATTGGATCAAGGTATGAAAGCTTGCTATGATGGTGTTATCAATCTGTCATTTCTACAGTAGTAAAATTTACAAAACATGTGTTCGTTTTATCAAAAGCAAATGTTCGTTAGTTTTTGAATAAAAAAAATGTAACTAAAAGCGATTGTTTTTCCAATTGTTTTAAAAACAATGTCAATCCCTAATTGTATAGTTATGTAAATGTATTTATCCAATTAATGACTAAATAAATGAAAAGAATGTCATTATTCGGGAAAATATGGATTTTGGATTTTGAATAAAAAACTAAAATCCACTTTTAAAAGTTTAGACAAAATAGTTAATACTAGTGCGCCGTTTTAAATTCATTAATTCATAACAAAATATTTAGTCTCCAAGTATACTTGATCTCTACCTGATAGAAAAGTTAAATCCTGGTTTCAAGAGATATTTAGTCTCCAAGTATACTTGATCTCTACCTGATAGAAAAGTTAAATCCTGGTTTCAAGAGATATTTAGTCTCCAAGTATACTTGGTAATATTTCTGGATCCGCCCTGGGTTTGATTAAAGTTTTAGTTTAGTTAAATTGACATTCACATTTGGTTGAGTTTGTACTTTTTAACCCTATTTAATCAATGGATGTCCAAAGCATGTAGATTTAAGTGGAAAAAAGAAAAAAACTTTTTTTAATGCACTGAAAACTGAACAGAAGAAAAGGGTCAAATTTATGCAATGTTACTGGTTCAAGTTTGTGACCTCGTTGCTCCTCTAGTTTTAATTTTACGCACATTTATGAGAAGAGCACTTCTATCCGGTTATATATATCCGGTTATATATATCCTGTTGTATATATCCGGTTATATATAATCGGTTACATGTCAGAAATTCAAACCGTTTTAATCCTTAATATATTCTCATCTTAATAAGAAGTGTCATGTTTAAAAAACATTTAAGATTTAAATCTTGTGTAAAAATTACGTGAGTGAGCTCTCTTTCATATTTTAGTTTGTAGATTTCAGACCTTGGTCATAATCAATATTGAGTTAAGTAGATTTCAGACCTTGGGCATAATTAATATTCAGTTAAGTAGATTTCAGACCTTGGGCATAATCAATATTGAGTTAAGTAGTTTCAGACCTTGGTCATAATCAATATTGAGTTAAGTAGATTTCAGACCTTGGGCATAATCAATATTCAGGATTTCAGACCTTGGGCATAATCAATATTCAGTTAAGTCTATTTTTTCCCCTTCCAACACTTTTCCACTATAAGGGCCTTCTTTAATCGGATATTTTTTTTCAAATCAAGGAGTCATTCATGTTGTTTGATATGGATTTGGTAAATTTTTTATATTCTTCTTAGAAGCATAATACTTTTTAATGAACAGTTTGCTGAAATGAATAAAATTTCTGAGAAAGCCTGGTTTAATTTATTCAAACAACAAATATATGAGACAAATAAACAAAAAAAGTTTTAATTAGTTTACTTCTGCATTGTTTATACACCGTATTCTCATGTTTCAGTTTATACTAATTTAATTAATATCTTGACATGTTCAATATTTAATGTTTTATATTGAATAAACAAAATTAAAAAAATGAATTCATTGCAATAATCAATCTTGCATCCTACTGTTTTCTAATATTCGTTCGATTCTTTGTTTGTTTGTCTGTCAGAATCCAAACCCCCCCCCCCCCACACGAGAAGGTTTATGGACCGTGAATTTTTGAAACATTTTGGCCGAAAATTTGTTTGAAATGCGCCAATTTAAAAAGAAAATCGGTGACATTTTTTCAAGTGAATAACAATGAAAAATTTTTTTTTAGAGGATTATGATCCCCAGCTAGGGGGAGAAAATGTAAAATGTGGCTCGGACGTAGGATTAATATGGCTTCTTCCTTTGTAAAAATTGATAATGTATGTAACACAAAAATAATATTTTGAAAATTCTACGGCTTATCTAAGCATACATTTTAAGTGCACATTGCTGAAAATGTGTAATCTGTGTATGTATACATAACATGTTTATTGTATTCAATACAATGAAAAGAAATAATATTTGTATACGGTAAACGTCTTGGTAATAACTAATACAAAAGGCGGACACAGTAATTATTATTAAACCCTTTAAACCCTATTTCAATAATCTTTTAATAAAACTTGTAAAAACTAAAATAATGCAAAATATGACAAATCATACATTTTTTGAATTAACGCCCAATTTATTTAAATGTGCAAAAATTGTGTTTAAACAAGAATAACTCACAATGTATTATGTATAAAGGTATAAATGTGTAGATGTATAAATGTTAATATGTATAGGTGTGTAGGTGTAAAAATGTGTAGATGTATGAATGTATAAATGTAGAGATGTTTAAATGTATAATATTACAAATGTTTAAATGTATAAATGTAGAGATGTTTAAATGTATAATTTTACAAATGTTTATATGTATAAATGTATGAATGTTACCTGGTCTTTCACACCTTTTACAGGAGTCACCATCTTGACTGGCATGTTTGAATAGGCTTTATATGAACTATAAATTAAAAACTAAGTATAGTCTTAAATATAATATAATTCATGAATTATAATACATCTTCTTTATCATGTTTATCTCTTTTCTTGTGATTAAAATAAAACGACACTAGAGACGTCACCAAAGGGCTCAGTTTCCCATAATATGTTTGTCATAAATACGTTTGCAATTATAGTTCTTTTCCATAAGTAACACTTGCAATAAATTACACTTGCAATAAATTACACTTGCCATAATGGTTACACTTACCATCATTACACTTGCCACAGACTCTGATTTTCAAATCCCTAAAACTTTGCATCCCAATGTCGTAAACCTTAGATATTTCAAGAAAGAATTTTTTTATATTAGATAATCTTAGTTTACAATATAAGAAGGTTGCAAAGAAATAGAGATAAGAAATTTTGAGTTTGTGGCCAAAACTCAGTTCCTTCTGTGCATTTCATTTTGTAAAAATAAGAAAAGTATGGCAAAAGTAATTTTAGCAAATATATCATGGCGTAATATTTGATTATCAAATATATTAATAAAGATATTTCTAAAAGAGATTTATTTAAAAAAATAAAGTAGTAAGAAATAATCTACAATTTTTATGTTAAAAACAAAAACAAACAAAAAACTAAAACATTAGATGAAAGTTACGGAGAGTGGGGCTTTGAATGTCAAACAGTTTTCTAAATACTAAATACTCGCCTCAATCTTTAGTTTAATATATTTTCAACCTTATTGTTAAACTTTTAATATTTCAAACGGTGAATTTAAAACCTAGCCATATCAGGTTGTAAAAGTATAATATGGATTCCAGTTTGAACCAGGTGTTCATGTGTTTTTTTTCTCTATCTACTTTACTTATTTTCAAAACAATCATGTATATATACCTGGGATGTGATATTTTGATTGAGAATTTTGCTTTCAGCTGAGGTTCATCAAAGCATGGGAATGCTTTGCGAGCAGAGATCGGATCAAAGTTTGTTGCAGCAACTTTACTAAAACAAGATAACAGTGGTTCTTGCAGTATACTATCCTTTATTGCCATTTGTTTCTATTTGTTTAACTTCACTGTACTGTAGTAGTCATTTAAAGTGACCTTTCTCTCGTTGTGTCTTAAAAACTGTTTAATTTTGATCATTTTCTCCATATCTTTCTGAAGCAGAAATTTGCAATTCACTTTAAACAGCTGATCAATGTTGTAGAAGACAACGTCTTTTTTGTGGCTTGACAACTGTTTGATTCTGATTATTCTAAAAATGCAGACTCAACCAGACAAAGTTATGTCAGAGCTCAAAACTTAAGACAGGGTATCGTTATGAGAACCAGTTTTGAAACCGGGATTTCACGAATGGGGTTAGGCAGTTTTGTGGATATCAATATTTTTGTTATGAAATATTATTTCATTTAGTTTCTTTATATTCTCCATTTTTGTCGAATCTCTTAAATCAAAATCTACAAAATGTTAAGACCCCAAAAAGGAAACTCGGGAGTTTCGTTCAACGACACTCTTAAATTTCGGGCTCTGAACTCAACACAGCGCACTCTTGAATTATCAGCTGAATACCAGCGGGTTTTAAAAAGTTTAAAAACACATATTGATGAACTGGACGAACACACAAAGGTTTTAAGAGTGCCGTTCTAAGATAACATGAAAGGCCACTATAAATTACGCTTGCAGTCTATTTTAATAATCACTTACAATAAAAAACCAAGTTTAATATTAATATCTGATTTGTACGTTATTGACAAAAATTGGTTTAAAACTACTTCACTTTTCAAACTTTATAATTGAAAACTGATTTTGCCAAACAAAATTAGTGCATAGGGTCGGGCACAGTACGACGAAAGCCTGGGTGGTGTAGAAATTATTTTTAAATCCCGTGAAAAAAAGAAGAAAAATCAAGGCCTTGCCTTAATTTGATCAAAGTTCTAAATAACCACCATCATGTTGAAAAGGTATTAAGATTAGGAAATTATACTTTGTGACGAAGTGATCAATTCCTTTTTTACCTGATACTCCCATCAGAGTTTTTATAGTTTGATAATATAAAACCATCAGGACCTTCGGTAAAGTTGTACTGGAACTCAAAACTATAAAGTAGGTGTAAATTATGTTATTTCAATTTCAACTCTGCCACCGTTAGGTGTAAATTGTGATGAGTCAATTTTGAAAATTTTCTCAATTTCAACTCTGCCACTGCACTTTTAGATGTAAATTAGGATAAGTTAATTTTGAAAATTTTCTCAATTTCAACTCTGCCACCATTAGATGTAAATTAGGTAAATTAGGATGAGTTAATTTTGAAAATTTTCCCAATTTCAACTCTGCCACTGTTGGATGTAAATTAGGAAAAGTTATTTTTTTAAATTTTTAAAATTTCAACTCTGCCACCGTTAGGTGTAAATTAGGATGAGTCAATTTTGAAAATTTTCTCAATTTGAACTCTGCCACTGTTAGATGTAAATTAGGATAAGTTAATTTTGAAAATTATCTCAATTTCAACTCTGCCACCATTTAGATGGAAATTAGGTAAATTAGGATGAGTTAATTTTGAAAATTTTCCCTATTTCAACTCGGCCACTGTTAGATGTAAATTAGGAAAAGTTAATTCTTAAAATTTTCAAAATTTCAACTCTGCCACCATTAGGTGTAAATTAGGATGAGTTAATTTTGAAAATATTTTCAATTTCAACTCTGCCACTGTAAGGTGTAAATTAAGATGAGTTAGTTATAAAATTTTTCTAAATTTAACTCTGCCAACGTTAAATGTAAATTAGGATGAGTCAATTTTTAAAATTTCTTTAATTTCAACTCTGCGCGCCACCGTTAGGTGTAAATTAGTGTGAGTCAATTTTGAAAATGTTCTTAATTCTAATTCTGTCAATGTTGTAAAAAAGGTTAAATCTTTCTTTTTACAGGAACACATATGATGCAGACAATGTTTAGCCTTTTCTAAAAGTTTTAAATCTTTAATCTAGGAAAACATTATACAAAATATATATAATTAATCTATATATTATATATTGTATAGTTAATCAGCTTTGTTTAATATTCATAAATCGTTAAATCACAGATATAAAAACAAACAATGTAATTAGTTATCAATTAAATAAGAATGAATAAAAGGTGAACAAGTTCCTTGACAAGAGATATTCATGTATTTCTTTAGCCACGGTTTTTGACGTCTAAGGTCAGGAAAAAAGTTTTAACACGTATTTTGTTTCTGTATTATTTTTTGGAGGGGTTACTGAAACTGTTGAGGTAAGAGTCTTACAGTTCAATAATTTTTTAGAATTTTGGGTAACAATTGTGAAATTTTAAACATCTTCTTTATGCACGTTCCGAAATTGTCGTTTAAATTACTGTTTAGTGTTTGTTGAAAGTCTGGGTGCTTGTTTCAAGAGTCGAAGTCAAAATTTGAAATAAAAAGTTTTTTAAGGTCATTCTATATCTAATAGAATAGTTTAATCCTGGTTTCAAGGGATTATTAGTCTCAGTCTCCACTTATTACTTGATACCTGATAGAATAGTTTAATCCTGGTTTCAAGATATTATTAGTCTCCAAGTATACTTGATCTCTACCTGATAGAATAGTTTAATCCTGGTTTCAAGAGATATTTAGTCTCCAAGTATACTTGATCTCTACCTGATAGAAAAGTTAAATCCTGGTTTCAAGAGATATTTAGTCTCCAAGTATACTTGATCTCTACCTGATAGAAAAGTTAAATCCTGGTTTCAAGAGATATTTAGTCTCCAAGTATACTTGATCTCTACCTGATAGAAAAGTTAAATCCTGGTTTCAAGGAATTATTAGTCTCTAATTATGCTTACCTGATAGAATAGTTTAATCCTGGTTTCAAGGGATTATCAGTCTCCAAGTACACTTGATACCTGATAGAATAGTTTAATCCTGGTTTCAAGGGATTATCAGTCTCCAAGTATACTTGATTCTACCTGATAGAAAAGTTAAATCCTGGTTTCAAGAGATATTTAGTCTCCAAGTATACTTGATCTCTACCTGATAGAAAAGTTAAATCCTGGTTTCAAGGAATTATTAGTCTCTAATTATGCTTACCTGATAGAATAGTTTAATCCTGGTTTCAAGGGATTATCAGTCTCCAAGTACACTTGATACCTGATAGAATAGTTTAATCCTGGTTTCAAGGGATTATCAGTCTCCAAGTATACTTGATCTATACCTGATAGAATAGTTAAATCCTGGTTTTAAGATATTATTAGACTCTAAATATACTTGATACCTGATAGAATAGTTTAATCCTGGTTTCAAGGGATTATCAGTCTCCAAGTATACTTGATACCTGATAGAATAGTTTAATCCTGGTTTCAAGGGATTATCAGTCTCCAAGTATACTTGATCTATACCTGATAGAATAGTTAAATCCTGGTTTTAAGATATTATTAGTCTCTAAATATACTTGATACCTGATAGAATAGTTTAATCCTGGTTTCAAGGGATTATCAGTCTCCAAGTATACTTAATATATATACCTGATAGAATAGTTAAATCCTGGTTTTAAGGTATTATTAGTCTCTAAATATACTTGATACCTGATAGAATAGTTTAATCCTGGTTTCAAGTGATTATCAGTCTCCAAGTAAACTTGATCTCTACCTGCATACTCAAGAAACCTAGATAACAAAATGATTGTATCTATAGAATTAGTATTTAAATAATAGTTTCATATAAACGTTAAAAAAATGGTATTGGACAACTTTGAAAATTGTTCATCTTTATTGTCCTGACAGGTCTTGTTTCTTGAAAACCTAACATCTGCCAGAAGAAACCCAAATGAAAAAATTAGGCTTTTAGGGTCCTACGCCCATATAATATTTCAACTTCTAATTGTAATTTTATCTGTGAGAATCTTCTCTTTGAACAATATGAAACAATAACAAAAAAAGTTGATTTAATTATATTTTTTCGTGGATTTTTCGGAATTTTACGAAAATCAACAGGTCTTGGAGAACATTTTTGGAAATTCTGAGTATTCTTCCCAGGGGTCAATGTAAGGTCCCACAACAAATTTGGGCCTCGACCGGTTTAGCCGTTTTGAAATTGATGGGATACAAACAGACAAATAAACAAAAAGTCAGACAAGCAAAGTATTTATTTATATATTAACGTTACCTAGCAATGGTAAGATTGTTATTAATTGTTTTCTTCAGAATCTGAATCTTGTTTGAGTGTAATACAATAAAATCTGTTTCTTCAGTAACCTGAAATGAAATATTCATAAGATATAAATTTAGATAATTGGGGTGTCTCACAATGGATGTGAGTTCAGAGTTCAGGGACGACTGTAAGGAATTTATTCCTTCTTTTTTTATACCCTAAATTTAATGTTCAAATCTTTTAACAAGTTTTATGTCTTCATTCAAGTGTTCTCCTTTCTGAATAACCATGTACTCTGTAGATGAAACTTTATACTTTCTATATCTATATTTGATAAAGGAAATCCTTGAACCTTTCTATATCTATATTTGATAAAGGAAATCCTTTCTAATCAAAATCTATAAATAATTGTATTACTTAGTTTTGCAGTAACTAAGAAACACTTCTTTACTTAAATTGTTTCTGTTTCATTTTTAAATTCTGTATTTTATTTTATTTTTGTTTCAATAAAGTTCTGTACTTTATATATTTTTCTGTTTTCTTTAAAAATTCTGTATTTCATTATATTTTTATTTTATTAAAAAATTCTGTACTTAAATATGTTTCTGTTTTCTTTAAAAATTCTGTATTTCATTATATTTTTGTTTCAATAAAAGTTCTGTACTTCATATATGTTTCTTTTTTCTTTAGCAATTCTGTATTTCATTATATTTTTGTTTTATTTAAAAATTCTGTACTTAAATATGTTTCTGTTTTCTTTAACAATTCTGTATTTCATTATATTTTTGTTTCAATAAAGTTCTGTACTTTAAATATGTTTCTGTTTTCTTTAAAGGGAGTGACCGGCTATGTAAGGTAGTTGAACTGAGTATACAGTGTTGTGGAAAGCTTCTTTCGGATTCATTTGAGACATATTAAACTTTTTAAAGATCTNCCTTTTTGGTTCAGCCGTTTGTCTAGCTATAGCGCGAACATGTATATAAAAATAAATATGAACGAATATCTTAAATATATAGAATAAGAAATATATACTTAGTCTATATAGATAAACTAGTCTATATAGATATACTTGTCTATAGATATACTTAGTCTATATAGATATACTTGTCTTTATAGCATGACACGACAGCATTTACATTTTTTTTAAATAGGCATTTGGGAAATTTCCCAGACACCCAGGTATTTGGGAAATTTCCCAGATACCCAGGCATTTGGGAAATTTCCCAAATTCCTGTAGGTATTTGAGGGTGGTCTATTTTTAAGATTTTGGAAATTTCTCAAATGATTGGATATTTGGGAAGTTTCCCAAAAACCTAGGCAATTGGGAAATTCCCCAAATGCCTGGGTATCTTGGACATTTCCAGTCATTTGAGAAATTTCCAAAATTAAAAAATATACCACCCTCAAATATCTGTAGGTATTTGGGAAATTTCCCAGATACCCAGGCATTTGGGAAATTCCCCGAATTCCTACAGGTATTTGAGGGTGGTATATTTTTAAGATTTTGGAAATTTCGCAAATAACTGAATATTTGAGGAATTTCCCGAAAACCTAGGCATTTGGGAAATTTCCCTGATACTCAGGCATTAGGGAAATTTCCCAGATACCCAGGCATTTGTGAAATTTCCCAGATACTCAGGCATTTGGGAAATTTCTAAAATCTTAAAAATATACCACCCTCAAATATCTGCAGGTATTTGGGAAATTTCCCAGATACCCAGACATTTGGGAAATTTCCCAGATACCCAGGCATTTGGGAAATTCCTATTTTTGATTATTGCTGTCAATCCCTCCTATACAGACATATTTTTAGTTTTGTAATGTTGATCTCATGTTTAACAACTTGTTTTAAATCCTTATTCCTTATATATACAATTTCATACTTAACAAAACATGATTCATTTTTTATCTTTGCAACCTGATGGTATAAACTTTGGCAGGTTATTAGTGTAGAACAGATTTTGATTGGACAATCTTTTGTAATGTTCTGGATATTGAATAATTCAAAACAAAAATTCCATTTTTAAGGTTTCATTTAAAATAGATATAACAAATATTCATCAAAATCAAATCTATTTATGCAATATTTCCCGCGTTTGATTGGTTTCCATGAATTGTAGCCGATGTTTGTATATCTATTACCATTTATGGATTTTTGAAATTAGAAAAATCTTCAAAATTTTCTTTCTTATATGTACTTAAGTGGTTTGTATGAAAGTAAAATTAAAAGCAACGAGTAAAAGCGGCGATAACCCTATTGTAAGATAACACATGTTTATAAAAAAAATAGTGTAGTTGGATAGTCACATTTTCACTTAATGTTTTTTGTTTATTCCTACCTGAAACTGAATATCAGTCTTTCCTTTAACCAATCCCTTGTCAAGATCAGGATATAAAGTTAATTGATAGCTGATAGGACGGATATACCCTGGAATCCTGGACAAGTATATATCAGGATATAAAGTTAATTGATAGCTGATAGGACTGATATACCCTGGAATCCTTAACATGTATATATCAGGGTATAGCTGATAGCTGATAGGACGGATATACCCTGGAATCCTGGACAAGTATATATCAGGGTATAGCTGATAGCTGATAGGACGGATATACCCTGGAATCCTGAACAAGTATATATCAGGATATAAAGTTAATTGATAGCTGATAGGACGGATATACCCTGGACTCCTGGACAAGTATATATCGGATTATAGTTAGATGATAGCTGATAGGACGGATATACCCTGGTATCCTGGACAAGTATATATCAGGATATAAAGTTAATTGATAGCTGATAGGACGGATATACTCTGGAATCCTGGACAAGTATATATCAGGATATAGCAGATAGCTGATAGGACAGATATACCCTGGTATCCTGGACAAGTATATATCAGGCTATAGCTGATAGCTGATAGGACAGATATACTCTGGAATTCTGGACAAGTATATATCAGGATATAGCAGATAGCTGATAGGACAGATATACTCTGGAATCCTGGACAAGTATATATCAGGGTATAAAGTTAATTGATAGCTGCTAGGACGGATATACCCTGGAATCCTGGAAAAGTATATATCAGGATATAAAGTTAATTGATAGCTGATAGGACGGATATACCCTGGAATCCTGGACAAGTATATATCAGGATATAGCTGATAGCTGATAGGAAAAATATACCCTGGTATCCTGGATAAGTATATATCAGTATATAAAGTTAATTGATAGCTGATAGGACGGATATACCCTGGAATCCTGGACAAGTATATATCAGTATATAGCGGATTGCTGATTTTGCCATTTTTTTGTCTGGTTCCCTAGTTCTCAAAAATGTAATTATAAAAAAATCTGTTGGTTTTTTTTTTTAAACAATCCTCATTTTAAGATAGATCATGAAAATCAAGGGTTCGAAAAGCACTTAATTGATTCTCTTTTGCTTGAACTGTAATTTTTGATGTATTTACAAACAAAACGGTTTTGCAAAAGTTTTTAAATTTCTATGTTTTAATTAGTTTAAAATTGTTGTCCATCTTTTTTGTAGTTTTAGAAAAGCAAGGGTATCAGAAAAATATGTCTTCAATTTCTCTATATACTAAAATATTATATTAAATTATAAAGATTTATTCACACACAAAGATATAAATGCATATATAAATGGCGACGTTTAAAGGAATTGAGTTATTGCCACAACCTCAAATTTTCTAATTTATATATCTTTGCAACCAGTGGGTTTAACCCTTTGATATTCCAAACTTAGGTTTTTTGATCTAACATAATTAATAGTTTGAAATATCTAAGATCTACGACATTGGGTTGCCAAGATATAGGGATAAGAATATTTGAGTTTGTGGCAACAACTCAGTTCATTTGTTAAAATAAATTTTTGAATATATTGTGTTGCAAAAGAAAAAAGAAAAATATGCAAAATTATGCACAATTCACGCACCCCTGACCCATTAGTAAATTCAATCGAAAGTCTGACCGCGTCAACCTTGTAGCACCGGCTAGTCCTATTAAGTGTCTGCTTTATTTACCCAATGTCCGGGCGATACAGTACAAACTGGGACCGGAGTTGACCCTTGTACTACGGCTGCCCGTGAATTGGGCGACATTGATCATTACTCATTACAAAACATATTTGTCATTTCAGTTATTACGTAATCACTCAATACTTTAACATATGAATTTTACGCTCTTGTATATTTAAAAGTTCTTGTAAAACCGGACCTTGCCATGCATGGTCCAATGGAACATCAAAATATTCCATTTGTTTCTTAACTAACATTTTATTAAGATCAGAAAGATCATTTGCAATGGAAAATAAATTTCTGTCAAGAACTGTGTTACGGTCATTTTTGCATAAATCGCATTTTGCATTTTGCATAAAGAAATCTAATGCAACGCTTAGAACTTGCTTCAATAGTCTCATAGAAAAACACACAACTACTAACTAACATAGCTTTTAGATGTAAACATTGTGAAATACTTTCAATCAAGTACCTATGCGTATCTCTAGGTACATTAAAAATAATTCTAATAGCAGTATTTCATGCTGTATACAATTTTAAAAATTCTGAACTCAAGTCCTCTACACTAGATCCATTAAAAACTACAACAATAAATATTATACAGTTTCAAAATTTTTACAATTTAACAATTTTTTTTCGATTTTTTTTTATCGATTTTGATGGTTATCATATCGTTAGAACTGACGAGGGTCTACCCAGACCGAAATATATTTTTAATAAATGTGGAACTAATATCTACTTTTTTACTCTACAGAGGTTTGGTCCATCACCATCACCGAATTTTAAATGTATATCAAAGATACGTAAAAATTTTATCAATAATGTTTATTGTACATTGTACATGGAAAATCTTTTACCAAAACGTCTATTTATCTATTTGCATAATCACCCTGTTTTCCGCAACTATATAAAAGATAGATACAAATTGGAAAAAGCGTTTTAAAACATAAAAATTTTAAAAACTTTTGCCAAGACGTGGATTGTTTAAAAAACCGCAACAGATTTATTTTATTCTTTTGGTACTTTTTATAACAGGTTAATGTTCCTCCAGGGACACTGTGTCACTGTGTGATAATGCGAATACACCCTGTTTTCCTGTCTTGAACATATTTCCAAGTTTAAAAGAAGTTGAGTCATTGTCACAAACTCAAATTTTCAAATCACTATATCTTTGCAACCCAATGTCGTAGACCTTCGATATTTAAAACTTTAAATTCTGTAACAATAAATAATCTAAGTTTGAAATTTCAAAGGTTTAAACCTACAGGGGTGGCGAAGATATAGGAATTTAAAAATTTGAGTTTGTTGCAAAAATTCAATTCCTTTGTTAGTGGAGAACCTGATCTCGTTCCATGGAAAAACTTCTCCTGAATCATCTAAAGGAACAACAAGGGTATCATCATCCTCGGGATGAATGGGTTCACCGTCAGCTTCAACAGGAATTAAAGAAGTTGACCCTTCACAGTCTTAAAAATAAATTATTCTTTAATATCTTCATTTCAGAGGGTCAAAACACACACCATTCACGCAAAGAGAGGGTTAACACACACACCATTCACGCAAAGAGAGGGTTAACACACACACCATTCACGCAAAGGAACAAAATTTTTTAATCCCAATAAATGTTTAACCCAATGATGTACGTATAAACATGTATGCACATTTTAAATTATTTGATCTATAATTTGAAATATCTGATATTGGGTTGCAAAGATATAGGAATTAGAAAATAAGAGTTAGTGGTAAAGACTCAAGCTCTACATGCCCACTTAACAACAGTAAATACGTATTTTTAATCATTTTTCTCTCTTCTATTTTCTTTTTTTCTCAGCAGTATAAAACTGCAATTCTCTTTTCACTAAGACATCTCCGAAAATGATTAATTTTGACTATGAAAAATGTGCCAAAAGGCATTTGATCATTTGGCATTTGATATTTCAATAATTTTGCAAAATAATTGAGCTTTCTGGGCTTTCTTAAGTTTGCAGAGTAAATGTAACAAATATTAAAATCGTGTTGAAAAAAATCGATTATTTTTAACCTATCTGAGTATTTTTAGCCTATCTGAGAATTTTTAGCCTATCTGAGTATGTTTAGCCTATCTGAGTATTTTTAGCCTATCTGAGTATTTTTTGCATATCTGAGTATGTTTAGCCTATTTAAGTATTTTTAGCCTATCTGAGTATTTTTAGCCTATCTGAGTATTTTACCCTATCTGAGAATTTTTAGCCTATCTGAGTATGTTTAGCCTATCTGAGTATGTTTAGCCTATCTGAGTATGTTTAGCCTATCTGAGTAATTTTAGCCTATCGGAGTATTTTTAGCCTATATGAGTATGTTTAGCCTATCTGAGTATGTTTAGCCTATCTGAGTAATTTTAGCCTATCTGAGTATTTTTTGCCTATCTGAGTATGTTTAGCCTATCTGAGTATTTTTAGCCTATCTGAGTTTGTTTAGCCTATCTGAGTATTTTTAGCCTATCTTAGTATCTTAGCCTATCTGAGTATGTTTAGCCTATCTGAGTATGTTTAGCCTATCTGAGTATTTTTAGCATATCTGAGTATGTTTAGCCTATCTGAGTATTTTTAGCCTATCTGAGTATGTTTAGCCTATCTGAGTATTTTTAGCCTATCTCAGTATGTTTAGCCTATCTGAGTATTTTTAGCCTATATAATTATTTTTAGCCTATCTGAGTATTTTTAGCCTATCTGAGTATTTTTAGCCTATCTGAGTATGTTTAGCCTATCTGAGTATTTTTAGCCTATCTGAGTATGTTTAGCCTATCTGAGTATTTTTAGCCTATCTGAGTATTTTTAGCCTATCTAGTCTGAGTAATTTTAGCCTATCTAATTATGTTTAGCCTATCTGAGTATTTTTAACCTATCTGAGTATTTTTAGCCTATCTGAGTATTTTTAGCCTATCTAAGTAATTTTAGCCTATCTAAGTAATTTTAGCCTATCTAAGTAATTTTAGCCTATCTGAGCATTTTTAGCCTATCTGAGTAATTTTAGCCTTTTCTGAGTATTTTTAGCCTATCTGAGTATGTTTAGCCTATCTGAGTATTTTTAGCCTATCTGAGTATTTTTAGCCTATCTAATCTGAGTAATTTTAGCCTATATAATTATTTTTAGCCTATCTGAGTATTTTTAGCCTGAGTATTTTTAGCCTATCTAATCTGAGTAATTTTAGCCTATATAATTATTTTTAGCCTATCTGAGTATTTTTAGCCTATCTGAGTATTTTTAGTCTATCTAAGTAATTTTAGCCTTTCTGAGTATGATTAGCCTATCTGAGTATTTTTAGCTAATCTGAGTATTTTTAGCCTATCTAATCTGTGTAATTTTAGCCTATCTAATTATTTTTAGCCTATCTGAGTATTTTTAGCCTTTCTGAGTATTTTTAGCCTATCTGAGCATGTTTAGCCTATCTGAGCATGTTTAGTCTATCTGAGCATTTTTAGCCTATCTGAGTAGTTGTACCCTATCTGAGCATGTTTAGCCTATCTGAGTATTTTTAGCCTATCTGAGCATTTTCAGCCTATCTGAGTATGTTTAGCCTATCTGAGTATTTTTAGCCTATCTGAGTATCTTTAGCCTATCTAAGTAATTTTAGCCTATCTGAGCATTTTTAGCCTATCTGAATATTTTTAGCCTATCTGAGTATTTTTAACCTATCTGAGTATTTTTAGCCTATCTGAGTATGTTTAGCCTATCTGAGTATGTTTAGCCTATCTGAGTTTTTTTAGCCTATCTGAGTATTTTTAGCCTATCTGAGTATTTTTAGCCTATCTGAGTATTTTTAGTCTATCTGAGATTGTTGAAATAAAAACATTTATAGCTTCCAAGTTTTCATTTGTCACAAAATTCACTTTTTCTAATTATCACTAAAAAATTCACAATATTCACAATAATCATCGATTTTGCTAAATAAATCAGCCAACTGCGGTTAATTTATCAGCTAACTGTAGTTTGTACAGAGTTAGGTGATAAATATATTTGTTGTGACTTGAGACCTGGAAATATGTTTATTAAGATCAGTGTATAATACAGGAGCTGTGTTCCTCCTCCCATCTCAGCTTGCACTGATCATTCAAATAATTAAAATCAAAACAAAACTTCAAGTCAGAAACTTTGTATTGTGAATCTCGGAATCAAGCCTGTAAGGGAGTGTTCGCGAAAAATGAAAGGGGGTATAGGCTAACGTCGAATCAAATTCGATGGTGATCGTTACTAATCTGATTTCTATATGTTGCGCCTATAAAGAGGAAACGACTCATACCGAAGAACGTAGCGTGCATTCATTCCCATTCCAAAGGTTGCATTATATCGTAAATAATTCAATTAAATTTAAAATTAATCATTCAGGTATTACATCATCATTCAATTCGATGCATTCCTAAGTACTTAAATATTTATTTATATTTTTATTTTTTGTATATACATTACAATGTACTTTAAACGACGATGTGTCTCTGCTCTCGATGCTTCAGAGGTTCTACGTGGGAGAGTGGCACCTAGCGACACCTAGCGACCAAAAAAATCATTGTTTAAACTATATGTATATAAAACAAATAAAACTATTATAAAACATGAACTATATATGAATGCATGGAAATAAATTGAATTATAATATCTGAATTATTTACAATCTGAGTGAAATATTCCAACGCAGCAGATAGAAGTAAGATTATTAGCGATCACCATCGAATTTGATTCGACGTTAGCCTATATCCCCTTTCATGTTTGCGAACACTCCCTTTAATCTCCATCTCAAGCAGGGTGTTATTAATAAATTTTTATTTTTCATTTCGTTAAGAGATACAGGGTGTCCCAAAAAACATGGGAATTCAATGACGAATTGGATATAGTCTTTGTTATGAATTAGCATTGTAATACCTAATTTCAAAAGCCATAATACTATTATGTCTGCTAGAGTATATTTTATGAAAAGGGTAAAAGACTGTAAAGATGTGTCTATAATGTCTCCTACAAATTTTACAAAAATATATCAAAATTTTCAAAACTGAACATTTTCGAAACTATTTCAAAATAATTAAGAAAAGAATTTCTTAAAATTTAAGTTTTCCTTAAAAATTCATCCACTCAATTTAGAATTCTTAAACCACTCTAAGAACGTTCCCGTGGTTCTGCTGAGATCCCAAATCAGTTTGAGGCAATTAAATCGGTCTAGGGGTTCATGAGCTGTTATCGAACATCTAAACGAATGGCAGATACAAAAACAAAGAATTTCCGTAAATTCCTCATAAACTTGGTTCTTCATTATGTGTCGAGCAAAACTCTATCAAAAACCAAAATTACTATATTATCTTTTTAATCAAAATTGTAATATAATGGAGACCTTTTAGAATTTAAAAAAGATTTTTTTATGATAATGCAAGGTGTTTTTCTATTTTCAAACATTTTACAAAGGAATTCATTTTTTACCACAAACTCTGATTATCTTTGTGATTTAATGGTTTGAACTTTACCTCTAATGGAGTTCTGGTTTGAAATCTACCTCAAATGGAGTTCTTATTTGAACTCTACCTCTAATGGAAGTTCTGGATTTACTCTAATGCAGTTTTAGTTTGAATTCTTCCTCTTTAGAAGTTCTGGTATGAATTCTACCTCTAATGGAGTTTCGGGGGAACTCTATCTCTAATGGAGTTCTGGTTTGAACTTTACCTCTAATGGAGTTCTGGTTTGAACTCTACCTCTAATGGAGTTCTGGTTTGAACTCTACCTCTAATGGAGTTCTGTTTTGTACTCTACCTCTAATGGAGTTCTGTTTTGTACTCTACCTCTAATGGAGTTCTGGTTTGAACTCTACCTCTAATGGAGTTCTGATTTGTAATCTACCTCTAATGGAGTTCTTGTTTGTACTCTACTTTTAATGGAGTTCTGGTTTGTACTCTACCTTTAATGGAGTTCTGGTTTGTTCTCTACCTCTAATGGAGTTCTTGTTTGCACCCTACCTTTAATGGAGTTCTGGTTTGTACTCTACCTCTAATAGAGTTCTGGTTTGAACTCTACCTCTAATGGAGTTCTGGTTTGTGCTCTACCTCTAATGGAGTTCTTGTTTGTACTCTACCTTTAATGGAGTTCTGGTTTGTACTCTACCTCTAATGGAGTTCTGGTTTGTACTCTACCTCTAATGGAGTTCTTGTTTGTACTCTACCTCTAATAGAGTTCTGATTTGAAATCTATCTCTAATGGAGTTCTGGTTTGTATACTCCACCTCTAATGGAGTTCTGGTTTGAACTCTACCTCTAATGGAGTTCTGATTTGAACTCTACCTCTAATAATGGAGTTCTGGTTTGTACTCTACCTCTAATGGAGTTCTGGTTTGAACTCTACCTCTAATGGAGTTCTGGTTTGTACTCTACCTCTAATGGAGTTCTTGTTTGAACTCTAACTCTAATGGAGTTATGGTTTGAACTCTACCTCTAATGGAGTTCTGGTTTGTACTCTACCTCTAATGGAGTTCTGGTTAGATGATAAATGAAGTTTATAAGAATTGGAAGACCTGGAGAATGTTGAATGCCAACCATCTTTTTCCTTGTCAATAAATGAACTTGATATAGACAGATATTTGCAGAATTATGTATCTAGTTACAAGGTTATTCAGTCTTATACGAGGTAGGGGGGAGGGGGGGGGTAGTCCACGAGGTTATAGTGTATAGAGTGATGAGCACACAGGTAGAGAACTATCATCCCCCTTGGGTTAGTCTGATATTCGGTATTAACGAGTTTTAACTTCATATCCCTTGTTCAAAACTGAAATTGTGTACACTGTACAGTCAAAAATCTTTTTGGTAAAATCCTTAAAAAAAATTGTAATGTTAAGAAGGGACGACATTAAAGGAACTATAAATCTAATTTTAAGTTTCCCTTCATTCAAAGATGGTAATGTCCGATTTACATCGCTCTTTATAAGCTTTATCTGATCATGCATGAAATAGATATCAATGTTTTTACTTCCTTAAACTGTTTATATTCTTTTGAAGTTTTTCAGTAGAAGTGGCATTTTCTTGTTATAAGCAGCAATGTTTAACATACAGTTAAGAATTCTCAACCTGTCATACAACTATATGTTGCGTTGCCGAGAAAATGAATATATTTATATATATTTTAAAACGAAAACCAGTATGGCAGGCTGGAAAATTGCTTTCAAATTGAAAAAATGTGGAAAATATTAAATAAAACAAAATATTATTTACTTTTTGGTTTCTACATCATTCTAGTTGATATTTTTTATTCAGACTTTCACATTTTTTTGGAGTATTTCTTAAATAATGATTTATAAATGATGTTGTTTTTCTTACACAAAATTTGTTATTTCTGATAAATACAAATTTGGAAAATAGTTTTCCTCTCTTTTCTACCCAAGCAATATTATTTTGTGTTTATTTCTGAAGAAATTATGATTTGTTAGATAACTCAGACAGATTTTTAAACGTAATTTATTTTCATATTTAGTGTTGTTATTTATTTTGTTGTATTCTCCTATTCTTTTTATAGGTTGTATTCTCCTGTTCTCTATCTAGATTGGATTCTCCTGTTTTCTCTCTAGGTTGTTTTCTCCTGTTCTCTCTGTTCTCTTTCTAGGTTGGATTCAACTGTTATCTCTCTGGGATGTATTCTCCTGTTTTCTCTCTATAGGTTGCATTCTCCTGTTCTCTCTCTAGGTAGGATTCACCTGTTTTCTCTGTAGGTTGATAACCTTCTGTTCTCTTCCTAGGTTGGATTCTGCTGTTCTCTCTATAGGATGTATTCTCCTGTTCTACCTCTATGTTGTATTCTCCAGTTCTTTTTCTAGGTTGTATTATCATATTCTACCTCTATGTTGTATTCTCCTGTTCTTTTTCTAGGTTGTATTATCCTGATCTCTCTTTTGGTTGTATTCTCCTGTTCTTTCTATAGGTTATATTCTCAAGTTCTAATTCCAGGTTGAATTCTCCTGTTCTCTCTCTAAGTTGGATTCTCCTTTACTCTCCTCTTGGACGAATTCTACTGTTCTCTCTCTAGGTTGGATTCTTCTGTTCTCTGTCTAGATTGGATTCTCCTGTTTTCTCTCTAGGTTGAATTCTCCTGTTCTCTCTGTAGGTTAATAATCTTCTGTTCTCGTTCTAAGTTGGATTCTGCTGTTTTCTCTTTAGGATGTATTCTCCTGTTCTCTCTCTAGGTTGCATTATCCTGTTCTCTCTCTAGGTTGGATTCTCCTGTCCTACCTCTAGGTTGGATTCTCCTGTTCTCTTTCTGGGTTGTATCTCCTGTTCTCTAGGTTATATATTTTTCTGATTTATCTCTAGGTTGTATTCTCTCTCGATCTATGGATTTGAATTTCCTCTGGGTTGTATTCTCCGGCCTGCTCTATATCAACCCAGAGAGAAATCCCATTTTCTCCGCCACAGTCTTTCTGCTCTTCCCTAGATGTTCACACACACATTTTTTTTGCTTTTTCACGGAGATTTAGAACTCAAGACGCTTCGTGCCTATTTATAAGCTCCTTTTCTGTACCGAGTATTATTACATTTTTAATATAAGTAAAAGCTTAAGTTTGGGGGGGGGGGGACAAGAAGGGATAGTTCTAAAAAATAAATTTGGTACACATATTTTATAAGCCACCCTGTTTTATTATTACGACCAAAATCAGTTACAAAAATAGGTAAACAGCATATTTGTATTTTCGAAATTTATGTTTTGGGTTTGTCAAACAATATATCAAGAGTTCTAAATTTCTCTGAACATGTTCGAGTTTCGACTAATATACAAAAAAGGAAATCTTGAATACAATTTACAGTAACCTTAAGACCTTTCCTTAAAGATTGTGACTTAATCTATCATTTCTAGTTCTTTCTTTTTTCTCAAGAGTGAATCTTGAAGTAGATTGGTCATCAGATCAAGATTATCTTAAAAATACGTTTTTTTATATTTTTTAATTATTAGATTTTCCTGCTAAATTTTTAAAAATTGATTAATACAAAGGAAATGAGTCTTGGCCACAAACTCTGATATTGTAATCCCTATATCTTTAAACCCAATGTCGTAGACCTTAAATATTTCAAACTATAAACTATGTTAGATCAAATATTCTTAGTTTTAAATATAAAAAGTTTACATCATTAGGTTACAAAGGTTCTAAAATTTGAGCAGCTTGTGGTGAAAACACGATTTCTGTAAAGATAAAATCACTTTTGGAATTTCTTGAAAATGTAGTTTTTTACATTCCGATCGTCTTTTGAAATGAAAATTTGCGAATTTTTCCAAGGAAAACTTCGCAAAGCTTAATCTTTTTCATCTAAAGTCCAGCAATCGAAATAAAGGAGCTGAATCCTTGCCTCAAATTCTAATTTACTTTTCTTATGTCTTTGCAGCCTGATATTTATAATTTTAAATTCTGATAGATCACTAAGTTGTGGTTTTAACAATTTATGGATATTGGAAAACTTAAGATTTGTTGAAAGTATTCTGTTCCTCTGTAGAGCGATGAAACAAGGATTTGTACGAATTATCTGTTTTAACTCTAACAACTTTTTTAAGAAATCCACAATTCTCTAATTTTCTTTGCAACCTAGTGTCGTAGACCTTTGATATTTCAAACCGTGAGTACAATTTGTACACTTTGTACAAAAATTGTAAACAATAATATTTAGACAATAATAAATATAAATATTTTCAGATTAATTCTTATCTAGAGATACAGCCATGAAGGTTGAAGGTTAGTTATTTTTTTTTGTACCATTTTCAGGAACAAAATTAAAACAAATGTATAATATATAATTGACGAAGAGAAATATCTATTTTATTAAAAGAAGTGTCGAACTAATTCTAAGGTTGAAGGTTAGTTCTTTTTTTGTACCATTTTTAGGAATAAAATTAAAACAAATGTATTATATATAATTGACGAAGAGAAATATCTATTTTATTAAAAGAAGTGTCGAACTAATTCTAAGGTTGAAGGTTAGTTCTTTTTTTGTACCATTTTCAGGAACAAAATTAAAACAAATGTATAATATATAATTGACGAAGAGAAATATCTATTTTATTAAAAGAAGTGTCGAACTAACTATAAGTTACACTCAACTGAAAGAGGTAAATACCCGATTCACCCTGGTACCGTTTACTTAGAATATATATCTTAGTAATAATTTTAAATATATACGGACTTTTCCCCATTTTGAAAATACATTTTTTATATCTTTACTTGATTCTGCTGCACAATGCCGCAAATCAATTTGATAAAAATACTCTGAAATGGGAAAACAAAGTAAAGAACTGAGTTTTTGCCACAAACTCAAATTGTCTGATCCATATATCTTTGCAACCTGACAACTTTGCAACCTGACAACTTTGCAACTTTGCAACTTTGATATTTTATAGTTTTGCATATCAAAGGTTGCAAAGATGTAGTGATTAGAAAATCTGAGTTTGTGGCAAAAACTCAAAGTCTTTTGCTTCGAAAAATGTTTATAGGGTACCGGCCGTTGCTACTCAGGCATATACTATACCTTTACTAATGAAAGCTCCCTTTGTTCTGGATTTATGTTTTATATAATGTAGACGTTTTTTGTGTATTTTATAGATCATTAAAGTCTTCATAATTTGTTTTCAACATGCACATAATGAGCAGAATGATAATGGGAAGACACTTTTATATGTTGCTAGTTGAAGTACAATTTAGCCATTAGAAAATAAGGAAACGATTATTCAACAAAAACATTTTAATATCATGGAACATTCCTATTATTTAAAAATTTCTTTTATTAAATAAAGGAACTGAATATTTGCCACAAACACACATTTTCCAATCTCTATATCTTTGCAATCTGAAGATGTAAACCTTTGATATTTTAAACTTTGACTATTTTATCTAACATAACTTATAGTTTGAAATTGAAATATCTAAGGTCTGCGACATTGGGTTACAGATATATAGGGATTTGAAAATCAGAGTTTGTGGAAAAGATTTAATTCCTTTCTTAATTTTATCCATAAAAAGTTATCTAATGAAAAATTTAAGTTGTTTTTCTTTTTCATTAAGGAATAATAGAAAATGTAATTTTCTTTTTCATATTTTTAATTTTGTTCAATGCTGACTCAGGTCTCTTCACATTATTATACAATATATTAAGATGAGAAATTGTATAATTCTGTTATGTTATGACGGTCTTAATTCAATGAGAATTGTTGTATCCATATATATATCCACATTATGTTTTGTATCCACATTATACATCCACATTATGTTTTGTATCCACATATACATCTACCTTATGTTTTGTATCCACATATATACATCCACATTATGTTTTGTATCCACAGTATACATCCACATTATGTTTTATACATCCACATTATGTTTTGTATCCACATACACATCCACATTATGTTTTGTATCCACATACACATCTACATTATGTTTTGTATCCACATATATACATCCACATTATGTTTTTTATCCACATATACATCCACATTATGTTTTGTATCCACATACACATCCACATTATGTTTTGTATCCACATACACATCTACATTATGTTTTGTATCCGCATATACATCTACATTATGTTTTGTATCCACAGTATACATCCACATTATGTTTTGTATCCACATATACATCCAAATTATGTTTTGTATCCACATATACAACTACATTATGTTTTGTATCCACATATACATCCACATTATGTTTTGTATCCACATATACATCCACATTATGTTTTGTATCCACATTATACATCCACATTTTGTTTTGTATCCACATATACATCCACATTATGTTTTGTATTCACATATACATCCACATTATGTTTTGTATTCACATATATACATCCACATTTTGTTTTGTATCCACATATACATCCACATTATGTTTTGTATTCACATATACATCCACATTATGTTTTGTATTCACATATACATCCACATTATGTTTTGTATCCACATATACATCTATATTATGTTTTGTATCCACATATACATCCTCATTATGTTTTGTATCCACATATACATCCTCATTATGTTTTTCATCTTGTTTTGCCTTAGAATAAGGATTCTATCTTTAATTTAATTAGAGCAGAATTGACTTAATCCGATAATTAATCCATGTAGAACTAACGTCTAAAAGACATTGTGATATTAATTTCATTATGATCAGATAGTAATTAGGCTTCTGAGAGAGGGCAACATGATTTTTTTCCTTTTTTTCGGAGAGAGTTGTACTTCAAACAATCCATATTTGAAAGAGAATAACCAACCATTCATGCAAAGTTGTAAAAGGAATTTGGATTTTTCGTATTTTTTTCAGAACAGAATATATTTTTAAACTTTTTTACAGATTACTATTTTACAAAACATATCCTGCAACATAAAACCTTTTGTATTTTACAAAACATATCTTGCGACATAAAACCTTTTTAAAGATTAGTATTTTACAAAACATATACTGCAACATAAAACCTTTTTACAGATTAGTATTTTACAAAACATATCCTGCAACATAAAACCTTTTTACAGATTAGTATTTTACAAAACATATCCTGTAACATAAAACCTTTTTACAGATTAGTATTTTACAAAACATATCCTGCAACACAAAACCTTTTTACAGATTAGTATACAAAACATATACTGCAACACAAAACCTTTTTACAGATTAGTATATACTGCAACACAAAACCTTTTTACAGATTAGTATTTTACAAAACATATTCTGCAACACAAAACCTTTTTACAGATTAGTATACAAAACATATACTGCAACACAAAACCTTTTTACAGATTAGTATTTTACAAAACATATTCTGCAACACAAAACCTTTTTACAGATTAGTATTTTACAAAGCATATCCTGCAACATAAAACCTTTTTATAGATTAGTATTTTACATGTTTAGAGCGTATGTACATAACCTAATTATATATGTACATGTTTAGAGCGTATGTACATGACCCATCCTCAAGCTAACCTCTCGGAGTCCCCACTCTACACTGTCATCGATAACGAAACATTTTGTCTGGACTTCACCCTCAGGTACTTCATTGAATATACTTTGAATTTGTTAATTAAAGGAGGGGTGGCTGCTCTCAGGGTTTTTGAATTGCTCCCACTAGGGTATTTGAGTTGCTCCCGGGATTTTGGAGTCGCTCCCATGGGTTGGAGTAAAATGTGATAATTTATCCAACCTGTTATGAAAAGTCCTTTTGAAAGGGTACTTAAAGCCCAAAAAAAGAAAAAAGGGCGCTGGTACCCCTTTTTACTGTCTTTGTTCATATATTAGCAGGGAAAAATATCGCAAATATCAGTGCAAGTAGCCAGTGGCGATCATACAGTATTCTCAACATATTTAGTTATCTTATTTTAAATTTTTTTTGCAGAAAAAATCCAATTTTTCGCCTAGGAAAATTTTTAATTGATTGTCGCCATTCAAAAATGCATTTCTACTCAACAGTCACACGCTAAAAGTTGTTCTATGTCAAATCTAGAGCCTTTATATGGCCCGAACTTTACCAAAAACCATTAAATTATTGAGATATCTAAGGAAAACTGTGTTTTTTCTTATTTGATTTGTGATTTGCTTGATATCAAACAGTACCTTTTGAACATTTGCCTTTACAAAAATAAAATTGTTTAATTTTTCCAAAATGGCTGCTCAGACAACGTTTTTCAGGGTACTGTTGTAAATCGTGCATGCAAATCTATCTAACTTGACGATCACTTGCAATTACGTGCATAGTCCCTTGAAGATTCTAAAAAAGCTGGATTTTTGTAAAAAAAAATATTAATTTAGGGCGTATATTCACTGTTTCTTCCCTGTCCTTGGCGACCTACCTAACAGGTATAGAATACGATAATGCAAATCGTGAGACCAATACAGACTAATTTAAAAAGTTAAAAAAGTTTAAGACTGGATGGATTTAAAGTATTTGATTTTTGAAAAGCACATTTAAAGAATTGTTGTCTTTTAAATAATTTGTGTTCTATTGCACTAAAACTTTTCCGAAAAAGAGATCCTGAGATAGATACTTTATTGTTAAAAAAATACTGGTTTTCCGACAACTGAGAGATCTATAACAATGTGTTATAATGGGGAAAAGTTTACACAATTAATAAAGAAAAGAAATAAGAAAAACATAATTTTTTGTTAACTAAATTTATTATTTCTTTTTAGAACTTGGGATAATGGATACGAGTATTGTCTCAACTCTGATCTTGAAGCTTTTGTCATCTGCGATCCTATCAAACCTCCAGTTTATAAGGTACAATTCTGTTATTTTATAAACTTGGCTCCATTATCTATAAGGTACAATTCTATTATCTTATAAACGTGGCTCCATTATCTATGAGGTACAATTCTATTATCTTATCACCTTGGCTCCATTATCAATAAGGTACAATTCTATTATCTTCTATCCTTGGCTCCACTATCTATGAGGTACAATTCTATTATCTTCCATCCTTGGCTCCACTATCTATGAGGTATAATTCTATTATCTTACATCCTTGGCTCCATTATCTATTATCCTAGGTTCCATTATCTATTATCCTAGGCTAAATTATCCATTATCTTAGGCTCCATTATCTATTATTCTAGTTTATATTATATATTCTCCTGGTTCCATTATCTATTATTCTAGGATTCATTATCTATTATCCTGGGATCCATTATCTATTATCCTAGATTCCATTATCTATTATCCTAGGTTCAATTATCCATTATCCCAGGCTCCATTATCTATTATCCTAGGTTCTATTATCTATTCTCATAGGTTCCACTATCTATTATCCTAGTTCTCGTTATCTATTATCCTAGTTTCCGTTATCTATTATCCTAGTTTTCATTATCTATTATCCTAAGTTATATTTTCTATTCTCCTAGGTTTCCTTATATATTATCCTGGTTCTATTATTACTATCCTAGGTTCCATTATCTATTAACCTAAGTTCTATTGTCTATTCTCCTAGGTTCCATTATATATTATCCTAGGTTCCATTATCTATCATCCTGGTTCTGTCTCTATGCTACGGCGCGATTTCTCTTCTCTCAATCCTCGGGAATACCTTCATTATCTACGTGATCGTCATATCAAGGAGAATGCAGGTATCATCATCATTATTGTAATAATTTAACAATTTTGGGTCATTGTAAATCGTGTAATGAAACTTAAAGGGCTTTGACTGAACTTCGTCAAAAAGCATTTGTGGCTTCTTTGAAGCCCTTTAATATGCCTGAACCTAAAATTCTTTAATCCTTTAAAGAAAATCTCTTATCCTGAAAATCAAAGGAATTGGATCACATAATTTAATCGAAGAAAGAAACCATTATACATCTAGACATCTTTTACACAATACAAAATTGAAATCTCTGTTTGCCTGTCTGTCTGTTTGCTTGTCCGATCTTAACCCGGGAAACTTTTGACCGATTTGTCTCAAACTTTGAACTCGTGAGACCCACGGGAATATTTTTAGCTTGGTTTTGAGGATCTAAGTTGAGTAGCTCGACTTTAATCGCGAAACTCTTTTATCCTCGTAAAATCGTTTCCGTGCTGGTAACTTTTAGTAACCTTGGCAGCGCTGGGTTCCCAAGCTAGTTCACTTGTAAAACGCGACTTTTCACTTTGGCACTAACGCTTTTTAATGTCAGGTTCACCAATAAATTCATAAACAACCCCTTTACATCAAAATACCTGTTGCAGACGGTGACAAACATGTACATTGCTAACCTTGCTTTTGCTGACGTTATCCTTGCAGTTTTCTGTATTCCATTCCAGGTAGATTACTGGTCACTAGTCAGTACTTTATTTTTCTTCCTCAGTATGACAAAATCATTTAAAGTTGGTGAAACTCAGAACAGCAGGAGGGGAAATAAGCTCGGTTTTTGAACTCAAATTTTCTAATCTCTATTCCCTATATTTTTGTAACCGGCCAATCTTGGTTAAAACCTTTTATTTTTCAAACTTATATTATCTGATTGCAAAGATTAAAAAATTTGAGTTTTTGTTAAAAACTCATTTCCTTTGAAAGCCAACTTTTTTAGCCTTTCGAATAGGCAGTATTACATCATAAAACTTGTTTTGAATTTCATTCAGTTTTGATTGCACCAGATCTCATTTTTTATAAAGTCGGAAATTCACGAAAAATCGAATGTAAGCATAAAATTAGCAAATTTGATTTTTATATCGATTTTAACACATTAATTGATTTTCATGCTTTGTTCTGTACATAGTTATATTGCGTATAATTATATTAAATATTATGTACAGAAACATAAAAAAAGATTTAAACTATGGCACATTCGATCCTCATGCCTTCATTTTTCTTAATTTGTAAGATTCTGTTGTAGTTCCGAGCAGCGTTGGTCCAAAGATGGGATCTACCGGAGTTCATGTGCAAATTCTGCCCCCTAGTTCAGATCGTATCGGTAAGTTAAAACCCTAAAAAGCGATTTCTGATCAGTATTTTAATGATTATAATTTTTAAAAACTGATTATTTTATCATTTTGTGGTTTCTTGGCCAACGTCCAACACTTTTAACATGTTTTTAATCCTGTCTTTAATTGGTTAAAGTTTTAAGATTCAGCCATGGCTTATAATAAGTTTCAACAATTTTTAAGACAAGGTCGACTTTGGAATGCCGAAATGCTTTGGATTTTGATTTTACGGCTCAAACTTTAAATACTATATAGCAAAAGCACTTGTTGTTAGCTTTGGTTTTTAAGAAGTAATTGGCAAAATTCTCATCGATTTATGCATGAGATTTTGCAACCTTTAAATCACAGTGCGACTACTGAGAGGCGTCGAAATATAACACAGAAATTAAATAGGTTTGGAATTTTCATTATCTCTTGAATTTAAAAGTTTTCAAATTCAAAATTCCCGTTCTAAATTGAAAGAGTCATCAACTTCTTCAATTCAATTTTGCATGCATCTATCTGAAGTTGGAACTTTCTTCTTTTCTAGCAAACTGAATCAATCTTTTCAAGCTTATAGAAAAATAAAACATTTTTCTTTTATTTTTTAAACCTTCTGTTTTTGCACACAATATTTTTAAACCATGGCGCACTTTTTTGCCGAGTCATAGCGTTTAAAAAATATTAACTTAAAGAGAAATCATTTCTTGCAGTAACTTTATTTTTCTTATAAAATATGCTAAACTATTCATTTTTAAAGTAAAGTTTGAAACTGCAAACTTTTTTCATCAAATATATTTTTTTTAAAGGGATAGTTTAGTCTTTTGAAAATACATATAAGAATTGAATTTGGTTTATAGAGGAACACACACATGTTAATCATCAAAGACGACATCCATATCAAACACTATTCCCGGGTTTTCCAGGGCGTTTTGTTTTGATATGAAATTCTGATCTTTCTAACTTCTACAAGACACCTTAAAGCTGGAAAATAGGCTAATTCTCAAAATTTACGAATAATGTGTATAAAATAATAGGCCAAAAATCCCCTATATACATTCGAACATTTCAGGAAAATAAGAAAATGTCGTCTTCATTATCAAAAATCCAGGAATTAATGTTTTCCAAAGTAACTCTCAGATCATAAAAAAAAAGTTATGAAATATCAACTATATCCTCTAGCTATATATATACCTGGACCCTGGTTGCTATCTGCTTGGATAGACATAAAGCCATCATCTATCCTCTAGCTACTAAACAAACAAAGTCAAATGCAAGGTTGGTTAGATTTATATATAATCAATAAATTAAATTTATCTTTATAGTATTAGGTTCTTAATAGCAATACCTATCTTAATAAACAATAGGAAATGTTCTAGATTTATTTGAAGAATATGTAATATTTATATGTATAAATATTTTCCTTTTGTTTGTCTGCGTGTTTGTATTTAAAAGTGAAAATGGCTAAACCAATAAGGCCCAATTGTGTAAAGTAACTCTCATGACGTTTGGACAGGTCTATGGTCGCTTGCAACTGAAATTAAGGAATGTTGCATATTAATATTTTTTGTTTGTTATATGCAAACGCTAAGATATTACCCAAAGATGGAGGCGAAGCGCCCCTTTAACACAGTATTAATGAAAATAATAATAATAGTCATTCATGAATGATCATGCTAGTCATGGTAAGGATAATAAAGGATAAAGATAACAATGAAAATTATATGATCACTTTAGAATCATGAAAATGATAATTATAATAATAGCGATAATTAATATTAATAATAAAAAAATGAGTCCTTGGAATAAGTGTTTAAAATTCAGAATAAATATGTGTAAGTGTAAGTAAAGATATCACTAATATTCTACAAATAACTTTACCAAAATTTTCGTTATCTCAAAATAATTCTCCAATAAACACTTATTCCAAGGACTCATTTTTTTGTAATTCTAGGCTCGTCATACTTGGTATCTGGCTGATGGCTATTCTGACAGCTCTTCCTGTTGGGCCTGCTTACTCATTTGAGGAGGTCAGGTTCATGGAGGGGTCAGGTTCATGGAGGGTTTAGGTTGATGGAGGGGTCAGGTTCATGGAGAGGTCATGTTCATGGAGGGTTTAGGTTCATGAAGGAGTCCAGTTCATGGAGGGGTCAAGTTCATGGAGGGGTCAGGTTCATGGAGGGGTCAGGTTCATGGAGGGGTCAGGTTCATGGAGGGGTCAGGTTCAAGGAGGGGTCAGGTTCATGAAGGGGTCAGGTTCATGGAGGGGTCAGGTTCATGGAGGGGTCAGGTTCATGGAGGGGTCAGACTTATGGAGTGGTCAGATTTAAGGAGGGATCAGATTCATAGAAGGAAGGTTCAACTAGCTGGATAGGAGGGGTCATGTTTGTAGGAGGAATTAGATATTCTACTAATTACACCACTTATTAATTTTTCATTGTTGAATTCATATCAGTTCTTGTATTAGAATAAGAACTCTTACTTCATTTTTATTTAACAAAAGTCATTTCAAAAATATTTTCAACTTTTTGAAAAGTCAAAAAATTTCATCTAATCTTTATAACTATATAATAATTATTAAAAATTGATAAAATTAAAATTTTTCATGCATTCTTAAAATAATAAGCAGTAACAATCAAAATAAATCAAATAAAGTCTTACAGAGAAATTTGATTTCTAAAATCTGAAAACCCTCATCAATTGATTTCATCTTCTGATTTCTAAAATCTGAAAACCCTCATCAATTGATTTCATCTTCTGATTTCTAAAATCTGAAAACCCTCATCAATTGATTTCATCTTCTGATTTCATCTTCTGATTTCATTAATTGATTTCATCTTCTGATTTGCTGAAGAGATGTTTTATAAGATTTCTTTTTTTAGAGGAATAAAAGATTTTGAATGACCTCGGAAAATTTTGTATGAGTTTTAGTTTCAATTTTTATTTGGAGAACAAAATTGCACTTCTATAGATTCTAACAGGCATAAATTATAATCTATAAAAAATACCCCCCCTCCCCTCTTTTACCTCTTATTTGCGTCTTTATTTAAAGGGACTGACAGTATTACTTCAAGTGTCCTTCCATGCAAAGATGACAAAGCCCGATTTGCAACGGTACCCTTGAAATATTAATCTAATCAAAATGTGGAAAAAAAACGTCGTTTTTCTTACTCAAAAGTTCCTTCTCCGGTGCTTCTTTTGAACTAGGAATGCGCGAGTCCCTTTAATAGAGAAACCGCAAATGAAAGGAAACAGTTTAATTGGAAACAAAACTATTGATATCGTATCCATTCAATTGATTTGAAGAAGCTTTAAGGTTACCGTTGTCCATCGGGCATTGCCATCTTTGCATGTAGGATCCCTTTAAATTACGCTTACAGTCCCTTTAATATTGCTTATTACGCTTACAGTCTCTTTAATGTTGCTTATTACGCTTACAGTCCCTGTAATGTTGATTTGTAGGTTCTTGATCTTGAGAACGGTGGAATGAAGCCGTTCTGTGCTGTCCGTGGAAGCAGTATTGAAATAAACAAGTTCGGGAAAAATCTCACATTTTCCCTTTTCCAGGTATTTTTCTTGTCTATTTCTCAATAAACATTTATTTTCTTTAGTAAAGCAGGGAAATTGAATTTATTGCAATAAAGTTGCGAACCAAGGATCATCTGGCAGCGACCAATCTGTGTTACTCGTGAATGCCGCAATGAATTATAAGACAGAGAGAGACAGCCAGTTCTAGCAGCGGCTCTCGGCCCCTAGCCTGTCCTGGCCGCAGCGCGCGGTCCAGAAAGTGTCTAAACCTAACCTAACCCTAAAATATATACTTTAATCTCTTCTTATAATTTATTGCGGCATTCGCGAGTAACAGAGTTTGGCCGCTACCAATAAATCTTTTGTGAACATTTTAAAAAGAAACTGTCACCAAATTCGGCTTAATTAAGTTCTTTAAATTCGGCCTCTGATCACGTTGTACGACTACATGGTCGTCTTTACAACTTTAAACCACGTGGAATCGACATCCAGTCATTAATGATGTTTGTACCCTGGTGTACTGTGTACTGTACTATCCTGTTAACGTGTTTGTACCCAGGTGTACTGTACTTTCCTGGTGGTGATTGAGTACCTAATACCTTTGGGAATCTTAACAGCTGCGTACATTAATGTAGGACAGAAACTCTGGGGCGCTAAAACACCCGGACAGGTCAATTTGTCACTTATTTATTTTGGGTAATTGTTATGTTAAACGTGCCGTGGATCAAAATATGAATTTTGTTAAAAAAGTTGAAAATATATACCACTAATCTTAAAAATAATAGTTATGGCGAATTTTCATATCCTTTGAAAACCAAGAAAAACTATTTTTTACAGATTTTTTTTCACTACTTACATTTTTCCCTTTCCTTCCTTTTGTCACAAATAAGGTAACCCCTCCCTGAAGAGATGAAAAGAAAGTAGTGAAGTAAATATATTTTTTCTGCCAAGAAATGACGAATATTTTTGAAACTTAAAACAGATATCGAACTAAAGGTTCAACATTTAAAAGCATTTTTGTAGATTAATTAGAATAAGTCTGAAAACCGTGATCAGTCAAAGGTTTTCAAGGGAAGCGTTGTGAATTAGACATTACCATCTTTGCATGGAGAGTCACTTGAAATTACACCTACAGTCCCTTTAAGAGGGAAACCAGAGAACATATTTGAGATTCCGCACACTTCTTTAGGAAACATGATGACAATCTAATTTACTAACAATGATCTCAGAAACTAGAAGGAAATCTCATTGTCACCATACAATATAAACGTGATGCTACTTGATCACATTCACAAGTAAAAACATTTGAAATGTCATGGTTTAAAAAACTATTTTTACTAGGCTCATGTGGTGAGGGACGATAGGATTCTTAAAAACAAGAAGAAGGTAAAAAGATTATATAAATACATGAATATTCAAGAATTAAAAAAGTTTAAAAGAAACTTCACCTTTTCTACCTTTAAACAGCAATGATGTAAGATTTTTCATTTGTTCCATTCTATTTTTTCTAAATTCTAAACATTACTGAGATCATTGTTTAAATTTGAATTTCATTTTCACAACAAGAACTTTTAAAATCTATTCTTCAATACCTTTCCTCTATCTACTACTTTTCCTTTTCCTCCTTTTCCTTTAGTTCTAAATTGTTTTTGTTTTATTTTGTATTATTTAAATTGAACTTGTATGTATCGCTGAAGAAGGGCCTCTCATTCAAAACAACCAACAATGGTTAAAGAGATCCTGTCTAAATTAAAATGTAAAAATTGTGCAATTTAAATTGTTTTTAATTAAATATTTAGTCAAATATCTATCTATCTATCTATCTATCTAAGAATTTCTTTTTTTGAGTAAAAATAATTCAAATCGTTAGGGCCAATGAACTATTTTTCCTAAAAACCTATTTGTTTAAGGTGATCAAGATGTTGATTACGGTAGTTGTGGTATTTGCTGTCTGCTGGCTCCCATACCAATCATATTTCCTCATCAACATTATTCATCCTCCTGTCAACCAGTAAGTATTTAGGCCACTACAAACAAGGGCTTACAGCGAAAGAAAAGTTTCGCAAAATTTGGTCGGTATTTTGCAAATTTTTTTTATGAATATTTGAATTTTGCAAAAGGAAAAAAAACGATGCGGAATTTTATGAACAAATAAAAATATGCTAAAAATTCGGGAAACATTGAGAAAATTTTCACAAATTACGCGAAAAAATGCGAAATTTTCGGAAAACAAAAAATGAAAAATGAGAAAGAAATACAAAAAATTGCAAAATTTGTGCGAAACAATTTTCCCTACTGCAAACTAAACATTTAAGGTAAAATTCATGAGACGACTTTACAAGTACGACCTTTGCTCTATTTTTGATTGCACGCCCAAGTATGAGAAATGTAACTGTATCCGGTTAAATATTAGAAATTCAAGACATTTTTGCTCTTTTCAAGAGGTCTTAAATCAGATGAGTTATAATTGAAAACATATAACATATATATATACATGCGGCTACTATGCAGAACCCATAAACATCATGTTGCTTTTCGACATTCTTCATTTTGAAAAAAAAACACACCCATCAAATTCTGCAATTGGTATAAAAGAGCCCAAGCGCTGCGGCTAGGTTAGACATGACAAGTATAGAGCACAGAGAAATGAACATATAAAGTAAATGCAGCGTCGCGCGAGTGCATGATATAGAGTATATACCTGTTGAGCATGTGGCCATAGGGATTGTGACATAGCATCATTCAATCAATAATTAGAAGTAGATTAGGCGAATCACTCAGATTCCAGGGGAGAGAAAGTTCCTAATTACCTCTTTTTCTTACTTTCAATTAATACCAAGAGAGAACTTATTTATAAAACTTTTTATCTCTTCAAAAAAGCTAATTGCGGCTTATGTAGTGATCAGAAAATCTTTCTAAAGTCCTTGAAAAGTTTTGGATCAACGAATACTTAATCACCAGTTTATGCAATTAGTTTTTGGTGATACCCATCCCGGGCCCATGTACCAACCAACGAGGTTATAGTATATAGAGTGATGATGTATGCTAGTCCTTTACTAATTGTACAGGCCATGTACTTCACTTCCAAAGGTCAATTTGTATATTACAGTACCCGGGGGTGATTTCTGAAAATAATCAAATGGAGATTTGTTTTCCATGTAACTATTCAAATCCACTACTCCTTTATGGTATGCAGGATTACATTTTCACCGGAAGATGTACTATTACAATCTTTCACAGAGCAATATTTCCTCGTTAATAAACGGTTCTGAGAAAACTGAGTAAAATTTAAGATACAAAACCTCCCCATACACTTGTACTCCGAGAGCGTACTGCATATTTGAGGTTTGTACTGTATTGGATACCTTTAATCTTGATTTCTAAATCTCTTTATCCACTGTCGACTTCACACTTCTGATTTTATGCTTAATCCTTTCTTTTGGATTTTCCTGCTGGATTCCAACCAATGAGAGTTCTCTCAATGATTACGCGCGCAAAATTTCAAAATTTCTAGGCTTCTGATTGGCTGTTCGAGGTCTGAAAATCAACAACTTTACGCACTTTTAAGAATACAAACTAAAGATTAAATTAATCTTGAGATTAATAAAAGAAGAGATCAATCTTTGATCTCGATATCCACAATTCTAAAGTTTTCAGCTCTGATTGCATTTTCTTGTTTAGATGGAAGTACATCAACATTCTGTTCTTCTGCTTCCACTGGCTGGCCATGAGCAACTCCTGCTACAATCCCTTCATCTACGGGATATTCAGCGTAAGTTTGATAAGGCTATTTAAAGTGACTGTAATTGTAATTTAAAGTAACCCTCCATGCAAAGATGACATTGCCAGATTTACAACTGTAACCTTGAAACCTTAATCTGATCAATTGTGGAAGATTCCGTCGAAAAGCTTTAATTTCTCTGAGTTTTCTGTTGTTTACAAGAAATGCGCAACGTAAGTCACTTTCGCAGAGAAACCGCAAATGAAAATGAACAGTTTATAGAAACCATAACATTGATATCTAACTCACACTTTATTAAAAAATGCTTTTAAGGGTACTGTTGTAAATCGGGCATTGCCATCTGAGCATGAAAGGTTACTTTAAACTACACTTATACAGTCATATTCTAGACCGGACCCCTAATATCATGCATATTTATATTATATTATATTATTTAATCATATTTGCTAAAAATTTTAGTAAAAGTTTATGTTCATTAAAGCGGTTAATTGATCTATATGGGTTTCTGCATTATGCGTTAATCTACACTTTGTGCTTTAATTTAAAAACTGCAACTTTGAAATATACAGGGTTACCCACAAAGGATGAGACGTCTGTACAAAATCAATACTCTCTGTTTCCTTTTATTCAAGAGTCCTTGCAAATATAAACTTCTTTTTTTCTTCAACAAATCATTAATAAGCCTGTAAAAGACTATATTCAAGGCAAAAAAACTAAATTAAAACTTGGGATCGTCAAGTTTTTTAAAGTTTTAGGTCGTCTTTACAGTCTCATCCTTTGCATGGGTAACCCTGAATATTCTAAGCGTTGTTTGTTTGTATAACAAATATACAACCTGTAAACTTGCAATCTAGACCTAACCAATAACATTAAAATGAAACCTAACCTCTAGTTTAGTCAAACTTAATAAAAGCAAATCTGGTTGAAAATATGTGGAGAATTCCACAGTTAAAATATTTATTATTTATCTGGTCAAATAAAAATGTTTTAGACGGATTAAATTATGATGAAATAGCGGAAATTATTGACGATATATGTAAAAACCAACTTATGTTTTTATTGTTTTCGATTATGTATTAATTCTTTATTTATTAATTATATATCTCAATCCTCACTGGTTTTAAAATGTACCGTTATAATTATGTACGAAGAGCTAGAGTAATTAATATTTGTACAGGAGAAGTTTAAGCGTGAATATCGTCTTCGTTTATCTTGTCTCAACTGCTTTACGAAGAACAACAACGCTAGCCCTGGAGGATCAGACTTTGACGTTCCAACCGCTAATATCATTCCAAGGTGGGTTAAACGAGGGTAGGATGGCTTCACTAAAGATTTAATCGAGAATAGGGTGGCTTCTCTTAGGGTTTAACCAAGGTTGGGGATGGCTGCTCTCGGGGTTCACCGAAGTTGAGGTGGATCTTTTCCGGGTTAATTGAGGTTGGGATACTAAAGTAGGTTTGGGTGGCTGCTTTTGGGGTGGCTGCTCTCGGGTTTAATTGAGGTTGGGGTGGCTGCGTTCGGGGTTAAATTAAGCTGGGGTGGCTGCTCTCAGGGTAAAAAAGGTTGGGGTTGTTTCTCTCGGGATAGAATGAGGGTTGTGCGGCTTGTTTAAATGTGGAAGGATGAGGGTGGAGTGTCTGCTCCCTGGGTTTTAGAGGATTTTTTTTTCGTTAAACTGAAGATGATTATTCTGATATTTTTAAAAATACATTTTCGATGAGATATCTTAAAGCCAAAGCTTTAATGAAAAAAGCTGCTATGTAATTATTATTTTTAGCATCAGCATCAAGAAAGTTCATTCATGTTTAAGTAGCTATTCGCCAGTTTGGAACATTTAATTGACAAATGGGGACCACATCGATAAGTAGATAAAGTGTGACTGATCATTTGAATTTAAGTTGAAAAGTTGTTAATTATCGTCTTTGTTTAGAGCCCCAGCCACCAGGTACTCTATCCGATCCTCTGTAATTCCTCCTCACAGCGCTACCATGCTCAGCCTAAAACACACTGATGGCCGGTCAACACAGTTTAACAGGTTTATTTCACTTTTTCCAGAATTAATGCGAATATTTTCACCCTGAAACATTTTGAATTTCAGATCTCCACTAAACCAATATTGTAAACTGAAAACAGGGGCATATTCAGGGGTTTGGGCTATAGGGGCTAAACCCCCCCTGGACCTGTGTAATCTATTGTTTTTAGGGGGTTTTCAGGCCCCAACGGGTGCTGAGCCCCCTCTCGAAAGAAAAAAATGTAAGCCCCCTCCTGGACAAATTCCTGAATACACCCCTGACTTAAAAACTAAACATTTTCGGAATCCAGTATTTGTAAACTGTGAAACTTCTTAGAAATTATATTTAAAAGCTAATAATTTGCTAGTAATAATTTTAACATAGTTTTGTGGTTTGGTAATTAATCAAAGGGATCTATTTTTCTTGGAAAAGAAGGGGACAGAGTTTTTTTTTAACAATCATAATAATTGCCTCTAAAAGTGGGAAAATGTTACGTCCCAAAAACATTGACATTTTCAAGATTATTTTTGAAAATTCCGAATTGATTGTTTAGATCCCCACTTCTCCAAAACCAGAAACGCCACTCACTCCACGAGTCAAGAATCTGCCAAGTCACAAAGCTATAAACAGAATCAGCTGATTTATACCTGTAAAGAAGATCAGCTGATTATGAAGGTGGTCAGCTGACCAAATGCGAGAATGACGGAACAAAAAATTAGAAAGAAACTATTTAATAATGTGAAAATAGAATTAACTCTGTTTGAGAACTTAACAAAAAGAAAATAGAAAAGATGCATATGTGAAAGACGTACATGTTAAACATTCACAAAGCATCTTTGTTCTTTAAAAGTGATCAAAGGCCTAAGAAAACAACTGAAAAATATTACAGGGCCATTTTCTTATAAAAAGTTCAAATTATGAAAAGTATATTAATTCAGAAATCAAGAGACGAAAAAAAATTAAGAAACTCAAATTAGGGCGGAATTGCGCAGAATTGTGCGGAATTGTGCGGAATTGCGCTGAATTGCGCGGAATTGCGCGGAGTATACAGGGCTCGTAAGTGTGCGCAAGTAAAATTCACTTGCGTTGGAAACCTTACGCAAAAGTCAGAAAAGGTTGTTATGAAGTTTCTCTCTAAGTTTGTTAAATAAATGTCATATTCCGCAAATGCTGCATTTTGTCAAACATTATTATAGTTACAATTATCTAATTATTACAATTGAGGGTCATGACATTAATAAGAAATGCCAAGACCGATTTGATTTTTAAACATTTGGTCCTAGTCTACAGACCAAATAAAAATAACATTATCTTAATTTCATATAAACGTAATTGTAAAAGGTTAAAAATGCCATATTGTTTTTAGAGTTAATATTAAAAAGTATTTCGATAACAAAAAATTTTGACTAAAGTAAATTAATGTTTTATGTCAAATGTATGTGACGAATGTGTCTATATAAACATTGTGTTAAAGTGGATTTTGTCATAACTATTGTGTAAAAAGAAAACAGCAACGCAGTTTGTCTCTTTATATAGAATTTATCAAGATATTTTTATGATTCGGAGCTGGGAACTTTTGATTCGGAGCTGGGAACTTTTGTTTCGGAGCTGGGAACTTTTGTGTTGGATACTGACAATCCTCATCACTTGATCTCGATATCCACTTTGGGCACTTGTAATTTGAGGATCTATAAAAATTATACCTTTCCATATCTTCTTAGTTATTCCTCCCATGATACAATTTCCTTCAATCATTGACTGGGTCAGTAGGTACGATAACTATGCGGGATATAGAATAAAGATTAAATTAATCTGCAGATTAACAAAAGATCAAGATCAAGCATTGTTATCGATATCCACAATACGAGAGTTCCCTGCTCAGGTTCCATTAAAAACTTTAAATATTTTTCTTTCTTTTAATAAACTCCAAATTTTGAATAGAATACAATAATTTAATTACTTTAGATACTTAAAAATATAATTGTAACTTTATTTAAAAAAGAAGTACTTCTAAAAAAGAAACTTCTTCATCTTAAGGTTAAGTATATTCTTGAAGTACAAATACTGTATATTCTATTATTGGTCTAAAAGTGGTAAAACCATGAAAGGAGCATTCATTTTTAATTAATGTTTTAGAAATATGTCAAAGACAGATAAATTAGTAGAAACGTGAGTGTGACCAAATGTAATTTTATAAATCAAGTAGAAATATTGTATAAGAAACCCTGGAACTATATATACATATGGAATAAAGAAAATCTAGTATTCTATCCCAAACAAAATAAACTTTCATGAACATGTTCTCTTAATTTATTGTAAGGTTTGACACATCTGAAAAGTGATGAAATGTTTTGTTATCATGTAGTCTTATGTATTAAGTGTATACAACCTTTTAAATAAACATATTTAGAAGCGAGGAGCCATTGTACCTGTGTCCTGTATGTTGAATTGTGAAATATTTAAAAACTGTTAAATGTGCTAAATGTTTATGCGAAAATAAATATTAACTGTTGCATTTGATTTTAAATTATTTTCATTTTAATTGTTTTCTCATTTAATGTATATAAACCAGGGGCACAGGGGCGTACGAGAGCATTTGTGTAGAGGGGGCACATTTTGCGCCCCCCTTTGGCAATATTGGGCCCTTCCTTAAAAACCCCCTTTTTGAAAAAAAAATATTGATACCTTTTTTAACTATGTAAACTATTCGATCATTATACACACTTACATATTACAAGCGTTATAAAATATTTATGTAATTTTCTTAAGAGAGGGGGGAGGGGCACAATATTACCAAGGGGGGGGGGCACAAAATCAGGCAATCCCTCTTAATACTTTGGTGTATGCTTCAAGGGATGAAAAATATGGATGGAAATGTTTCTAAAAAATTATCTATCTTTTCATAGGATTGATACATATTGTATCATAAACTATAATATCAAATATATATTGACACTGAAGGCAGTATTGATTGAAGCTTTTTTTATGAAACATTTTTAGTTAAGGGAAAAAGTGAGATTTTAAAGTAATTTTTTATACGATGTAATTATACTTAAATGTAATACGTAATTGCGTAATTTCTTAAAAACGGGAAAAATGGATTTTTAATGCAATACTTGATCAGACAAAGCTATGAAGGGCTTATGATTGCCCCCCCCCTCAGGGAGGGCACGCGTAGGGCACACCCCCCTCGTGCGCCCATGGGTGAGTACAATGCAATGCAATGTAGAATGTATATTGAGGAAGGGAAATGCAAGCAGAAGTAATATTAAAAGAACCCCTCCCATGGGTGCCCCCCCCTCAGCCTCTCAGGGGGGGGGGGCACGCGTAGGGGGGAGGAGGCGGCCCCCCCTCGTACGCCACTGCAATGGCAATTGTATTTCTTCGATTCGAGTCACCCGGATATTAACCCTAGAACAATGTGAATTTATTTTCAAAAAAACATTCCGCATTTTCTTACAGGTTTCTTTTCAAAAACGGAAAATCATCAATGATTTAGGGAGGTCAGTTTTTATTTTTGCCTAACACTTTTTAAACAGATTTTTATGATTTTAACATTTTTGAATTCGGTGTTTCAAGACAGATTTTATGGTACCCATATTTTCAAGGAAAAAATATTTGCTGAGTTAAGATTTGCAAAAATGAATGAATTTAAATGTGAGACAAAATTACATTTTTCGTTTACTATTTTTTATAGAAACTAGCCTCTAAGACACGTCCTGAAAGGATCTAAACATTATTATCATAAAAGTGTCCAGTCTTAATGAAATCTCTGGATTATTAGCCAGAGCTTGATGGAATCGGGTTTTTTTAATTCTTTCTCATTTTGGACTTTTTTTTTTGTCTTTTTCTACTCTTACATTCAAAACGCATTCGCCTAAAAATTGATCAAATTGGGATCGAAAGTGACAGCTTGCTCAGCCAGCATTCGACACGTTTTGATGTCTAGGGTCAATTGGAATATTTGTATATATTCTCTTGAAAATTTAACATGGTGGGCAAATTGTTTCAAACACAAGTTAAAGGAGGAAACGGGGAAAATTTAACTTTAATTAGATTTGTATTTAATTAGAAATATATTTTTTTAAGGTGCGAATGTTGTGATGCAAAAAGATGTTCTTCCCTGTGTTTATGTTTTATCAGAATAAACGGCTTTCTAACGATTTCAAATTTTATTAGTTGCACAAAAGGAATCATGAGTCTTTGCTACAAACTCGGATTTTCTAATCCCTATATCTTTCCAACCCAATTCGTATACCTTACATATTTTAAACTCTGAATTCTGTTAGATCAAGTAATCTTAGCTAGAAATATAAAATGTTTACACCATCAGGTTGCAAAAAAATAGAGATAAGAAAATTTGAGTTTGAGGCAAAGACTCAATTCCTTTACTTTTGAGAAATGTATTACTTCTGAATTTTCAAAATGTTCAAAACTCAAATTAAGACAAAACTTTTCCATTGACATGAAAATATATTTATGTAATTTACACATAATAATACTGGTATTTTATTCACTGTTTAAAATCAATTGTGTAGAGCTAATATTTGTACTTAATGTCCATCGTATCTAGGTCAGTTCTTCAACATTCAAAATTTTAAAAAAAAAACTTTTTAATGCTTCACGAGAATCTTGATGCAAATCCTATTTCAAAATTGCATGCTGTAGACAAGTTTGCTTAAATCCTACAAAGCAAGGGATTTTAACCAAAACGATTTTTCAAGTTTTTAAAAATCTTTTTGGTTAATATCTTAAATCAGAGTAAAAATTTTTGTAATTTAAGCAAATTTGTCTAGATTCCATTTTTGAAAGAGTATTTGCATCTCGTATTCTCGTGATGCCTCCAAAAAGTCTAAAAACGTTAAATGTTTAAAAAAGGGCCTAGACTCATCAGACATATATATTAAATTGTCATACTACATACGCACGTACTACTTTTCTGTCTTCTCTGAAGTATTTTGGGCCGGCTGTATAAATTGCTGTTTTTCTTGAGATATTGAGGCATCTGTTATATTGCTGTTTTTTCTTAAGACATTGATTCATCTGTAATTATATTGCAGTTTTGTTTCTTAAAAAATTGATTCATCTGTTATTATATAGCTCCTTTTTCTTGAGATATTGCTGCATCTGTAATTATATTGTAGTGCCTTTTCTTGAAAAATTGATGCATCTGCTATTATATTGCTGCTTTTTCTTGAGATATTGATGCATCTTTTGTATTGTTGTTTTTACATAAAATTTTAATAAATCTGATGTTTCTTCTTAAAATATTGATAAATCTGTATTTAGGTTTTTTTCTTAAAACATTGATGCGTATATTTTTGTTGTTAACTTGTAAATCCTGAATTGTGGTGTACTGCGCTCTGAAACAAAACTAACAATGTAAACAAAGTAAAAACTTTTAAAATATCTACACACTGACACAGTTCTCATTTTTGGAGTCTGTGAAAAAATCATTATCATTGGAGTACTATTGGAGTACTATTGGAGAGCCGTTTTATTGGAGACCACCAGATTTTATAAATGAACATATGGAGTCTCCAATGAAAATCTGGTGTTTCAAATGACATTTTGGGGATTCTCAAACAAAATGAAATTGAAAATCTATGAATCTCCGATGAAAATATGGGGGTCTCTAACTAACAAAAATCTGGGGTCTTCAATGAAAATATAGTAGTCTCCAATGCAAATCTTGGGGTCTCCTATAAAATTCTTGGGGTCTCCAATAAAAATCATGGGGTCTTCAATGAAAATCTAGGAATCTCCAATGAAAATCTGGGGGTCTCCAACGAAAATCTAGCGTCTCAAATGATACTTGCATGGAGGTCTCCAATGATCTTCAATGATATAAATTACGTTTAATCTTTACATCATAAATGATTTTGCTATTTTGGAGTAGAAAATTACGTTCAGAAAATAAAAAATAAAGATAATAATAATAACAATAATATCAATAATTGTTGTTGACGCTTTTTTGTATTTTATGTGATTTTGTACACAAGTGCAAAAAATTATATTGTCTTTTGAAAATGTTCATGAAAAATTCTACTGAGCCTTCATTTTCAGAAAACCAAGTTTAGATAAGTTTTTTGAAAAAAGTTTTATCTTTTCTTAGATTTGCAAAACTTATTTAAACTTAACTAATTCCTAGCTAAGAGAGCTGCGGTAATTACGTGTACTATACTAATAGGAAAAGTTCAAATGAGGGAAATATAAGTTTAAGGCCAGGGCTGTAAGCGTAATTTCAAGTGACCCTCCATGCAAAGATGGAAATGCCCGAATTACAATGGTAGTCTTAAAAGCTTCGTTTGATCAAGGATAGATATCTTTTGTTAACTACTATACTTTTGAGTACGTAATTATTGTCCTGGGTATTAATTATCATCTTTTTGATTGAGAAATTTGTGTTCTACATCTTAAGTACAACTAACATCTTAATTTTTAATATTCCTCCGCGGCCTCTTTACTGCCGTAAATTTTAATCTCTCGTTGAAATGCGGAAATAAATCTTTAACAAAAACTTACTTTGTCTTGTAAATCCATTATTTCCGGTTCTAATTGACGAGATGATCTCGGAACTATCTAAGAATAAAAAAGGTGTGTTTAAAATCATTTAGATTTTATATTATTATTTCGATTTAATAACAAACATAGATATACACAAATAGATTATCAAGTACAATAGGTGGCATCAGAGAAATGGACCAGTTATACACGACGTCACAAGTGTCAAATATAACAAGGAAAACGAAATTTTCTCACATAATTTGACATGTTTTAGAATATTAAATAATATAGTGTAAAACAAGAAAATAAAGAAAACACAAAATTGCACTTATTTTGCTATAAGATAGCACTTTATTTTAAAATTATCCCTATTATTAATAAATTTGTCGAACACAAAAACTAAGTTAACACTTGTGACGTAAGAACACAGCTGTACTGAGAGTGTACAAATTTTACGTTGCCATCTATTGTACTAGAATCTATTTGGATATACATATATATTACATTTATCAATGGTGTAGTTTAAATTAAGCAATTTTTATCTTGGTCTGATAACGTAATTTTATTTTTATACTCTTTTCTTGAGCTATTTATTTTACATTTTAAGGTTCATACACCCTTTTACGCGTTTTGCGACGTATTTTAAATTATAGATGAAAATATGACAGAAAATATTCCGATGCAGTTTCTGACAGGCCATTCTTGTAAGTTGTAATCGCTGTTGGCAAAAAAAAAATTTTAATTATTATTATTAAAAAATAAAACGTTTTCTTTTTCTGGAGAACTATAAGACACTTATTTTTAAATTGTGGTATAAAAACAAAAATAAAAGAAGTCCAATTAAGGATTTCTTGATGCCATAGCTTGATGTTTGGAAAATCTAATTAAGTATCGAATTTTCATTTGATGTTTTTTCAGAGAAACACCGTCTACAACTAGTATTTTCCAGTTTTTATTTGAAAATGCAAAAATTTGTATTTTACAGTTTAATTATGAAACTTTTATTATAATGTTAATAGATGATTTGAGATTTTTTAGAGAGAATGATTTTAATTTCAGGCTTAAATGAATTTCAGCTTTGTTTAGACTTTAGAAAGGAATGTGGACGTCATTTTAAGTGAGCCTCTAGTTATTGGTATGTTCGCTTCATAACGTATATATAACAAGACATTCGTATACATGTTCCCTCCCGAACGGCTGGATCGAATGGAATGACATTTTTGTGGACACGCAGTGGTAGCCTGGGGGTGACATAGGCTTAAAAAATTCGAATTTTTGTTTTTATCAAAATTCTTTTTTCAAAAATCATTTTTTCAAAAATCCGATTTTCAAAAGTTCCACGTGAACGCCGGGCACTTCAGCTAGTAACGTATATGATTAAACACGAATGAGATATCAATGTTTTTTACATTGAGAATTAAACATATTTCAAGACAAAAAAAACGATTGACACATCTTGAACAGATAAAGGTTCAAATGATAAATTGAGCATGTCTCTTGTTAATTATGTGTCTTTTTAAAATATGTCTAAGACTAACCTTATCTCCTGCCTTCAAGAAGCAGTTAAAGAAATCCCAGCGTAAACTAACTAATTTCTTTACAGCAAACATATATGTAGTTCCATAACTCAACAATAGGTGGACTCCCTAAACACAGAAATTTAATGAATAAAATAAAAATTCCAGTTTATTTAGGAGATAGAGGGGTAAAAGAAACATTGAAACAATAGTTTTTAAAATAATTTTCAATCCTTTTATGAAATAAATTTATTGAAAAATATTTAAGAATCTAAATTGTAAATTATATACGCCGTACTTTTTTTCTTATTCAGTTTTTTTCTCTGACACAAAAGTAAAGGCCAAAATTATTTATTAAATTTTGTTTAAAATTTTTTTTGGCTTTTACCTCTATTTAGAAAAGAAAATCTCTGATTTAGGTTAATACCTCCTCCTCAGTTATGGATCTGCAAAAGCGTAAGTAACGCTCAGCTGAGAAATAAACTTACAAATCCTATGAGTGTTACGATGGTACGGAACGGATAAGCTCCTTGACAAGGCTCATGAGGATTAAGATCTGTAGGACAGGTTCCTGGAGCACCGTACATAGTTCCGAAACTAATACTGGCAGGAATACCCAGCTGACCATCACCACACAGCAGTCTTAACATTAGTAATATAATTATTCTTGTATATGCATTTTGATGTGTTTTTTTCAGCTTGTTTTTTTCAATACAAAAAACAATCGGGCCCAAATTTCGACTCAGTTACCTAGAACAAAATAATTTCCATAAATACATTTGCCATAATTTCACTTGGGGTAATTAAACTTGCTCTAAATACTTTTCCCATAAGCAACAATTCCCATAAGTAAAACTTGCCATAAGTAACTATTCCCATAAGTAAAACTTGCCATCATTATTTTTGCCCTAATTTTCTAACCCTTACAAAAATAAAAATCCAACTATATTTAAAAAAATGCGCCAAATTTTCTCATGAAAATTTCCAACTTTAGTGTTCTAACAATGCTGCCATGGGAGTGATATGAAAACTAATACTGGTAGAAACAGCTTGATGACAATGACAATTCAATACTTTTTCAATAGCGCAGTAACTTAACCACTTCTGCTCATGAGCTGTCCCTTGTTAACTATAGTCCTAAAAGTTATTTGTTGTTATTATTAAAAAAATATATGTGAATGTTAATTATAACTATAATCAATTGTAAATTTGGCAAGTGTAACCATTATGGCAAACTTATTACGTCAAGTGTAATTATGGCAAATGTAATTATGGTAAAAGCATTATGGCAAATGTAACTAAGCCCGGATTATATTAATGTATTGTAAACAAAAGAAAAATTAGCAAAGTATTCAGTTCTATGAAACACAGAGAAAATGCACGAAAAACAATATTTAATAGCTAACATTGTTACTAGAAAAAAGGGCGCGCTAAAACTTATTTTTATTTTTTTTATATATTTAAGAAAAACTTATTTCTCGCCCCAAACTTAAATATTCTAATTCCTTATTTTTAGAAATTGATGACAAACTTTGACTCGCTGAATTAGCAAACTCCGTCATTTTTAAATTGCAGGCTTGCAAATCGGGTTGAATAGATTTAAGAATTAGAAAATTAAAGTTTAAGTTTTGTTTCCTATTTTTATTATCAAGTCAATCTTTTGATCTTTTGTCCAACTTTCGATTTCTAAGTTAAGTAATTACAAATATTATTATGCCTGTACTTTTAAAAATATTTACCTTAATATAAGACTGACAAAGAAAGAGAATACACTGCCGTATGTATTCGATTGTTCACAGAACAACACCATTGTCAGCTGGGGGAAAACAATAACAAACATAAAGTCTCCGCAAAGTACGAATAAATCATAGATACTTCTGTACTCTATGGCCAGTGTGGTGGCTATAACACAATTGATCAAGATCAAAACATATAAGGAATAGATCACTTCTTTTTCAGAACATTTTGGTCGGAACACAGTCTTATATAGATTCCTTGCAATCATCGTAGACGCTGACAACATTGAAGAGTCTGTTGAAGACATCACTGCAGCAGATATAGCTCCTAGTCCAAAGAAGGCTACAGCTGGAGGTGTAAGGTACTGGAGAACAAGCGGAAGAACAACTTTAGACGCATCTCCGGTAGGCGCTCCACAGGGATAATCAGTCTTACTCCAATCGGTGGCTTTAGCAATAGCTCCGAAAAGAACTGAAGGTCCGGTCATAATAAGTGCTATAGCGGCTCCTCCGTAGGATAATAGTTGGGCTCGTACAGCTGATTTACTGGATAATACACGCTAAAATATAAAATAAATAGATGATTTTAGTTCTTTATATACTTAGTAGCTTGTCTGTATGCGGCTGAATCGATCAGGCCCAACTTTTTAATGACAACTCGCATGACTCTACAAAAAAGGTTTAGACCTTTTTAAAAATGAGCAAATTTACTTTAAAAAATCTGCGATAGTTTGATAATGACTAATGATTAACGATCAACAGCCAACAGTTAAAATTATTCATGAAAAAGGGGGAGCAAAGGGCCTCTAGAAGTCTAGAATGAGAAAATAACTAAAACAAATTTTAAAAATTTGATGTTTTCCAAAAAAGTCGGTATCTTGCAGTTTCTTACTTAAATGTCAATCATAAATAACTGAGTTACAAAATTATGAATATAAACGGATAGTTACAAATATTCAACATTTAATTAGAATCCCTAGAATCCCTTTTCTAACCTGATAATAGCACTGCCAAGGGATTCCTCCAAAGAGAAGTAGAAAAGTATAATCAACCCATAATCCCCATTCATGGGGAGCAACATGACCATACCTATAATAGTTTACTTTACATCGGTGGTGATTCACAAATCAAAAAAGATGCAGGGTGTCCCAATTCGAGATCGTCTTTGCAAAGCAATATCATTGTAATACTTGATTTCAAAAGTCATAATAAGCCAATTATGTCTGATAGTTTATTTTATGAAAGCGGTAAATAGCTGCAATGATGTGTCTGTAATCTCTCTGCAAGATGAACAATGCAGAATGTTTAATGAGTTTTGTTTACTGTAAGTACACCCTTGTGCAGTCAAATTATAAATAAACAAATTGTAAACATAGCAAACAGATTACTGCAACTTTTTCTGTGGACATAACTACAGTAAATCAAAGAATTATTTCAAAAGACGATATCGAAATCTTCACTCAATTCTCATGTTTATGGGGACACCCTGTATTATATTTTATTGACTAAGAAACGAATCTAAAATTTACAGATTTATGTACTTGATGATTTATATATTTTTATTTTTATCTTAACAATGCTTTCTTTTCAATTCAATGTTTTTCAAAATATTTTAAAGGAAAAAAAACTGAAAAGCAAACTTTCTATAGAAAATATGAACGAAGAAAATAAAAGTCCTAATAAAAAGTCATTTATATAGAATTGAATTAAAATCAAATCAATAATTCTATTTTATCTCAAATACAAATCATTATTTCATAATTAGATTTCAAAAACGGTAGCCTTGAAATATGATCAATAAAGTTTAACTGTTAAATTGTCTTAATTTCGTCATTGTTTCTGAAGCAATACATGGGCGCAAGTCAATTTTTCTGAAGAGAAACCACAAAAGAAAACAATCTGTTTTCAAAAACAAAAACTTTGATATCTTAATCATACTTGATCAGACAAACTTTAAGGGTACCGTTGTAAATCGGACTTTATGAATTTACAGTTCCTAAAGTCCTACCAGGCAGGAGTAACCCCATCATCTAGTTTCTCCTCGTAAATATTGCTCACTGCTTCATGGGTTATAGCAAATGGTAAAGCCAGGAACTAAAATTAAAAGTTTTTATATTTTTTATAAAATAGTAGCTTGGAAACCCAGCTTAGTCGAGCAACTTAATTTATCCTGTACAAGTCAATCCATTCGACTAAGAATTTTAAATCCAAGCTAAGAATATTCCTCTCGTTTTCCAGAGCTCACCTATGAAAGAGGAAAATCGGTCTAAGGGTTCATGAGTTATGATTAGAGATCCAAACGAACAGACAAATAGAGATTACTACTTTATTTATAGAAAATACAATTTTCAATTGTAACTGCAAATTTGAATATATAATCGCATTTGGAAACGTTTTCAGAAGAATCCAGTGCTTCGTCTCAGAGTTGAAAATAATCAAGAAGAAGTTGATTTTTTCCCTGTAGTACTATATGTACACTCTTGTACATCCGTACATAGTCTGCTGTATATATTTATCAATTTTGATCTTTGGATGCGTTATGAACTATAGAAGTTTGTACTAAAACTATATACTGTAGCGATGTTTAACCCTATTCCCGCTGGGGGGGGGGGTCAATTTGACCCCCCCCTGTAGTTTTTT